AAATATTTATAAAATATAAATTTATATGAAGTTTTTTTTTTAACATGTATATTATAAAATGCGATTATAAACCCAAGTCTTTATTAATTATTTAAGATAATTATTTGGGTTATTTAATAGTTTAAATCAATGTCAAATGTAATGCGATGTTTCTACATTATCATTGAAACAACGTTTCACTAATTAAACCAATTTTAATTTTAAGAAAATTTAATTGATTAAACTCTGTAAATTTTTCATTAGAAAGCGTTATATATATATATATATTCACATGAATTCATAATTATCTGTATAATACGAAAAATATTTACCAGTTTAGGAATAAAACTAATCTTTGCTGGAGTTATTAGGACTTCTCCACAACTATCTGAAAGGTTAAAATCCTAACATTATAATTTTCTCAAGTGTAAAGTTATAGGTTATTTATCGTTAAGTAGCACGTTATGAATGCGTACAATTAGACAATAATTACTTTACTTTAACTTTTAATATACAACAAATAGTGTTCTACAATTTTTATTTTATATATTAAATAACTTAAAAATAGTGAAATTTTCATGCATTGGATGTATTATATTAAATTATATAACAAATAGAAGTATATCATATGACTATTACTGAAATTTAAAAATATTTTGACATGAAAAAATTATAAATATTTTATTATTAATGCTAAATATTTACCAGATAATACATAAAGAGATACTGATTATAAATTTAAAAATAAATGTACAATTAATAAAGTTTAAATTTTAAAAATTATTAAACATAAAATTAATCTCATGACATAATAAAAAGAAATTCCTAAAATTACCCTCATTTAAAATAATTCTTAACAATACTAAAATGTCCTGATATTAAAAATAACTGGTTAAAAATTTAGAAAAAAAAAACTTTACTGTCCATATACAATAATTTTATTTAATTAAACTAGACTAGTTAGATGCTTAATATACAGATACTAATGGTCTTAAATAAGAAAAATGTTTATAAAAGTAGAATCACATCATACTCTTAACACATACCAAAAGTTAAAGTAGTTTTGTAAGTATTTTACGTATCACGTATATTAATAAAATAAAACAATATTTTAATTACAAGTTTATAATTATTTTAAAAATTGACAAAATTTAAAAAATATTGTTATTATTAATACTGAATATCATTATATTAAATAAAATTAAATTAAAGAGGTAATTAATTTAAAATATAAAATTATATTATGATTGAATTATAAAAAACTGTTATATATGAACATTCAATACAACAAGGAAAATAACTAGCACTTAAAAACTATGATTATTTAAGATGATTCTATAAAACACTTTTATTTAAAAATTATGACATACAAATTTATAGGAGTATATTGGCTATTAAATTTCAATTACATTAATTTAAAACATAATTATGATCTCACGCATTTCAAATAAGCAAAATATAAAGTGTTAATTAAAACAAAAAAAATTAAGTGAAATAATAAACTAAAACAAGAGAAAAAAGTTACAAAATATAAAATATAAAATTAATTATATTATAATTCTTTAATGAATAGTTGAATAAAAGCTATAATTACTCTGATTGGATTTTAAAAAGACAAGGTTAGAAAAAAATAATATTTAATATTTTGATTGTACATTAAGAATATCTCTACGTGTCTCACACACACAAATTAAGATAATATTTTTGTAAAGTGAGATATTGTTTGAAAAAGTATTTTTAAGATGTGTATATGTTAAAAATTAAAAAATAAATAAATAAATAAAAAAAATATATATATATATATATAAAATAAAATAACAGATCACTATGAGCAAACCTAGTTAGCATTCGTACAAATTTGAAATGAAATATCAGAATGTGTGGATGAGAAAGAAAACAATACACGTGCCCGGAATTTAGGAAGAACGCGACAGCGAAGGGAGAATGCAAAATCCAGTTTTCCCAAAACGCGATTCCGTGAGCAGAGCTTGTAGTTTTGCGCTTAATCTATGGGTGTTGGTGATAATGCATGCGTCTTTCCTCTAAACACCAGTGTCTACTTGTAAAACGTAAAAAACATAGTAGATTCTAAAATATTTAGGGATATTTATCTGGTAAGTTTTTAATTAATATTTAAAGGCACATAATAATAATAATTTTTGTATAATAGTTTTTTATTTAAAATAATAAATATTATAGAATTAATATATTATTAATATTAAACATTATAATTTTTAATAAAAATTCCTTTTTAATAATTAACTCATGCAATGATGCCCTTAATAAAACAGCGACCGCATGCTGTGCATCGATATCGTACATAATTGACATTTGACTGTATATATTAGGTTCGGGTTTGAAGAAAGCTTGTTTTAAAGAAAATAATTATTTTTTCTAAATAAATTCAACCAAACATGTATTAACTATCACACAGAATTTATATTAAGCTTAAGATAAATATACTTTTATTTTGATTTTTTTTAATGTTTTGTTTATCTTGTTAACACACACAAAAATAATTAATACCTTTTTAATTTATCTAAAAAATTATGAATAAAAATACAGATAAATCTCTAAATTATAAATTATAAATTTGATCATAGACATTCTAATATTATAATTTTATATATATGGACATATATTAATTTTGATTCATAAAAAGCCTTAATATTATAATTGTTCGTTTGACATTTTTACTTTCATTTTTTTATAATTTATCATTTTCTATCATGTTACATCACTTATCGTTTTCTTTTTTGTTTTTCTTTTAGTTTATACACTCTATATACATTTAATATGTTTGTTTTAAATTAAAAACTTGCCCTTCCATTTTCTCAAGCAACTAAAGTCGTCTTTTTGTTTGCTATAATAAACGGAAGTATTTACTTTAATAAAAAGAGGTAAAAAAGATTAAAGGCTAACACAAATATGGAAAGATCACATAATCATAATTTTACTAAATATATAATTTAATTTTATCTCTATTTTAAGATAATAATTTAAAATAATACAGATTGTAAGAAATATATCTTCATTTGAATAATATTATTTTGAGTTTTTTGGTGTTATTCGACGAAAACTTTCGTAATGTATTAGGTGTTTTACATGAGAGCATGAGAATAGTTAATTTAAACTATGGAATATTATGATGAAAACAAGTCATGTTATGTTTAATATTATCCAACTCTTTTTCGATATTTAGAAAAAAAATTAACATAATAAAAAATTTATTAAAAATTAAGATATTTAGCCTTTTTTAAAGTTTTGAATAAATTACATTGTATCTAACTTTTAAATTTAATAATACATGTAAAAAAAAAAAAAAACTCACTTGCTAAATATATTTTTGTACAGTTCTATTACTATCTTTTTCTATGCATGAGTTGAATTATTCGAAGATAGTAGAAACTGCTTTTATCGATCCCAACCTAGTTGCAAAGCAATAAGGATCCACAAAGTTGGAAAATATAATATTTTAACTCGATTCAAAATTTTTGAAGTCTTGAAATATTTCAGTATACATTAAAACGTTGTATAAAAAAAATCTCAACTACCAAAAGATAGTAGTTTATATGTTGCTTTGTATAAATTCTCCGCTTGGCGACTCAAAAAATTAATAGGGCACTCTTAGGCCCTTATTATATTACACTCTTCAACTTAAGTGGCTGACTCAACAACCAACCCGCTATATCACCCAGTTTCGTTCATTAGCAGGGAAGAAAAAAGTTATGAAATATGAATGAATTCAAATGCTCTAAATCAAATGTATTTAATTGTTTTTTCATATATAAATAAACCAAGATCTAATAAACTTCGATCTACCTGCATCCATCTGGAGATTATTTATTTTATATATAGCATTTAAAAATTATATATAATAAAATACAGTATTTTAAAAAATTTTAGAAATATAAAATTTAAAAATTACTAATAATGCTTTTTGATGTAGATATAGAAACTTAAAGATAAAATTTAAAAAAATTACCGTCAACGATGAACTTTTTAAAAACTATTAAAAAATTAAATTAAAAATTGTCAATAACATTTTTAAATAATAATTAAATATTAAAAAATATAAAAAAGGGTTAAAATTGACTATTTTAACCTAAAAGTCATTTTTTTAAAAACATGTATTTTTGTTATTTTGCTAAAAAAATTCATATTTCTATAATTTATAAGGAAAAAAATCATAAAAAAAGCCCACGTCCTCATGATTAATTGTTTCAAGTACAACCATAACAAAAATATTAAAATAAAATAATCACAATGTTCTCCAAGCACGAAATCTAATTTTCAAATAAATTTAAGTTACATTTAATTGTATATCTTAGCTTCAACTATAATATTAGTCCATGATCAATAAATAGAATCATACTATTCGTTTTTAAAGGTTTCGAAATACGTTAAATTGACTTTCACTCCTTTAATTAAACAAAGGAATCGTGAAGACCTTTTTTCTTTCACATAGAACTGTGTATATCGAGGATTAAATCTAGAAGGCATGTTAATTTTTATTTAAGCACGTTGAAAGTCTGTATGTTGATGTGAGGATTTCGTTAATGGGTAATCAACTTTAAATGTAAACTTTGAAATTTAAAATTGATTATTTAAGGAGTGTCAGTAATAAATAAATTCTTAATTATTATTCAAATTTTAAAAAATGAGTAAAAATTATTAAAAATGTTATATTTATATTTCTTCTGTGTCTAAAAAATATAATTTAAGAATATCGTAGAAAGCTATTTACAGTGGATGAACAGTAGACATTGGTTTGTTGGTGGAATGGAAGGATGGTTATTGAAGGGTGGGGGTGTGAGTGTGGTCTTACGCTAACGCAAATTTAAAGGGATAGCTCACGGGAAGCGCGTTGAGGGGGATATGTGGGCCCAGTTTTACCAAGTCGCAGGACGCGCTTTTGAAAGGACCCCACTGACTCACTCTCCCACCTCAGGCTCAGCGCTGAGAGTCACAATTGTCATTCACTCCCACCATCACCATCACCATCACCACCACCACCACCACCACCTCTCTCTCAACCCAAAGTTATGGTGGCGCTGTCGTTATTGGTTGAATCGAAAGGTAGCAGTAGATGACGAGAAAAGCCGAAGGTAGAGAAGCATCCCAGACGCAAACAAACTCGGACAATGGTTAGGAACATGACACGCAAGTACTAAAAAGTAGAAGGAGAGGAGAACGCCGCTCCCTCTTCACCTTTTTTTTTTTTAATTCTTTTTGGAGTTTACGGCCTCTTCTGTTGTCGTTTACTGGTTACTTCCTCTTTTAGATGTCGCATCCGCAAAACGCACATATATATATTACTTTGTGCTTTCTTTGTTCCTATCTTTCTTTCGCCGCATGTTGCTCGATTTCAATGTCCAACACCACTGGTTAACTTTTTCTTTCTTCAACCGTTCCTTCGCCCATGTCGCTCAAGAGGCGCCCCGACGATGGCAAGACTCCAGACGACAAGCGTCGAAAGCCTCCTCCGTTCTCCAGGTACGTCACAACCCAAATGGGGTTTTGCAAACCAGTGATTGAAATGCACTGTGGCTTATTTTCGCTCCTGCGAAGTTTTGTTGATGTTGGTTGGGACAAAGGGGATTGCGTTTTTTTTTAAATGTAGCGCGGAATGGACTTTTGTTTAGACTGGAATGTACGCCAAAGGGAAATTGTCGACTTTCCATGAATCTGTGTAGTGCTATAGATTGTTAAAAGAAAATGGGCGCTGTCGATGCTATAGGCGTATTTTTTGTACAGTTGTATGCGATAATGTATTTTTAATTTCGAGGATAATTGATTAACGGGACTTTTTACTTTGGTTGTAATGAATAATGTGTAGTGTGGTGCTTGAGGTGATGAAGTTACAATCTGTCAGTCATTTGCTGGAGCCAATTCTAGAGCCCTTGGTTCGTCGAGTGGTATGAATTTCACTCAACATGACCTGATTGATTCATTGCATTTATATTTGTGGTATTCAGTTCATTTTTTTTTTATCTGTATACGCTGTTTCATGGAGATATGATAATGTTATGGACCTTTTTCGTGCATTTAGAGTGATTGAATTCATTTAGTTAGACAATTGAAGTATCGCTTGTGAGTTACTACAATGCTTTGCAGGCTGCAGATAACTTTTGTTGCATCCACTTTATGGTGCCTATTGTTTTGGCCTAATTCCAGGTACCGTTCCGCCTTGTGGACAACTGCAGACGGCTTACTAACTAATTATCCATATAAATCATCTGCCTGTCTGTTCTTCCTCATGCAGTCACATATACTACTTCTGTGATTGGTCATGTCACAGAAGATCCACTAACAAAGGATATACTTAAAAACCTACTTCATTACTTGTTTCAAAACCTTTCATTGGGCTTCAATTAATGTATTGAAACAATTTTGGAAATATTTATTTTGATAAAAGTTTGCAACTCTCCCAGTCTCATAAACCTTGCCACTTTTATATAAACAAAATGCAAAACAAGGAAAGACAAAGGTAAAGAAAACACTTAAAGAACATTCTTGGTTGAACATGAACTCACACATTTATCTCCTAAGTCACCAACCTTGCTTTTTGGGCTTTAACTGGGGCTGTTGGTGCCTGAATCTGTTCCTGCAGAGTAGTTACAGTTACAGAAGATGAAAATTATGCTTACATTAACTATGTCCTGTACATGGAATGCATATATGCTCAGTTACATGAATCAAATGCAAGTGGTTTTAGGTTATGCATTTCATAATTTATTCTTGCTTGTTATTTTTGTGATTTGTGAAATAAATGAACCAACAAGATGAAGTTTCCATTTGTGATTCATATTGTGCTGCGAGTGTTAAGTCCAGTAATGCTGTAATATATATTTTCCTGTCTAGGGTAAATAAATAATTGGATGTGTGATACTTGAAGTAAAATCCTATGTTTTTTTTTCTGGGTAGCATGTTTGAGTTTTGGTCCTGTAAACGTTAGTTCCACTTTTACTGATATTTGATATCGGTACCAATCATATATGTGACCTCATTACAGGTTAAGGAGGAAGTTGAATCGGCCCTAAAGAGGCATTTGACCAGCATGAAACAGTAAGAAATAATCTCCTGCTGATAATTTAAATTCTATTGCCTTGGACGTGGAGCTTCTTATGAAGCAAAGGGAATGAATTATGAAAAAAAAGATTTAGCTGAATGATTTGAAATCATTTAGTCACTTGAATCCAGTTTTTTCTCATGCTTTCTTTTTACTTTCTTTTAGGACCTGTGGAAAGGAGTTCCGCACTACTGAATTAAGAAGTTTGCAGCTGCAGTTTGAAAACAGCATTTCACTTCCTGTCTTTACAGGAGCTCGAATTGAAGGAGAGGATGGCTCCAACTTAAGGATAAGTTTAGTTGATGCCCTAACAGGGAAAGTTGTTAGTACAGGACCTGAATCTTCAGCTAAGGTGGAAATTGTGGTCCTTGAGGGTGATTTTGAAGAAGAAAGTGACATTTGGATGCCTGAAGAGTTCAAGAGCAATATTGTGAGAGAGAGGGAAGGAAAAAAGCCCCTTCTTACAGGAGATGTAATTTTATATCTTAAAGATGGGATCGGTATGGTGGGTGAAATTTCATATACAGATAATTCAAGCTGGACAAGGAGCCGAAGGTTCAGGCTTGGGGCAAGAGTTGTGGACAACTTTGATGGTGTTAGAATAAGGGAAGCAAAGACGGAGTCATTTATTGTCAGGGATCACAGAGGAGAACGTGAGTATTTATATATGAATATATACTCTTTTCTGCTTAGATGTGTCAAGGTCTAATGTTTGCAGAAGCTTTCAAATTTTATGTTTTTAGACTATTTTTTAACCCTAGACATCAGAGATTTTGTTTATGCTATGGAAGAATAAGGAATAAAGAACAGTATAAAACATGTTATTTACATGATATGTTGGATTTGCTAAGCTAACATTTTTATAAGTGGAAAATATATTAACAGAAAACTATGTTAGATGCTGTTCACGAGTCCTGAACTTTTCTGATCCCATATCCATGTTATTTTATTTTTAGTGTAAATAAATGAATTATTTGTCTTGCTGCTCTTGCATTATATATATTTTTTGGAAAAATTTAAATCTTAATAAACCAAGTCCCTTCATTACCGTAAATATATAATAGAATATGTTTGAGATTTGATTGTCAAAACAAGAGAGGGAATTAAACTTAGTTTAAACATATGATTTTTGGCTGCAGTATACAAGAAGCACCATCCTCCTAGTCTGTCTGATGAAGTTTGGAGATTGGAAAAAATAGGCAAGGATGGAGCTTTCCACAAGCGTTTGAGTCGTGAAAAGATCCATACTGTTAAAGATTTTCTCACACTTCTCAACCTGGATCCAGCAAAGCTGCGCAGTGTAATAATTTTACAAATTGTTTTGATTGATTTTAGGAATAACATTCATTGGGACAGTTTAGTTGTTAACTGGTTATGTCAACTGTCAAGACATCCCATACTATTCTTGTCACTAGCATGACTGGACTCTATGGGAGAATCATTATTGAAAACCTATATGATCTTATTCTCATCCTCATAAATTTATTTGGTTAATCAAAATTCTGAATGATAAACATCCTCATCGTTTGTGGAAATAGATAAGTACTTGGTTTTTCTTGGGCAAATGAATAAATTCATTGCTTGGGAATGTGCAGATACTGGGCACTGGAATGTCTGCAAAGATGTGGGAAGTAACTGTGGAGCATGCTCGAACTTGTGTACTTGATTCGACAAGGTATCTTTACTTTCCTTCTCATTCTCAACAACCTGGTGTGGTCTTCAATGCTGTTGGACAAGTGACAGGACTGCTTTCGGAATGCGAGTATGCCCCAGTAGATAAGCTGTCTGAAACTGAAAAGGCATTTATCCCTCATCACTTATTACTTTCATTACTCTCTCCTTCCCTATCTTATTTCTTCATAATACTTACCAATATGATTTTCCGCCAACAGGCTGATGCTCAAAACTCGGTTATTACTGCAATAAGACAAGGGGAGAAGTATGCCACTTTTGAAGATGAAACCTCACTCATGGATGGGTCTTCAAACTTAACTAATGTTCTCTACTCCCCAAGCTCTCCCAAGACTGAGGGATCAAGTGCCAACAAGCTTTTGGTTCCCCACAAGACTGAAGGATTCAATTACACACAAGCAAGTGCATCTTCTCCAGATATCATGTCATCCATTTATTCTGTTGGTGGAAGTAGTAGCTTGGATGAATATTGCTTGCCTCATTTTGACAGCATGGGGCTTAGATATGATCCTCTTAGTTTCCCAGTCCAAGTCTCCAACTCTTTGATCTGTGACACAGATTCAATGGCCCATGCTTTTAGTGATGAAGATCATCTGCAATTTTTTGATACTGATCTTCAATCTCAGTGCCACATTCAAGCAGATTTACAGAGTGCTGTCGATAGCTTCATGCTGGCACGATCTACATCCACGGTCAATTGTGCACAAAGGAGATGGAGAAAGGTATTCAATGTCCTAAAATGGTTCATGGTTAGGAAACGAGGAAACCAAAGATACAGGTAAGGTTGTGAAGAACATGAAGGTTCAGTTACTATTGTACATTGTGCTCATGAATCCAGCCCAAAAAAATATTCTGTTCCATTTGTAGAGAAAAGTCACCGCTTCTGGTAGATGTAAATGCATCTTCAATGCATTCGGTCTTATACTTGCTAGATGTCATAGAATTGCTCTTCCCTTTTGTCATTAAGTTGTAAATACTTGTATTTTACGGTCAGGAGAGGATTTCTGGTTGTTGACAGATGCTTAGTAATCTCAAGATCCATTGATCGTAATTCGGGATCATATTTTTGTAAGCATGCTTTGTTCAATAAAATCAGTTTTTCCCCGGTTAAAACTGGATATCTGGATGTTCAATACACACACTTACGTGCACACACGCACGCCTTTAATTTGCTTTAATCTAGTAGTTTAATGTGAGTTTGTTTAATGAAGTGAAATTTGGATTACCAACTTTTTTGTTTGTTTGAGTTGTATAGAACTTGATTTTAACTAAACAAAGCCGAGAGTAAGGGTTGTGAACGAAGAAAGTAAACAAGAAAGTTGTCTCTAATGGCTTTTTTTGGCCTGACTTAGATTCGAATTAATCGTGACTCAAAATTACGTCTCAATATCAAAGAATTTACCAAAAAAAGATATTAAAGCTTAATTTTAATGAAAAACTAATTATGAATGTGGGAAACAATCCAAGGGTCCTTTGGTAGGACGTTCTCTTGACAAATTATTACTACTCTAAAATAGAGTATTCCTCTCTATCAAAATACCTTTTGAGTGGAGAAATTCAAATGTCATTACATAACCAAGAGTCATTCAATGTTTACAACGACGATTTGTGTACAGACATGCAAAGATCAAATTTAATAAGGGCCAAATACAATAAGCTCCCAACATAATAAAACTACACAAATTTATAAGATAAATCAACTGACTCTAAGTTGACGCAGGCAGTATAAGAAATCATCAAGATATGAACAACAATTGCGTACATTGTGTTTTGTCTCACACAATTTTTTAAAATAAATAAAAATAAAAAGGAATTAAAAAATAGCCATACAAAATAAATAAATAAACAAAATACAACAAAAATAAAATAATACAATGAAGCAATTTTCGTATTCTTCATCATGAGATTTTGTCTGTTTTCTCCCACGTAGCACTCAGACTAAGATGCATTCATACATTTGCACCACTTCACCACAAGAAAAAAAAATACTGATCTCCATGACATTTTGGCGCGTAGTTATGGAAAACGTTTACATCTAGAGGTATACTTACAGGAATGGATGATAGAGAAGTAATAAATAATATAATGTGACCAAAAAAAGAGAGATGAAGAATGTTAAATCAAATGCAGTTTTTAGTGGAGTCAAATTCAATGGCTCGTTTTTCTAACTATGTTGTGTGTATATGTATTTTTCTTTCTACATTGATCATTTGTTCAAATCTTAGCATCTTAACCCATATATGATGTTTAAAATTCATCATCTGATTCCTTGTAACATGTTAAATCTTGTCAATGTACGCTTTAATGATGCCTCAGGATGTTGTTATGAAATCCATATGCATATAATATATATAGGTATCAGAGAAGACGCTCGGAAACAGCTTCGTTTAAACGTTTGTGAATTTGATGATCATAATTGATTGGATTTGTTACTTGGTGATGCCAAAAGTCTTTAATGACACAGTTTCTTTATCCATAATCATTACCGCTGGGATGTTGGGAATGGAACACGGTGATAATGATTCTATCAATAGTATGATTTTCAATAACAAATAAATAAATAAATACTGCTCTCTAAAATGACAAATCCACATCCTATCAATAGTATTATTTTCAAAATTGACTATCAACGAGACTGAATACCGTTAAAATTATAAGTAAAAACTATCAACAAACTCTTAATTGTTAAATATTTTTTAAAAAATTGTTTATATTTAAATAAATAAAAAATAACACGTTTTATTTAAATAATACAACATTTGAAATAAAATAAAATATAATTTAAACATCTATAAAAATATATATAGCTTTTTTATTTTGATTCCCCCATCTTTCCATTTTGGCTCCGATATTGTAGATGGCAAGGAGATGATGACACATGCATATTTTGGGATGCATCAATAAATGTATTATTTGCTAAGGTAGTGTTTGTTTATGACAAAATTCCTTAGCTACTTAATTCAATCGAAGTGACTTCGTACTTAGTACAGTTCATATGAATTGTCAACATCATTCAAGTCACAACAAATTTGTTCAAGTGCAAAAATATATGCTTTCAATTATTCATTCTCTCCACTAACGAAAGAATCTTCTTACGGTCTGTTTTGCATTTGATTATGCGTAATATATTTTTAAATATGTTGAAAACTTCAATTTCGAGATGTTTATCTTAAATCTACTTTTTATAACTTTTTAAATATTCTTTCAAGTTTACACTGTTTATTACTTGCAGATTATAGATCTTATCTACTAGTCTTTATCTAGATGATGATACTCGCGACTCTCAATTTAAATAAGTTCATGTTTGATTCAAAATAAAGTTTATTTAGATGATGATGGCTCGAGAGTCTCAAATAAAGTTAAAAAATGATGATTTCCCTTAGAAAACAATCTCTTAAAAGAAATTATCAAAAATGTTTTTGAACTTCAAATAAATAATTCAAACATTAATTAAGTTTCGATAATCACATTAACGATCTTATTTTAACTATTTTTTAAATGTTTAATATTTGCTTATGATAATTAAATAATTTTGTTAGAAAATATAGAAAAGTAACTTCTAAAAATAACACTGAAAATTTAATCATAAACACAATTTTTTAAAAGAAAAATTATCAAATTTGCCATTTTTTTAACAATTGTGTTAAGATATTGACATCTATATGTGATACTTTGAATTTTAGAAAGATTTTATATTTTTATTAGAGAAATAGGAAATGGGTATGAAGCGTTTGAAGATTGAACACATACTATATGATCATATTTCTACAAATGTCTAAGGTGTTCTTGGATCATCGGATAATCGTGGAATTAAATGGTCTCTTTGGTCGGCACGAAACCAACCTACTTTCAAATTGAAATGATATTACTTGATTTCTCTTTAAAAAATTGTACAAAGGAGAGGAATTTGTGTTAACGAGTTCAAATTGAAAAAGGAAAGAAAGTTATTGTTGTTATCATTATTATTAAATTTGGACCCCCATAAACGAAAATACCCGTGTAACATAGATTTCTATTCATCAACTTTTGAAATCATAAGGCTACATATGTAGAGTGTAAGGTTAGTCCTTCACTACCTTGCTTGCGAGAAAAACAATTCTACCATATATTTAACAGTAAAATTGTTAATTTAATGACTCGTATGAACTTGCATGAATTCATATTCTTGTAGCAATTGTGTGGTTAATTTAAAAAATAAGGAAAAAAAAATAAAAATAATGCTCAACAAGAATTTTTTTCTCTCGAACGAACGCCAAAAATTTTGAATTTAGTTGGGGAGAGGGGGGGGGGGGGTGATGCCTCTCAGTAATTGATTACATTCCTCTCAACTAAAACGATGGGCCACAGTTATAAGCTTTGAAGTCTCCAATTGTCCATGCATTCAACCTTTTTGCCTTTTTTTTTTCTTAAAAAAAGTAAAAGCCAGATATAAACATCAAGCAATTTTTATGATAGGCTCATTGGTCAGTGGAAACTTTTATAAATGTAATTCTTAAGTCATTATTTAATTATCTAACTTTTCGTTATACACAACAGAAAGAGAAATGCCATTGAAATAAACTCATTTATTTTGGTGTTTAATTTAAAATGGGATAATAAAAAAATCAATTTACAATTTTATCTGCATGAAAGTTAATTATTGTTGTTGTTGATTGGTAAGTATCGGTGCTAATTATTCCCACCTATTTGAATCATTTACTTCCAATCTATTCAAAAAATAGAATGAAAACAACCAGATAAATATGTAATAAATATACCTGAAAATCATGTATACATACATCTGTCTTGGTTGATGGCACAATGGTAATTTCAGTAGAGGCTCTGGCAGTGCCATGGGTGGCCCAAAGCCGTCATCAGAGCTCAAAATCAAATCACCAAACAGGCCATTATGAATACAGCTAACACATTATTATTATTATAAATTATTTGTCTTTAGTTTAAGTCTTAAATGTAGACCCATGAACAATGGAATATGATCACGTCCAATTTGTAATGCCTGAGCTGTAAGTTTTCCCAACACACAATTTGGAAAAACAGGAATCAAGCAAGAGAAAAAAAGAGTCTTCCCCCTCCACTCAGTTCTTCAAGTGGGATCTTGAATTCTTCATTTGAGAATTGAGATGGCATCATTTGGAGGCACTACCCAGAAGTGTAAAGTATGTGAAAAGAAAGTGTACTGGGTGGAACAGCTCACTGCTGATAGCATTGTGTATCACAAGTCTTGCTTCAGATGTCACCACTGCAAGGGTACCCTCAAGGTGAGAGCTTCATTACTTTCATCATTGCTTCATTAGAGCTTTCATCCCCACATACTCCGAAAGTTCACATCTTCATTTTATCAATTTGGTCCCTCTCTTAGATTAGTTAATTATATATTTTCTTTTCTTTTTTAGGATTAATGATGATTTTTATGCTTCAGTGCAGGGTGATTTTTGTAGTTGAAGAATGCCTGATACAAAATTTTTCTGTTTTCAATAATAATAATCATCTTAGAATGTGAAATGAGTGAGATGGGAAAAAGAAGCAATGTAGTTATAGAATTGAGGAACAGAGAGAGAGAGAGTAGAAATGAAGATGGCTATTGGATGTTTGTGTATTATAAACGATTTAGATTCATTCCTAAAAACTAACTAAAGAAAAGGAGACTGACTGTTAAATAATCTAAAGAGTATTATGAAAATATTGGGACATCTTAACAAAGAAAACAAGTGTGTCAACAACAGTTAAAAATATATGCTTTTGAAGTTTTAAAAATGAACATGGAGAATGTGGAATAAATGTAGCCCTGACCTAAATGTAGAATAAAGGATATTCTTGTTGATATAAGTGTGTCATCAATTAGTTCCTATTTTGTACCTTCTTTTAGAGAGTTCTCAAACACTCTTCTCCAGATGTCATTTGCTGCTTTGCATTTCCATCTTTTTTAAGCTCACAATCTCTTGTTCCACATCTTTAGGCATGACCCCTAGTCCCTAACGATCTCCTTTCAAATGGGGAATTAATGAAAATGCTAATTTTCGAGAAAAAGAAAACATTTTCAAGAAATTTTACGAAATTGATGTGGTTGGCTGGCAGAATACGATTACTATGTGAGGTTATTTTCAAAACTATGTTGTTTTTCGTTGACCGCCCATGCAGCTGGATGCATTTTCCTATTTATGGTAAACTTAGAATATCTTTCATGAATAGCTGTCTCGATAGTAAATACTAAATAGTGACTTTCTGTTATTTAACTAAATGTGTTGTTCAAAATATATTAGTTAAGAAATTAATAAATATTTTTTATTAAAAATTATGATGAAAATGTGTTAATTTGGACCTGTTTTTATTATACTTGTAATAATTTGAATTGATATTTGGGACTCAATGCATACAATTTATCTCATGGCTAGATATTTGAGCTTGGGATACACACTAAATTACATTTATTCATTTCGATAGATGTCCAGCTCACTCATTAATTTTTTTATATTCATTTTTTTTTTCAAATTTGAATCTGTAAGCCAATCACATGAGCCAGCGACTTGCTGTATGGATGAAAGTTTGGGACTATGTGACAAGCCCCAACTTTCTGCTTCGTTTATTAATTTGGAAATTTTAATTTGTCTCAAAATATTTATTATTTTAAAGTGAAAATTATCATTTATTATTTTTAATAATTTATTTATTTATTATTGTCTCTCCATATAAAAGTATTTTAGTAAAAAAAAACTATTTTACAATAGTAACTAATGTATTTAATAATATTCTTGAATTGTGAAATAGAAAAATATTGTATTGTCATACATTCTTAATTTTCTTTTCCTCTATGCATCCCTGCAGCTAGGTAATTATTGTTCCTTTGAGGGTGTTCTATACTGTAAGCCTCACTTTGATCAACTATTTAAGATGACTGGCAGCTTGGACAAAAGTTTTGAAGGTGCATTACTATTATATAGTTGTTTTTTCAAGGATAGACACTTTTTTTTTAAGTTCTAATAATATACACTCATTTCAGCTTATTGCTTTGTCCTTTCATCTGATTGTTATAATTGTGCTTATAGGTATTCCAAGAATTGCTAGAGTAGAAAGATCTGCTGATCAGGTTTTTACACATTCTTAATACTCAAAAAAGTACTTCTTTTCATCCTTAGGATTCTTGTCTAGTGCTTGTACATAAAGGTTTTTGCTACTTATCTCGTTATAATTTAGTTCCCACTGCTCATAGTAAATTGTCTCTGGGAATTCTACAGGTCCAGAGCAACAAGGTTTCAAGGCTGTTTGCTGGAACTCAGGAAAAGTGTGTTGGTTGCCAGAAAACAGTGTACCCAATTGAAAAGGTGCATAACTATTTTTAGTACACTTAATTTCTTCCGTATGAAAAAACCTCTTCTAAAACGAGTCTCTTTAAAATAAACAATTAAAGGTGCATCTACCTTAAATTTTAATAGATTAATATCACAAAACACTTTAAATTAAATTAATAATAGATACATTTTTAGTGTTTACTTTAAAAGCAAACTCGCTCTAAATAACACTATCCTAGTTACCATTCTTGTGAGGTTATTTCTCTTTTTTTAACCCTCTAAATTATTGTTTAGTTGGACCACTGCTCCTTGTATTTTTTTCGTAAAATTTTGAACCTTTAGACATGAGAAGATACAATATTATTTGCCATTGGCCCCAAGCTATTTTCTGAAGTGAAATACTAAATTAGTATAACAATATTTGCAAAAGGGGTAAACACCATGTCATTGGGATCCAGTTGACACAATTTGACTGATGGCAGTGCCACTGTTCTTTCTTTCAGGTGGCTGTTGATGGCAAATCTTACCATAAGTCTTGTTTTAGATGTACTCATGGAGGTTGTGTAATCAGCCCATCAAATTATGTGGCCCATGAACATCGTCTTTATTGTAGACACCACCACACTCAACTCTTCAAGCAAAAGGGTAACTTTAGTCAATTAGACAAGCATGAAACTGTTGTCCAACTAAAGACTGAGAAACAACATCCCAATAATGCCAATACAAGTCCAGATGATGACTCTTTTTAGGCATCAATTGGTACTGTTACAGTACCAAGTTCTATTTGTTTTATTATACATGTTATGAATATAATATTTGTGAGGCCAGCTTGTAACGAGAACTTTAATTTTGTGGATTCTTTCTTTTTGAGGTTGAGAATTGACAAGTAATTAGTGTGTAGTTGGTCTATTATTGCAATAAATCATATGGTTGGCACACCTTTATCCTGCTTCGAATCTTCATAATGTTATTCTCATCTCAGCAATATCAAATTTAGCCCTCAGCAAAAGGTCCTTCGACTTTTCATTTTAAGATTTACAAGACTTGTAGAAGTAGTATAATTTTTTTATAGTTTTTTTTCCCGTGAAATTTTTTTTTATAATTTTTATTAGAAGTAAACATGTTTAATTCGTTCCAACATATAAAGGTTTAAATGTATATCTTAAGGTATACAGTAAAAAAAATATTAAAAATTTTATTAAAATTATACCATTTAATGTTATTAATATATTGAATTATGTAATTTAATTAAAACTTATTATGGTTTGTTTAAAAGAATATAACTTACGTAGGCTGTTTTTAATTAATTTAATAATTTTTTAGTATAACTTATTAAAATAAAATATTTATAACTTCTTCTAATAAATTTTATTGTTAGATTTATAAGATTAGTTATTGTTTAAAAAATCATTAAATAAACATTTAAATAAAATGTTTATCTGTGCATATCTTATTTACAATTTTTATTGGGTGTCCTAATTGAGACATTAAAAATATCCAAGAGATTATTATATACGCTTTCCACATTTAGTTGATTATTTGGCGCAGCCCGGGAAATGGATTTCATGATGAATGGCATGCAAGTTAACTTCACTTTTGCTAAGTGGTATATGGCACTTGGGAACAAAAATCTAAGAGAAAAGCAAACATTACCAGTCAAACTTTGAAGGGGGTTTCTTAATTTGTTTAGTAGCTGTTGGCTTCAGCTGTCCAATAATAATGATTGGTCTCTTTCAGTACTCTAGAGCAATGTTTGATTGAATTTGCTTGCAAAAAAAATTATCATCGAAACCCATAAAAAATTCCTCACACGCACGCACGCGCACACACACACACAACTAAAAACAAAGACAAAAAGAGACATCCTCATCCTCTTTTTCAGCTATGTATGTCACATACATGCATCTCTAGCTAGTATTCTTGAGGAACTGTGCTGTGAAAGAGATAATACAAACTAATGACTCAAACATGTAAGACTGCAATCTGGAAAGAGAAAAGCATGTTTTGCTCGAATATCTATGCGTATCCTCCATGATTGTTCATCATCATAAATAAGGAAAATAAAGTGAATAAAAATAGAGAAACAAAAAAGCAAGAAGGAAATAACGCAGTACCTGATGTTATGGATTTTTTAAACACTGAGAAAGCACTTTTGGAGATAAAGTTAAAGAAGCCAAATATTGGTGGGCCATGGGGAAGGAATTCTATGTACTCTATGATGGAATCTGAAGACCCCTCGTGCAGTGCAACTAACTTTCATGCGTAGGAAGTGCACGAGTGGTGAGCTGGTCCTATTCTATAGTTTTTCTCCTTTTTTTTTAGTCTAAATTTAGGTAATATCTTTAAGTCAGGAAAATAAAGCAATTAAAAAAAGACAAAGGAAAAAAAAAGGGTCTTTTGCTTTACTAGCTATAGACAGAAAGAAAGTATAGGGACGAATAATGTAATGGGCCATGAAGAAAAATTCTTCTGCTTCTAATGCAACAAAAAATATCCCTGGGGTGTCATAGATGTCTAAAGTGATAAACTGCACAGGCACATTGATTGAAAGTGTTTTAAAGTAAACCCTGTGTTGTGTCCCATCTTCCTTCTCATTAGTCCTTTTTCTTTTTATTCGGACTCCACACATTGTTTATCTTGCTACTTGTTTCTTCTAAGTGATTAAGAGTTATTCTTATAATTTTAAAAATACACAAAGTAGTTGAAGACAACCAAGGTCTTGCTCCATTTGAACTATCGACACTAACTAATACTATTCAAATAGAATGCATCTTCTTTGTAACATGACTTGTGTGTATTTTTTTTATTTATTGAATATGAGACATGCGGTTAAGCTTCATCTGAAAAAATAGTAACAATATTTGCACTTCAATATTCTTTGTATAATAAGCTTTTACACTATTTTCCAACACATAAATGCAAATTCTTGTATAGAAATTGTATCGATTTTAGTAAAAACTTCCCCCACAAATCACAGTGTTAATGTGGAATCAACCACTCATACTGCCTTTGGTGTAGGGAATATATCAAAATGCTTGTAGTGTAAAATCATTTGGGCTTTGTAGTGATTTAACAGTCGTAGATCTGGCGGAAAGAGTACAAATTGTTAATATTTAAACATAAACATTACCCTTAATTGTTTTGTAAACCCTAAAAAAAGGACCGTTGTCGAGCTTGTTCCTTTCTTAAAAAAATTAAGAAAGCATGTATAGTTAATCGGAGAACATGTTCATGCTCTCTTAGTTACCCTTAAGCCTTGACGTATAAAGCAATGAATGTCTTTGGTATGCATGATTTGCTTAAGCCTTGCGCGACAGTCCTAAAAAATGTTACTTTTCAGTTTGTTCATTTTATGGCTATATATATTTATCTTTGGTAATTATCGATGTCGATGTATTATTCGATTTGAGCCATATACTAGAAAAAATGGTGAACTTGTAACGATGATGACGATGAAGCCCGATTTCACTGGAAAGTAATATCTGAGTACATTAATTGATGTCCAATATGTCAACCTTTACTATACACAATTATTATGCATGAACCCAGTTGCTCAACCGAAGGGAATTTTATCATCTCTCAGTTGTGTCTGGCTTCCCTGAATGTACTATATTTAAATTAATTTCCACAGATCTAAGCAATCATGAAGAGGATTTGTTTTTCGTGGTTTGAGTGTTCAATTGCTCCTCTGTCTCTCACATCACATGTGGGTAAGATTGAAAACACGAATCAGCTAGTTGCCTCTGAGATACTTTGTAAAGAGGGTTGCCATGTTCTTGACTTAGCTGTGGCACTAGCAGCATTAGTTGCTGCTGTCCTTGACCCATGTCTTTCGGGTTTGGTTTCCTGAAAATGATAATTAAGAAATATAAGAATTGCATAGGCAGAAGCACCAATTATATATTAACATTAAATCCAGGAGTCTAATTCCTTGCAAGCAAAATTAAAACCAAGAAAATGAAAATTATGAGGCATCAAGTTCCCCAACAACCTAGTAAAGCCTTATTTAGTTAGTAAAAATACATCTGAATCAATTTGCAAATAGAACCCTTTAAAAAAAATACCAATAAATTTTTACTGTTGATTGAAAGATGTTGCTTGATGAAAAGTTAGATGACAATTATAAACACAAACAATACATCGGGCGCCATTCAAAGCTGTGCCTGTCCTTAAGATTTAACAACCATGAACAACTTGGAAGAGGAAACAGTAAAGAACAAATTTTGATTGAGATTTACCTGGTTGTCCTCAGGCTCAAACCTCCTTGCTGCTTTGTCCGTCCTTTCCTTCATCTGATTTAACTTTTGCGCTGGTTCTGACAAGTTTCTCTTCATCTTTGCTTGTTTCTTTGCCCAAAGACCCTTCATAACCTCTGAAGCCAAGAAGCACATAAAGGCTCAAATTTGGAAGAAAGCACAAATCTTTTAAAGGGTAAAAAACAGCATAAACAAAACGAAAAAAAGGGTAAGACTCAAAGTTTCAACTAACCTTGAGCTGAGATTAGTCTATAAACTTGACCAAGCACAAGGGTATCCGTTGGCTTGAGAAGCTTGATGCGGGTAAAGCGAACAGGGTTGGTGTTATTGTCACTCTTATTCGGGCAATTTTCATTGTTCTTGGTTGGGCACAATGTGGTGGAGATAAGAAGAGCAACATAGTGACCCGGGTTCGTCTTCATCACTTCACTAGCACTTACAGGCCAATACAACCTTTCTGCTTTCCCATTGGGTTGCTGTATCACTAGAGTTGCTGTATCAATGGCTTGGCAATTTCCCATGATCTCCTCTCTCTCACGCAACAAAGACGAGGATAAAAACGAAGGTGGAAGGGAATGTCGAAGTACCTTACCACAATATTTATAGCAGCCACAAGTTTTCAAGGGGTAAACAAACATACACTACATCCTAAAAGTTATGTACACATGGAGGGCCTATAAATACAGGTTAATAAGGCTTTTTAAGTTTAGAGACGCAAACTTTGTAGAAATGATGATATGAAAATTAAAAAAGGGTAGTAGTAGAAAGAAACATTTTGGCAAAAAGAACCCAAAATGGGGTGCGCCAATTTAGATGAAAAAGAAGTGGTGAAAGTGTTATCCAACATGAATGGACGTGGGAAGATAGGATTGGAGGGGTAAGGAAACAGATTAAAGTATGGATGATGTGATGTGCACCTCTATGGCGTTACATTCTCGTGGTCTACCATCTTTGGGTAAATATGAATTGTCCCTGTTCATTAGGTAATTCTCCAATCTTCATGAGTGTCACCCACTTAACCCAAGACATTAGACATGTCTCTACTCTCTAGCTTATAGCATGTAACCTTTTTATGATCCACGTTTTAGATCTCAAAACACCGACATTGACGTAAGAACAACAGCCACTATTTATTAACAACAATGTAAAACCAAAAAAAGTCCAGACATAAATCTCACTCATTTTAAGTACGTGGCTACACAGATATTTTATCCACACTTTCTACTGTGCACATAAATTTTCGCCTTTTTTAATATGGTAGATGGCCCTTTTTCCCTTATCAAAGTGCAATCTCTTTGTTAAGTTATGTTGTCAAACCAGTTTAAGTCATATTTATTGTGTATGACTTTTACAAAGACAAATCGTATTTCCCAACTGTAACTTTAAATGTTTTTTAATAATTCGCCTTTGCAAATTCCTTGTTTAAAAAAAAATATGCAAGTCATACATGTTATGCTTGACTGACCTGATGCAGATTTTCGTTTGTATTATGAAAAAATAGACCTATTTATAAATTCTTTTCATTTTTATAACAAGCAAGTCAGACATAACAAGTACGGCTTATATGTATTTTAGACTCTTACTAAATAATATCTAAAAATTAAAACATTAGTTAATAAATTGATAAATAATTTTTATTAAAATTTATGTTATAAATACATTTTAAATTATCATAAGAACATATTAGTAATTTTTAATAAAATAATTAAAAACATTTATAATTTTTTAATCAATATTTTTATGACACTATTTATCTATTTTTTAAATAACAAATACGCAAGTATATATTTTATACAACTTGTTTATTATTAAAATGTTTCAAAGTTATATTTAAGATATACAAGTGGCATTAATCTATTTAATTTATGAAGACGTACGAATTAAACAAGGCTTTTTCATTCGAAAAAAAATAGTGGCACTATTTTTTGGGGGGGGGGGGTGTATAGAGAGAACCACCGTAATGAGATTTAGACACTGAATTATAATTGTCTTAATTGCTGAAAAATTATTGTTAAGAGACCTAGCTTGTTTTCTTTTTATTTTTCAAAACAGTTCTTTTAAAGTAAAAATAAAATAAGATTTATTTGTTAACATAAGTTTTATTTCTATTTTTTAAAAATATTTTTTAACGTTATTTTAAAATATAATTTTTAAAAATTAAAAACAAAAACAGAAATAAAAACCCTAAATAGTAGAAAAACTGGCTACATTAAGTAACAAAATTTACCCATGTAAAAAAAAGATACTAAAAGTATGTTTGATTTTTTTAAAAAATATATTTTTAATTTTAAAAAATAAATTATAGTATAAAACTCTTAACCTTTTGAAAAAAAATAAATAGTTATGCATGAGCACAACATCAAATGTCTATAAAATAAGATGATGTACGGGATGAATATGTAAATATAAATTAATTAAATATACAATTTTATTGAAAATTATAAAATAAGTATTATAAATTTAATACATTAAAAATATAAATACTATAATTTTAAATGAAAAATATTTTTATTAAAAATTGATAAATAATTTAAATAAATATCTTTTTCTTCACTTTTGGTGACATTTAAAAGTGTCTTTTTTGAGAGGGTTGTGTATATATACAAAAAAAAGTTACAAATTAAGAAATTATCAACGAAAAAATTTCATGCACTCTTTAACGTTAGATTAACAGATATCTAGCAAAACTTAAATTTTTATAAATTTATATTAATAATACGATACATCATGTTGACAAAAAATTCGTTACCACATAAAAATAAATATATATTAATTGTAAGTAAAAATGGTTATATTATTAGTATAAAATTACAATATATTTAATAATTTATTTTTTTAAAACAGAAGTTATACAAATGAAATCAATTGTTATGTTTTACACTTTTTACTAATGGTAAATGATTTTTTTTACTAGTAATGAATATTATTTAACGATAAAATTTTAATATATCAAAATTAAATAAATTTGATTGTTTATTAAAACAAACAAAAAGTCCAAGTAAGCTTATGAAAAGTAAAAGTATCGCTTGGCCCATTAGCTCTGCAGTATATAAAATCTTCATCTCCTATCTCACATAATATTATATTATCAAACTTTAAAGATAGAAAATAAGAAAACAAATGAAGTTTCTTAGATGATAGCCTGGCACAGTAATGTACACTACCCATGTGTTCTCTCAGGTTATGCCATTATAAGATCCAAGACTTCCATATTCATTTCATTGGTTATTGTTTACTTAAATTTTATAATGGTTAACGTTTAAGATTTTGTACGCACTTTACTGATATTTTAATATTGTATATATGATCAAAACCAATAAACAAATTTTCGTGTGTTTATCAAGTTATAATTGTCGGTGATTATTTATTTTTTGGCTTATTTTGTATCGTAAATTGAAAAAGACAAGAACGCAAGAGAGAGAGAGAGTCCCGGTGAAGAGGGAGATGGATTTACTGTATATTATAAGATATAATAAAAAATGAAAATAATTTTAAAAATTATATATTATTTTTATAAATTGATGATACACTCTTTGGAATAAATCTTTAGTGCAGGTAGAAAAAGACGTAGGAGTATTTAGTATAGTCAACGAATCAAATCCGTTAGATGAAGATGGCAAGCTCTTATTCGATTTAATGGAACGATATCTGAATCGTCCAATCTTCATTCAACGATTGTAAATTAATGACTGTACAAATGCAATCTGGATCCATGAAAGAGACGCATAATAATTAATTGAGTGCACCATGTATTCCATGTTTGAAAACTACTAGTAGACCACTGCCACTGCCAATGATTAACGCTAGATATTGAGCTGCATGAAAATTTCAATCACTTGTTTAGAGATTATTGGCCATGTTCTTTCATAATCATTCTAGAATGAGAATGTGCATAATCGCTAGACTAAAGCAGATAAATGATACTGATACACAATAGCACAGTAACAAAGAATTGTAGTGGATTTCATTTTCAGCTGGAGAATGAAAGGGCCAACTTTGGCATGGCATTATTTTCCTGGACCATACAATAGAGAGAGAAGCACCCAAGTGGGTTCTCATCTCTTAAATGATCTTAGTTTCACTGTTTCAGTGAGTGGCGTAGAATCAACCATGAATCCACAAAGGTGTCATTTGCAACTGAGAACACTGATTCAGAATTCATAAATAAATTTTATTAAGAAAAACACGTTAAATTATGCAAGAAATTACGAGACTAATAGTGTTTAACGTTAAATGAATGGAAAGTTCATCACTTACTTGAATGGTAACACACACTAGTATTTCTAGCCTATTAGTCTCGTAATTTACTTTTGTATTCAAGACCTATAAGTGTCACTTCAGCAAAGGACTCTCTCACAAACTCAAACTCGAGCATACGAAATATATAAATAAAACAATTAAGTATCGCAAGTGTTTTTAATATTATTGTTTAATTATTTGATTGAATTTAAAATTTTAATTTAATGACTAATGTAATGTTAAGCTTTATTCTTATCATGTAAATTATTAATAAAAATTATGTTATATTACGGAATTATCCATTAACTCTTAATTTTATTTCAGTTTAATTATTGACTTTTTTTAATCTTTTAATTTATAAAAATATTTTAAATAAGTCATTTTCAATTAAAAACATTAATTTTATTAAAAAATTATCATTTATTTTCTTTTTTAAAATTTTTGACAAAATTATAATATATTTTAACAAATTTTTTAATTATTTTATTTTTTTCTTTCTTCTTTTCTTCATTTTATCCTTTATTTATGTCTTCACGACACTTGTCTCTCTTCTTTTGAATTTAACAAAATTTTTAATTTTTCTTTCCATTTTTTCTTCCTTTTCTTATCTCTCATTTGTACATCTTCCATTCAAACTTTAATAAATATCTTTTTTTTTTTTCTCTTTTTACGCTACCCATGCCTCCTCAACTTATTTTTACCTCTTCAAATTTTAACAATTTTTTTAATACATTTTTTAGTTGAGTCTTTAAATCATAGAAGGAAAAAAGAAATAAAATAAAAAAATAATATTAAATACAAATAAAGTACCATTCTTTATATTACCATCATTATCTATCTTCATTTTTTCTCCTATAATCTCAAAATTTAACTTAAAAAACTAATAAAAAAGAGAAAAAATTTATTAAAGTTCGAAGGATGAAGAACAAGTTGTGAAAAAGTATATGAGAGATAGAAGAAAAAAGAAAAATAAAAAAATAAAATAATTTTTTTTATAATTTTTTCCAAAAAAATGTGAATGAAGGTAGGAGGAGAAAGAAACAAAGAAAAAAATATGAAAAACAACAATTTTGTTGTCTCGTTATGTGGGCATAAATAAGAGGTGAGAAAAAAATAATTAAATTTTTTATTAAAACATATTATATTTTCTTTGTTACAGTTTATATAAGGAAAAAATAAATAATAACTTTTTACTAAAATAATTTTTTATGAATAAATATTATTTAAAATGCCTTTATAAGTTAAGGAACTTAAATGAAACAAATTAAAGGATTAAACCAAAATAAAATTAAAAGTACTAAATTTGCCTAAAAATTATAATATTAATTAAAATAATATAAAATATAAGTTTTACAAAAAAAAATTAGTCTTCTAAAAGTGTGATTTTTATTTTATTAATAATATTTTTATTATTTATTATTTATTTATTTAAACTTAAAATGATTTGTATAATTTGAATAGAATATGATATAAAATATGTCATTAATAATATTACATTTTTTTCAAAAAATATTATTATAAAGTTAAAATCTGGAGATATGAATAAAAATAAAGTATAAATATTACATTATTATAAATTTTATATTATATTATAAATTAATTCATATGTCATAAAAACAGATAATAAAAATAATTAACAAATGACTAACGTAAACCCTAAAATTGAAAAAATATTTTAGAGGATTTTATGTAGAATAAATTTAAAAATAAATTAATAAACAATTATATTTTTTGAATGATTAAAATATTATTTTTAAGTAAAATAAAAAAATGATGGAAATGGTGTCCTTATTGGATTTAGATTAGGACGACATGCGCGTCCTCTCGTGCGACTCACAGCTTTCCCTTTACTTTGAAAGCGTTTGCATTACAAAAGAAGAAGCATCCGATCATGAAAATGGTCCCAACTGGGCTTTGCTTTCTGATTCAAGGCCCACCCAAAAATTGACCTCGCTTCAATTTATTATATAATTACAACTTTGCCAGTGCATGTACCTTCTTATCGTTAGTTACTCTCTCTGTGGACGAGATTGACCTCAAATATCCATGCTTCAAGAATATCAATTTTAAATATAAATATAATTTGAAGCAGCTGTAAAAGTTGGGAGATTAAATTTAAACACTTAATAATACTAGTTTTTTATTTAAAATATTTATTACACTTTTATAATTTTAATATAATAAACCCTTTTTTTTTACTTTTAAAAGCTTAAACTCAATTTCAGAAACTAAAAATTACCAAAATATTGTTATTAACGTAAAGTGATGAACATGTCAATTAGTAACTTGAAAAATTAAATATAAATTAACTTGAAAACTCAATGCATCATTTGAGTGTCAACAAATACATAGAGAAATTTGATATCAAAGTAAATATTTATGTCAATTCAACATTTCACTCAGTTCCAGCTCAACAATCAATCATAATTCATAACCACTTTACCAGGCCATGTTAGATGTGTTTGTTGATTTTTTAAGTTTAAAATAATTTAAAAATTGTAAATCAATATTTTGCTTTATAATTTTTAGTATAAATTTTAATAATATATTTTAAATTCAAATTACAAAATTTATTTTCTCCTTCTTAATTTAAATTTATTTAACAATAAAATAAACATAGAGATTGAAAAGAAATGGAGATATAGCATTGATAAAGTTATAATGATAATAATAGTAACTATGATAGTTTTTTAATTAATTTTTTAGAATATTTTTGATAATTTTATATTTTAAGGTAAATAATTCTAAAGTTAAAGTAGAAAACAATTTAGCTTTATTTTAACTAAATACATTTTAATTTAAGATTTATCTCTAATAAACAAACTAAAAATTCACAGCTCAAACATGCCCTTGGCGAGGAAGTTTGCAAAAGGTGATATTATTAGTAAACATAAGCATTGTATCAGATATTCAGTGTCTTTCTGATCTCATTGCTGACAAATCACGTTGCTCCCACCTCTCTTTTTCTTATTCAATATTTTAACTCTGTTCGAAGTTCATTACCCTTTGAAATAGTTATATATAAAATTTAAGGCTTTTTATGAACTTTGTTATATTTCTTAATCTGTGTTTTTTTATAATTTATTCCATATAATAAGTATTATAAAATTATATATAATTAAAAAATATTAACAATATTTAATATTTTTTGTTTTAAAATTAAAGATTTATAAATATCAAAATTAGAATTATTTTTGTTTTGTATCTAAAACTTTAACCTTGAGTAGAGTCTTATTTTTTTAAAGCTTCTAAATATGTAAATGAATTATTCTGAATATACTTTAGAATTGATGATCCTAAAATTAGGATTTTTGAGGTGATTAGTGTAATACAAAAAGTAAATTATTTATGTATCTTGTTAATTAGTACTGTTATAATGTTAATTAAATAATTAAAAATATTAGTTTTTATTAAAAATTGTTTAAAAAGTATATTATATTTATTGTTAAAAGAATTACTTATATTTTTTAACCAGTACCGTTAAAATATTGATTAGCAACTATCATTATATGATTAATGTAAAGTTTAAATTATTTATTTAGATGGGCACTATTTCTTAATCTATATTTAGAAAGATAAAATAAAGATGGGCACTACATGTACATTTATAGTTTTAATTAATATTTCTCTTATTCAATGTTGTGTACATTTTTTATTTACTGAATACACTAATATTATCTCTAATAATTAGATACACATTAACATTTAACAACATAATAAAAAAGTGGTGTGACATTATTTATAAATAATAAAAATATTATTACATTTATTATTAACAATAAATTTAATTCATAAAAAATAAAACACAATAATAGCAAATAATCAAATTACTGTTCAACATATTCTTCGTAAAAAAAACTGTTACTTCTAATGAATACAAAGCCTAACCTAATATTTTGACGATATTTAGTTTTTGAAAGAAAATAAAAGTGAACAAAGTTTATGTAGATACATAATTCAATATAAAATTTAAATAACTAGTCAAATATTGTATATAAAAAATTATTTTAAAAACAATAAATTATAAATACAACATATGGATTATATATAATTTTTAAAACGGTAGCATGGAGACCATCCCAGGTGACACTAATACCATAGTTTTGCATAACAATTATAAATCTTTCACATGTGAAGATATTTGTTTTAAAATAGTATAAAGATATTTTTTTTAAATTATAAAGGGGTGAAATAATTAGAAAAAAAAAGGGGGCTGCAAAAAGCCCAAATTGTCATGTTTTAAATAATCCATCCACATGGACCATATTGGATTGCGGGTAATCTCCTTTCAATACGGTGATCGACAAATATTATTCATCTTTGGGCCTATTTGAATAAAATACAGAAATTGTAGACTGTTTTTAACAATTTCTATAAAAAAATGTTTTATGGAAAAATGATAGAATAAACAATTTGTAAGGAGTCTTATTAAAAATAAGCATAATTTTTTAAAATTATCTTATTTTCAAGGTTAGGTGAAAATTGGTCCAATTACTCGTTTAGAGCCTATAATTTAATATTTATGTCAAAATCAGGTTAAATCAGGCCAAAACATTTTTAAAAATTTTTAGTTTAAAAGCTAAATTTTTAACAATTCAAAAAGTCTTCAACAGGACTACCTATTTAAATAAATAACATTAGCATTATCACTATTATTTAAAACTATGTTATTACAACAGTTAGGCCTACCTTCTTTTTTTTCTTGGCTATTGATAAAATTTATCTTTTATTAATATTAGTCATCAACTTATGAAATGCATATATATTAGTCATCAACTTAAATATAGTTACAAAAATTTAAAAATTTATATATAATAATAAAATTTATAAATATAAACATAAAAATTTGCAAAATTTTAATAACAAATAAGAGTATAATTTATTCAATTTTAATTTTAAAAACTGCAAGTCAAAACATTATCACTAAAATTTTCTCTGTTTCTGTGAACAAAAAAGATATTATGGTAACTAGGATTCTCTCACTCGTATTATTAAAAACGATTAAATAAGAGTTTAAAATAATGCACTGAATAAGACAGATTATAAAAGTGAACATTATCATGGATCCATTTCCAGGTCAGCATTTACAGAATGAAAAGCAATAAAACAAATGTTTCAGAATATTCTATATAGCAAAAAAGGACTTGATATAACTATCACCTATAATAAGATCCAATCTCATATTAGAAAAAGTCAAATTACGACATTTCAGAGACTATGGGTGATGAAACCACCTATATATTACTTCAGCTGCACAATTACACAGATGGGAAATATTTGTTTAGGTTGAAAGGCAGTGAATAAAACTCCTCACTTCTTGTGTCAGTCTTGAAGGACCGGTACTTGTCCCACCAATGTTTTCCTCTATCTTTCCGAATAGCACCCTCCTTCTTATGTAGTGTGTTATCTAGGAAATATGCCAAACAACCCGCAACAAATGCTTTTGACTGGAAAGGGACATTCACTATATCATTGAACTGCCAGGTACATGAAAATGTCAGTGTAAGTAAATTCATCACAAAAGCCAAGAACAAACCAAGGTTTTATACATCACATTCATAGTTGCATACCCATCTTGCTCCTGTGTGAACTGGACCATAACCATCAATTGCTGTGTACTCATTGAAGTACTGTGGTATAGACAAGCCAAGGAAGATAGAGAAACCCAAAACAAACTTTGTTCTAAAACTGTTTAGGTTGCAGAATTGAAGAAAACTTAGACCTCCCGCTCCTATAATCAATGAAAGTGGAACATTACATGCTGTTTATTGTAAGTATCAAAACAAATCAAAAGTTCGAGTGTGTATTATGCGTATATTTTAAATCAGGCATACCAACATAAGCAAAGAACAAGCAGTACAATGCAGCAACAATGGGAGGTGGAATAGAGGCAAAAACTGCTCCAAATTTCCCTACACACAAAGAAAAATTAGCAATTGTTACAGGAAGAAATGCAGACATTTTCACTGAGAATTGAAATTTGCACCTACAAGTGTTACGGGCAAATTACATATTCAAATTACAGACATTTCATCTTCGACTCACCGAGAATTGAAAAGAAAATCATAAAACCAGCAGATATTTGCACCACTCTTCTACTGCCAACACGAGTCAAAGCCAAAAGACCAGCATTTTCTCTATAGGGAAACCAAATAAATACATTTCATCAACAAGGAAGTTGTTTTCTCTTAATTGAGGTAGCATACACAAACAGAATGATTTCAGCCTTACACAGATACAGAGGATCCATTGCCAGTTCCAAACAATCCTGATAACAGAATGGCAACTCCCTGAGGAGCAGAAATAAATTGCACAATCATCAGTTTATCCATTTTGACTTTAAACCATAAGGATAAAATATAGATCTAGTTCCTCATTTTGCCATCCAATTCTTAAATAGCGACTGTTTTTTTACGTTTTTTCTTATTTGGCAACATATATTTTTTTAATGGAGATTGCATGCTATTTATTGTTGAAGATACATCCACATGTCATAATTGGATTTGAAATTTAAATGGCAAGGATATAAGGAACTCGATTTAAGTTTTGTCTTATTCATAGATGCAATAAAAATTATTTTCAGATATTTAAATGCAGAAGTATTAGTTATTTGTGTACCTGCCACCCAATACCTCGACTAAGAATAGATGGTGGTAGTGGCGTTGCACTTGCATACCGGTAAACAGCAATAAAAGCTCCACTGGACTGCTTGTAGCAAATAAATTGTGAACATAAAATTTAATTATAGTATTCAGTGAAATGCAAACTAGCAACTGTGCAACACTGACTGAGAATTTACAAGCCAGATAATCTCTATATCAGAATGTCATCATGCATGCAGTAATTTACTATATGCAGGGCCAGATTTCGGTAGATCATATATTAATTACTACTACTTCCCTAAGTTGAATTGCATTAAAAAAGGTCAATTATTGCACTGGTTGAACATAGCTGCTAAACTAAAAAAATAATTTATCATGATTTATTCATTAATCATTTTCATATTATTGGTTAAGTTATCTTGTAAAGCCATTATATAAATTAAGTGGCTAAAGTTATCAATATTATTCCCAATTGCCATTCAAGAAAACAAAATCAGCCATTTTTTACATATTTCAAACTACTGGTAATTTTTTTCCTCAGGGTTAAACACCTGACTGACTTCCGTACTACATGCTTTTTTTTCTTCTAAGGAACCAAAAAAATAAAAATCAATCATGATGCTAAACTACTAGATTTGTAAAATCTATTTAAAGAAAGCAAATTAATTTCATGAAAGGTCAATTGTCTCTGTTTCCAAGAAAAATAAGAGTGATATGTTATCCTAGTTGTCTAGCTGTGATGTACTGACAAAATTCCCAGAAAAGCCAGGAAAATTATGAATATAAAAGCTTATAGAATAATTATTTATTGCATAGGAAGAATGATACCAATTAATGAATAATAAGAATTACTGTTCCAACCTAAAAAGAGATAGAGAAGATCTAAAGAAAGAAATTACCTCTACGAGAGCAACAAAGGATGCCATCATCATGGCAAAGGCCTCACCTGCATCAAAGGAAGGTGCTCCCCATTGAAAAGGATATGGAACCCTAATCCTGCAAGCCCAAAATCCACATTGAATACTTCCCTATAAGTTTCAAGTCACAAAGCTACGACTAGATGGTAAATTATCAGCGAATAATAAACTAATATCTCAAGGATGCAACAGAGTCTGGCGTGAAAAATATCAATTATGCCCATATTCTGAGGTTCAAAATAATGATACTATAGAAAAAGGTTCAAGAATGACAAATGTGAAAATTATTCACCGAACAATGATTTGATGCTTCATATTTTTTTCTAATTCAGGACACAGCCACCAGCCTCACAGCATAAAAGTAGCTTCTTCTAGAATTGATGAGGTACTGGCTTCAACAGATGGGATTTGGAAAGAAAAGTGCATACCATATTTGACAACAGAAAAGAAGAAAAAGAAAGAAATTATATGGCTAAATCAAAAAGTCAAAGCATCTTGAGGTTCTTCACATTAAAACTCAAACATGAAGGATCAACTACGAGGAATCTCCCCAGTTAGCACCAGTCCAAATTGCTGCATCCCTCATAAAAATAGTATACTTAAATGGAAATCACGAGTAAATCCCCATAATACCCCCATTTGCAAAAGATACAATTTAAATTTTATGAAGCGATCACATAGGCATATAATGTTATAGTGAAATATTACACCCCAAATTAAGGACATTGTGGTAATTAAATAATCATCTGCCAAAGAAACAGTAGCATCTAGCGTAGATAGTCAATGAAATTCCACAACTAACCATGGGGCAGCATCTATTAAACCAGCACGATCAGTTCGGCAGGTTGCCTGTGTTTTAGGTGCAGCATGGTTGTAGGCCCCTCCAACAGTGAGTATATAAGCATACAGCCATACAATTGCAACTGTAAATAAAACAGCAAAACGGCCAAAGATATGTTTTCCTGCATGCAGCACATGGGGTACAAACTGCATGTAAAATTAAAAACCATTAACTGCTATTTAACTCAGTTTCATTGAAGCCATCATGCAATAAAAGTAAAGAAATCAAGAGAACAAAATGAACTGAAGTCATGATACTGAGATTTTGTGACGTAGACACTGGTTCATGACACACTAAAGAAATTTACCTGTGAAACAAATACTAGCAGTATAAGCGCTGGAAGTCCAATCTCTACACATTTAGCAACCTACACACAAGCCAGGAATCAATATTGAATTACTTTTATCAATTAACTTTGAATCCAAGCAATTTAAATATGTAACAAAAGGCTTACACCAGGAAAGCCTAATTCGTAAAGCCCAAAACCAACAAGAGATACCAAAGGAACTGCTGAAAGTGGACTTAAGAACCTGAAGAAAGAAGTTAAAGTTACATCACTTGCACATATTACACTCAATCACAGGAACATTAAGTTTTTAATCTTTTCAGTTTATGGGGACTACATTGTTGATAAAAATCCATTGCACAAATCACTCAAGCATATCAGTATATATGTACTTCAAACATAAATTCAATAGGGACTATGGAGTAACAACTGACAACGAGCTTATGTCACAAAGGCATCTCTAATAGGTTACTCTTCAATTTAGACATTTTTCAACCATAGAGCTAGCGAATATAATCCAGCCACTTACTAAGAACTTGAGACCAACCTTGCAACGTTACGCCAAAGGCCACTAAATCCTAGCACTATTTGAAGAGTTGAAGCAACAATAAGAGCACCTTGAGTTGCCCGCATTATCCTCTTGAATTTCTGGATAAAAGAAAATACAGCCAAGAAGCAGGGGAAGAAAGTGATTAAACTATTCATGTAGCCCCAAAAAACAAAATAGTGATCAAGCAATTTCATCAAATAACCATCAGAATCTAAAGTCATATTCAGCTCCATGTATTAAAATTACACTCTTTTTTCTTCTTTTACAAATTGTCTCATTCCAAGGTGAAGGTATCCACAAGCCCACCAGGAACTCAAACCAAACCTTATTACATAGTTCTAACATCTGATATAGATTATAAATCATATGGTAGTCTTTGTTTAGCAAGCATATCAACCACACAATTTATAGAAGAAAAATGTTTTGATACAAGACCTCTATAGGATCTGGCTCATCACTGAATCGACCAGCAAGAATAATAGAGATCGTTGTTGGAACATAAGTATAAGACCCTCCAATTACTGCAGGCAATCGAGTTCCAAACAGAGTTTGCAGCAATGTGTTAATTCCAGCCACGAAGAGCAGTGTTTGGATAACTTTTGCCTTCTCCTCCTGCAAAAAACAGAATTTTAATTTTCTTCTTTTTATAAATATAATTTTAGGTTAGAAGAGCAGTGCAATCAAATGGTCAAAATTATTCCATATGAAATTTAAAATTTTTTTAAGTGTTTTAATTTGCCAATTCTTACATTGCCACCTCCCATCTGGGGAACAAGAGCAGTGGGAATTAGCACAGTTGTACCGAGCATCACAAGATAATGTTGAAAACCAAGAAGTATGGCCTCAGCTGCATCAGAATTCCCCCAAATTTCTCATTAAATTAAATAACAAAAATAAAAGCAAATATCTTTATCATATTTTTAACAACGTAAGCCCAGGGAAGGAAGTGATCCTTCAATTTTAAAATTTCAACTACTTAGCATGATGTCAGAATACGGCATTTAAATTGTCCATAAAATCCACATTGTTCAATCACTCGCACTGTTACAAAATTCAATAATATGAATAATAGTTTCCTTTTTTTGAAAAAGAAAAAACTTATCACAAACCAGAACTGAAAGTAGTATCAAAATAATCAGTAAAGTACCCAATCCGGATCTGGAAATAACTGGAAAGAGCCTCAAAACGAATATGGAATAACAATACAGTTATAAAAGGGAAAAACAAGAGGGTTAAAAGAATTTCAAGTTTCAATCAAGTAGACATATGAGAGGTAAAAGTAGAACCCTTTTTTCTGTAAGTTCCCTCATTATTTCCTCCTCTACATGCCTTGCAAAACATAAGAGACATAAGAATAAGATATTTTGTTTTTCAACAGATTCATTTTTTCCCATCAAAGCAACTAAAAGGATAGAATTAGATAAAAAGCTAGCACCAGCAAACAAACAAGGTTCTCACAAAACATGCTTTTAAATATACCACAGCAGCTAAGAGATTAGAAGAATCAGGTTCAAAGTAAAAGCACGGAAACAGAATCTATGAAGAGAGAAACTCACGCCATGGAGGAGGACTCGTAATGCAGTAAGAAACATTGGGAAGCTGATCTTTTGGTGGATGTGGCTGTGGCTCATCTACCTTAGGCGCTGGAGCTCCCCCACCTCCTGCCATAACTCTCTTTCACCTACAAACTGCAAGGATAAAAAAATCAAAACCCAAATCTGAAACAAAACACACTCAGAAACAAGAATAATAAGACCCAGCTACCTAAACACAAGTGGCCACTGAACCACGGAGAAGAAAATAAAGGAAAAAACGGAGTTTGGTTAATAACAGCAGAACATGATAGAGTAACCGTGAGTTCGACAGTGCTAGAGTTCCCTTAGAGTTAAGAAAATAGCTACATCAATAATTGTCCAGTTTAAGAAACAATATATGAGAAGAAAAAAGGCACCTTTTAACGATGTTTCAGGGAGCAAAATTCAAGCGACTTTAAAGTCAAAAATCTCAGGTACCCCACACCAACCACGATAAAAATAAAATAAAAAAAGAAAAGGTTTGAGTGAAAATAAGAGAGAAAACGAAACCCAGACGGTGGAGGTGTTATGGGGCAGTGTGTGTAGACTGTAGAGTGGGAAGTAAAGCAAACTCCAAAGGGTAAAAGCAAACACAAAATGACCTTCAGATTCTCCGTATTTTTTCTACCAGAAACTAGAGTCCTTTTCCTTTCTTTCTCTAGGTGTACCTGTACACAACCACGAGCTACACAGTCCTAAATAGTATCATATGCGTATGTTTGTAGCTTCTCTCTCCTCTTCCTCTGTTTTACTTTCCGACAAATTATTTCACATCTCACATTTATGTTTTCTTTTTCACTTCTCATTCGGTTGCGGTAGTGGCTTATGCTTGTGCCAAGTAGAAGGAAAACCAAACCTCGTGGCAAATATTTGGTTCAATTTTTCTATAAAAATAATATTCGTTTTATTTTTATAAATTTATATTAACTGATTGAAGCAAACACGTAGCATTATAGTAATGCTTTAAATACCGAACAATTTATTCATTAAGGTAAGTTGACACATACACGTAAAAGAGAGAGCGAAGTGCAAACAGCTTCTTTCACTGTATCTTGAGATTATTGTAAGGCGAAAGAATAGAAATGTTGAAACTTGATTGTTAGTTAAAATTGATGAAATTTGAATGAGAGTTAGTTTGAAAATGTTAAACTGAATAACTATTGTTATTAATTTAATTGAAAGAAAGAAAGAGTTGAATTGGGAGGGAAGAGGATCACGTGAAGAGGAATATTGGGGGCGCCCAAACCATGGATACTTCGCAATCCCCCAATCCTTGTTAGCTTGGCTGTCCCTTATTGACTTACAACTGTCATTTTTTTTTCAATATTTTTTATTTTTCACTTTTTAATTGATCCTATAAATCAATATTAATAGTCATGATTTTTATGATTACTCTGTAATTTTTTATTTTTACTTTGTTTTTTAAAATAGTTTTTATTTAATTTTAATTTTAATCTATTTTCAACATTAAAAAAATTATATTATCTATCACTTAAAAATTATTCTAAATATGCTTTTTAAAATAACTATTATAAAATTTAATGATTGTCAGTAGCATGACAACTTTTGCTTTGAATGATTGTATTAAAAATTTTATGTTATTAATATATTTCAATTGAATTCATATATTATACGTATCAAGTGAAAAAACGATGGTAAAATAAACTTCTATTTATTAGCAAAAAAAAATAAAATTCTATTTAAATTATGTTTATTTACAAAAAAAATTACAATATTTTATAGTTTTCATCTCTAGACGGTTAAAAATTATAGTAATTAAATTGAGTAAACATTTATTCTAATTTATAAAATATGCAACATTGTTTAAATTAATTTTTTTAAATTAAAATTTTAAATTTTAATCCTTTAGATTAGTAATTATTAATCAATTTAGTTTTCATCATTAACAAACATTAAAATTAAATAACAAAATTATTATTTGTCACATAAAAGTTTATTTTGAACATTCAACAATGTTAATCATTTCTTTTCTTTTGTTTCACCTTTTTCTATTTCTTCAATGGCCATAATGTTCACTTTTTTAATTGAAACTCTTACAAACTGCTCTGGTGTATAATGTTGTACTCTTTTTTATGATAGAAAGTATAATTCTCACTTCTATGCACTTCTTCTTACTATTTTGTTTTTTTCCTTTTTCTCAACCACACTAATAATAACATTTGATATTTTTAAAAAATGAGATTCTTAAAATAATTTAAAGTTATTAGTTCTTGTTGCTTTTGCATTCTCGGATTTAAAAAATAAATTGGTACGAATAGATAAAAAATGGTGAAAATTGAAAGTTGTGGAGTGGCAGAAGAAGTGGAAATGGAAAGGAAGGATGTAAAGATACAGAACACAGAAAAAACTCACAAGAGTGAGAAGTTAACATTCTATTGCGAGGAAATGTAATATTACATGAAATAATACGGAGGTTTGACAAAGTTATTGGAAAGGGGATGTCATTATTGCAACAGTGAGAAGAGGAATGGAATAATACAAAATAGAAAAACAGGAAGAGACATTGTTGTATAAAAATATAAAATATAAATAATTAAAAATGAAAATGAATTATTTAAAAAAATTATTATTATTTTATATTTAAAATGGCATTGATTATGTTACTTAATATGATAAATTATTACTTTATTATTTAATGAAAAAGATGTAAATAATTGATATTTGTTAATTTTTGACAAATTTTAAATTTAGACAATTCCAATAACTAAAGTAAGAGTTTACACTAATTAAATTTAAACATAATGAAAAAAAATCCAACTAAATAAAAAAATTAAACAATGTATCTTATTTCTTATATTTTTAAAACTTAGACCATTGAGTATACAAACTAATAAAAGCTCAGTCTGGTATTCCTAGATAAATTATTGTAGAAAAATAAATAAATAAAAAACAATAAAATTTATCTAATAAGTTATAAAATTTTTGTTTTTATATTTTTTGAAAGTTTATTCGTTTAACTTCTATAGAATTTGAATAGAATAAATTATTTTTTAATTATGAAATGATTTCTATTATTTTTTATATGTTTTTTATAAAATTTTCTAGAAATTTACTTAAATTAGGCCAAAATATATTTTCATTAATTACTTAAAGTATACCTTGCTCAAGATGATTGAGATGGGAGAAAAATTTAAGAAGCGATTGTCAAAATTCAATGGATCATAAATTTTATTTTCTACATTCAAAATGCTAAAAATTGAAGAATTTTAGCCAATAATTTATATATATATATATATATATATATATATATTAAAAAAGAAAAAAAAGATGGTTACAATAAAATGATTGAAGTTTCCAGGTAGCCAGCCTTATCCAAATTCACATATTCCATGGCATTGATCTTCCTCGCCCCGCTCCTCAATGACAATATTTTTGGAGGTTTCTTAATTATCATACACTATCCTCAAAAAATGTTTATGGGATTTTTATTGTGTGTATTCTAAAAATATAATGATATAATTAAGATTATTGAATATTTTAAAATATTTATAAAATAAATACTAAAATTAATTACATTTTTAATATAATAATAATTGGAATACTATTATTTTTAATTCTTATCATCATCGTGTATGACTTTTGTCTAACAAAAAATAAATTATTAATAAATATTTTAATTATTTATATTAATAATATGTTAATAATTTTTTTTTATTAGTATAACATATCACATCGATATAAGAAAATCAAAATATTTACACCGATAATTTTTTTTATTAAAAAATATATTAATAAATATAATCCAATAATTTTTTTCATAAATATTTCATTTACCGCTCAGTCCAAAAGTTTTTTTTTTTTTGGTCGTGAGTCTAAAAGATTTGCATAACGTGAAAATGACATTATATTTTAAAAACATTCTTTAAAATTAAAAGGAACATCAAAAGACGTTTCCTTAAATTATTCATAAATCATTTTCAGTTTTTTCAATCTTTTTCTTTTACTTTGTCGCGAGAATTGAGTTTACTGAGAGAAAAAGAACAAAAAAAAAAAGCGTGACAACGTGGAAAGACGTATGCGAAAGTGCCTTTCGTATTCAGAAAGTACATTTTCATTAAAAAAAAGAGTGGCTTGTTTTTTAATTCACTGTGAATCTCAATTAACTGAAGTCACCCTTCAAAACTCCATCGCTTTCTCTCAAATCTTTTAATGTTGATGCCGATCCATCATAGTATTTGGTTAGACATATATTAATTATCTCGATTACAAATTTTATGTTTATAACTTTAATTTCTAAGCGAATGATTCATTCATTTTATTTTGAAAAATATCTGGTTTTATTAGTTTTTTTTCCTGCGATGCTAATATTGTTTATTTATATTTTACTTCAATTTAATCTTAAAAAATTACCTTAAGAATATTATGGACAGTTTTTAAATTATAGAGACGCAGAATATGAAGAAAAAAAATTGTACTTAGCATCTTACTGGTGCAGGCATCCTTATCTCCACAGGGTCCGAATAGTCGAACTGAATCAGATTCTGGCTATTCATTAGAAAAACATAAGTGTAGTTCAACTAATCCATGGTATCAAGCTGAAAGAGTTCTCAAAGCTGAGACTTAATTTATTATTGTTAGAAATCTAAATTGATAAATGGCATAATTAAGATTAAGGATGATTTCACATCTTCGAGAAACAATCAGTGTGTCGTTTCCTTTTTATGTGCTCATAGTTTTAATTTCCTAGCCCACATGATTATTCATTTATGTCAGGTTGAAATATCAGTAGGTATATTATATTGGTCCACAACTTGTCTCTATTGGAGGGAAGAAAATAAAAAGATTGCAATTGAAGCTTGGAATTTAAGTAAGAGAACTTGAGCTCCCTAACATTTGTCCTTTTCTACATGTACTATATTTCTATTGCACTTGAAGACATGTCAAATTCATATAGGTGGATTATTAAATTTTTAGGATAACCACAAAGTGGGCATTAATATGATAAAGCAATTGGAATCACCAAACATTAATCAGAGTATTAATTTAACCCAAAAAAATGGCGAGGGAGGAAATGTCTACAGTGATGAAAAGAATGATTGAAATAGTGATGTGGGAAACATAAAATAATGGTTGGTAATGGACCAAGACAAAGAAACCAAGCAACACAACGTGGGTGTTGCTATCAATCTCACTAGGGATGTCCATATAAACCCAAAGCCTCTATCTCTGGTTCTTTCCCATGCTAGGGTCACGAAATCACTATGCCTTCTCAGTCTTGGAAACACGAGATATGGTTGTTAGTGCCTTCTTTATCTATGATCTTGCACTCCATGTGCTTAGAGACAACTTATACACATGCAATGTGCATTTTTACCTTGCCTTCTTTGCGTGACTCTCTGAACTACAAAGTGACATCACCTTACTGGGTAACCCAAATTAATCTATATATTTTAATTTCTCTTTCACACCCCAAACGAGTTAAGGGTTTTATGCCTTAAAAAAAGGCATTGTTCAAGACTTTATATGAAGTGAAAGTTTGAAATAAAACATGGTGTCACTGTCATCAAGGGACAGTTATATTGTTACGTCTCTGTGTGTGTATATTTTGAGTCCCAAAAGTTAAAGATTTAATGAAGGGACGCGCCTCAATTATGTAGTAAAGGCGCATTCTATCTTTCTTTCGTCACCCGTTTTTATTTTAAAAGCATTCATTATTCATACTTGATTTTATTGACGTAATACGACTTGTTTTATATTTGGAACAGTGCCCAATCTATTGAGAAATTATTGTCCTTGCTAAAAGCTCAATGCCTATTTCCTGTATTAAATAGGTTAACTTAAACTTTATATAAATAGGTCTTATTTATTTCATAATTTCAAAATTTAACTTTAATTTATTATTTGTTACATGTTTTTTTATCAAATTTAATTTAATTTTTTTAAAAATTTGCTTTAACCTATTAATTTATTTTGTATTAAATTTTTTAAATAAATAAATAAATTATTTTATTATTTTTAATTGAAGAAGTCATTCTGTTAATCTAAAAATAAAAAAAAATTAATAAAAAAAGTTATATATAATATAAATAAGTATGTAAAAAAATAACAGATGAGACAAACCTATAATAAATGTAATTAAGACAACATAAATGTAAATTAATGTTATGCTTATAAGAGATTAAATAACGGTAATGTAAAAAATTTTACCAAGTAAGATTCTTTAGAATATTTTTACACTTTAATGAAAAAAATTAAATTTTCTAATTTAAAATGTTATTTATTTAAATTTTAATTATTTAATATAATATTATATTATAATTTATATAATATTATTTAATATATTATCATAAATTTTATGAGATTTAAATAAGTAATTATAATAGGTTTAATAGATTTTTTTAAGTTTAAATTTAATCTATTTAATTAATTAAATCTTTTATCAATTTTTAATTAATCATATTATTTAAATAGCACAAGCTAGGTTTAAAAAAAATTAAGCCATAAATTTTTTTTGAACAATATAACCTATTTCTATCCCTAATCTATAGTTGCAATGTTAAATTTAAAAATAAAATAATTTTTTTTATTTCTAGTTTAAGCTTTTTATACACAAATTGAAAATACAATGAATATGTACGTAGTTTTAAAAAAAATTCAATTGGCCCTTAATTTATTCTATCTTTTTTTAATAATTTTTTTGGTTAATTAAAAAATAATTGATATTATCCATTTTCCAAAATAAAGGTACATTGAAAATATAACAATTAATGTTATCTTGAATTTAAATATAGATAAATAAAGCAAATTTTTTTCTTCAAAATGATGGTTAAAAAGAAACCATCGACTCCATGTATGGCTAACATTTTCATGGACAAATAACTACTAAATGTAAACATATGCACGTAACACATTCTATTGTGCTTTCCATGCAACATTACGCCAATTCTCATGATGTGTCTTGGGTTGGGGCTTTGGTGTGGTCCTGATCCACGACGTCTTGTTTTATGAATGCTTATACACTATCAAAATTTATTGTTAAAGTAGCCCATACATATAACAAACCATGACGTGCAGGCCGAATGACCAATTTGAATCCATTCCTAAATAAGATTCCTATCTGGGTCGCCCCCAAAAACAGATTCCTATGTTGACCTAAGAAACTTAACCCCAAAAATAAAGGTTCATCTTTTAATTGTGAAAGATCCATTTGTTACAGTGAAAAATAATTGAAGATGTTACGTTGGTATCTTCCATTCCAGGCTTCACTTGTGTTTGGATTTCTTAGTGCAAGTCTATTACTGTTGATCCCCCTCCCCCCCCCCCCCCCAAAAAAAAAAAAGCAGAAAGAAAACCCACGATTTCCCCGTCCGTGTATGAAGAAATTGCACATTTCTTTACTTTACAATTTTAACAATTCTCAATAAAATCCATAAACAAGTTCAGTTGATATACAATTATAATGGACTTGTTAATGAATCTCTTGGGATGCTGATTATAGAATAAAAATATTCAAATGAAAAATAAAATAATTATAACATAGTAAACATAAAACACACAGCTCTATCAAAATATATTTTTTCAAATGTATCTAGCTCAATCAAAAACCATTTTTTCAATCATAGATGTGAATGAAACAAACAAATGTGAAATGATCTTCACTTTTGATTTCATATATGTACGATGTATCAACAGAAACATAATAATAGCTAGCCAAGAATAATTGGCTTTGACGGTCCTTTCCTTACAAGAAATCTTTCCCCAAGTTCAATATTTCCTCAAGACATGAACCTATCAAGAAATTTTAAAAAGCCAAAGGACCTAAGTCAATTTAAAATTTCTACAGAATGATGATTGATGACATTTTCTCCATCGCGAAAAAAAAAGCTTTTGATGAAATACGGTTGAGATGTTTTATTTAAGTCGAACTATATTCCTTCCACAGATGACATTTCTGCAATTTCATTGAGACAGATTAAATTAAACCCACGAAGAATAGAGTACATGATAATCCTTAAACAACATACAATCAATAAATAACCAACAAAAGGCTCGTCATGACTAATAATAATAATAATAATGTACTGAAAGCAGAAAGCCATTCCACCATCTAGTGTACATCTTCTATCTTATTAGATATTGTAACCATATATCACTTATTCTTTCAGTTGGGTATATCATACATACATGGATAATTTTGATTGTGAGTGCTAGATAGTAAATATGAAATCAATAAACACTTATTGACCTATCCCTTTTCAGAAGTAGGAAGACAGTTTCAAGTGCAGGAGTGTTATTATATGAAATTTGTGTCCTGACATATGGAAGATAAAGCTGTAAGATATCATATGGAAAAAGTGTACTGACAGTAGACACCCTCGATGTGGTTTTTTCTTCTTTTCTTGTTTTTGTGGAGGCTTGATGACCACCTTGATAGCAGCATCAAAAACTGACTTGACATTCTGGAATTAATTGGATTAAGAATATGGGTCATTTGCAGCAGAATTTTAAAAATAACACAAGGTATTTATCTGCAAAACTGGCAAACACTATCTTCTGAAGCAAAACTGAGACGTAGATATAACTTCAAGCTTAGTTTTACTGTGTGCATTTCAAATCCAAAGTAATCATTAGGGACAATTAGAATCTTTTGCATATTCTCTTAAGAGAACTAACTTCCTAGAGCGGGTAACATATAGAAATCACAACTTCTGGTCAAACACACTAACATTATGGTTCCTGCTCAAAATTGATTAAACTTTTTGCCCAATTGCCGCACACCAAACATATTTACAACACTTAAACCTTTTCCCCTAGGTGTAGTCAACTACATCAATCAATTGGTACCATTGGACTTTACCAAGATTTTCCTCAAATCCTTTTAATTCTATTATCTTAAATTTGATCCATCTTTCTCTCCAGCGCATAATTTCAAAATAAATTGTTCCCTTAGCCTTGCATTTCCCAGTGCAGTAAGTACTATGTCCGAAGTATGTTCTACTCAGTAATGTAATGGTGAACAATCTGATATAATGCTCTGAATTAGAGTTGAGTTAGTTTTCTTTTGAATAGAATGTGAAAATTTGTCTATACATCACTCAAGATCAATACATTAAGGTGTTGAAAGAATAAAATGGTAGTATAAGCATACCTGCTGAGTTTTGGAGCTGCACTCAATATAATATGTAGCTCCTACCAGTTTACGCAATTCCTCACCCTGATTATGAACCAAAACAACAGTTTCAATAAGCACTGCCTATAAAATTCTGTACAGAGCTAATAAAGTAAGACGTTGTACTTGCTCGGAAGTCACTGGCACCAAACCAGGATGATCAGCCAAATAGTGCTTGTCCTCTCGGAGATCTACATGATTATCATAAATAGTGTTACGTGTAGAAGTCCCCGAACTTTGGGAAGATTTTACCAAGTTATGTTGTTCAAGATATCTTGTAATTCCATGTCAAAATGATAGCCTAAAGAATCTAATATATACATATAGCATGGACCTATAGCTATGGTTAATATGGTGTTGGTATTGATGGGTTCTAGTTTAACAGATCTAATTTTTACTGCAGTAGGGTAAATCTTTATGAACAAATTGGCCATAACAAAGAAACTAGAACTATAAACAGAAGATACTATAGAATTGGATTGAGACAAATTTTATGACCATTACTCGATGACTTACCCAATTTGGTGCCAACTAGCACCACTGGAATGCCAGGAGCAAAATGCTGGAGTTCAGGGATCCACTGAACAGTACATACAAAATTAGAAAATAAAAGAGAAATCAACAAGACATATCAAAGTACTAATACAGTTCAGAGACTCAAGCACACCTTCTTCGACACATTCTCGTAGCTGGCGCGACTCACTAACGAGAAAGCCAAGACAAAGACATCTGCCCCCCTGTAGCTCAAAGGCCTCAGCCTGTTGTAATCCTCTTGCCCTAAGAAAGACAGTGGAAGCAAATGGAACATAACCTTTGCAATTGGACTTGACAAAATTCTCTCAGGTCCATAAGAAATCAAATTGCACCCATTGTGAGAATTAAAATAGCTAATCTCCACCATTTAATCTTACCTGAATGATCAAGATAAGTCTTAATTAAAACTTACCTTGATCATCTATGTAAGATTAAATGGTCAATATCATCTATTCTCATCACTGATGCTTTTAGGCCCCTATATATACACTACAACAATTGACAATTGACAAGTCTGTGTAAATTATACCAGCAGTGTCCCAGAGGCCTAAATTGACAGTTGTGCCTTCAACAACCACATTTGCACTGAAATTATCAAACACTGTTGGAATATAGTCCTGATAGCCAAACAACCCCACAAGCAGAGATATCCAACATAGGGGTTAAAAAGCAAAAATATCAGACTCCGTTACACTATACATAAAGAAATTCAACAGAATCAAGATACCCAGATACAAAGTTTGGTTCTTTCAATGATAATTACAACATTCCCTCCTTCCCGAAATGGAACACTGAGTGCATGAAATTTATAATGATCTCAATTGAACACTACAACTGAAAATCTGACAGAAATGAGAGAGAAGATAAACAGCAAAGAATTGATACCGTGGGGAATTTGTTGCTTGTATAGCAAATGAGCATGCAGGTTTTGCCTACAGCTCCATCCCCAACGGTCACACACTTGATGAACCTTGAAGCAGTTGCAGCCATTGAATTTGATTTGGTCCCAACACTGCAACCACAACAACAATAAGAAGAAACTCTCTGAAACACCGTGTTTTGCTGAATTTGACAGATAGTGTGTCTATGTGTGTGTATGTGGCGGCAGTTCACATGATTCTCACTCATTCACTCCTTACTCAAGCTGTACCTTTCTTTTTTCAAATCACTTTTAGTTTATCATCTTTTTTACCTTTTAGTTGCCTTATTTTTCGGCTTTGGGAAATTAAACTAAATACTTTCCTAAGTTAAAATATGGAAATCAAATATCATTACTCTACAGTGTGTTTGATTTTACGTAAATCTACTTAAATACAAATTTATGCTACAAATTATAATTTTTATATTAAAATGTGATTTTATTATGTTTTTAAATATTTAAGTAGCAGTATGTTGCACCCTTGCAGGGCTATATTAGTTATTATTAAAATGAATTTTGTGTGTCTTACAGTTATTATCAAATTGAGATAATTTTTGTCTATTTAATTAGTTCTATATTTTATAATTTTTAAATCATAAATATTTTTAATATTGATAATAATTTTTTATAAAGATAAACATGTGTTACTTAATATTACACAAATTAAATGATGGGTTGGTTACCCACTCTTACATCATGTGCATAGATTTTAAAAAAAATTATTATTAGGCTGAGGGGGTCAGGGGGTTGAAGTTAGTTGGAAGCATTTATAACTAACAACCATGGTGACCACTGTTACCATGTGTGTGGTGTAGCTCATCATCACCACAGGGGTTATTACATTAATGTTTAAAAGTTTTTTATTTGTTTATTTTATTTATATTCTCAAATAGGAAAGAGCTTGTAAGACACTGACAAATGTCACTTAGTTCAAGAAAAATTTAGTCTAAGTTTTTATTATTTTGTAAAAACAACGAATTGATAATGCAGCCAAAGCAAGCACGTTAATCCATCGCTAGAAGTGTAAAATAAGAACTCAAAAGACTTCAAAATCATGTGTGAATAATGTTAACAAATATAAAATTAGTATTTGTCAAGTTAAAGTAAAAGGAACCGATTCAACAAACCATATAATAAAATAAATATTATAAAAAAAAAAACAATTTACCTTAAACATGTGATTTGTGGGGAGGACGAAACATACGATGGGTTGGAATGTCGGGGCAGTGATTTTTTAAAAAATTATATAATACATATTTTACTAACATATTGCGTTTTGTAATAGTTACATATTAATTAATTTCAATTACGTTGTATTATAAGAGCATTAATAGAAACAAAAACTGAAAAGTCTTAAAGTTAGAGATGATTTGTATTTTTACTATAATGCATGAAAAAGAAAAAGGTAAAAGAAGTAAAGAATTGTCGGTTATGGCAGCATAAAGATTCATTGAGTGAGGTTGTGGTGGCTTTATGGGGAGAAAAGGATGGGGGGCTACACATTATTAGAGGCATTAACACGGGTTGGTTGAATGTTTAAGTGAACATTAAGCAACATCGATGATAAAAAGGGATAGCCCACAAAAGGATCCATAGGAACACTATGAACACAAATCAAACTATCCTTACACTATATTGCCTGCAAAATCTAGCTCAAGAATTATAATTTCCCATCTTCGCGTTTTATGTTTCTCAACAGTTCCTCAGACATCATTGTTGTTTTTTCTTTTGCCTTCTTTTAAACTTTAAATCAATTTCATTGAGGCAAATTAAAATGCTCATGCTTGAAAATTAATCTTCATAATAATCAACATTGTTTCTCGTGTTCCTCGATGATGCTTGGTTGTAAGATGAAACGAGTCTTTAGTTTTTAATATATGGATTACGGAAATGGATAAAATGAAGTAGAATAGAATGGAGTGATACTGTTTTTATTATTTAGATCGTTTAAAGTTGGATAAAATGGAATAAATTTTCATTTCATTCAGCTAATACTTTTTTTTTTAATTTGAAACTAAAATATCATTCACAGTACCCTCTTTACCAGCCTTAGCAGCGATTTCTTAAATATTTGTATGAAAATTCAACAAAAGAGTTTTCATGATTTAGTAAAATTTATATGTTGATACAATATATTATAAATGTTTTTCTTTGTTTACGATTATTTTCAGACAATGTATTTTGAAATTTTAAAAAACTTGTTAATTTAAGTGATAAGGAATTTAGTTCGTTTAAAGTAAAACTTTAAATTTGGGATTTGCAGATATACCTAAATAATTTTTTAGAAGGAGTATATTTTAATATTGTACACCAAAATTTTAAGACAAAAAGATTTCATTTGCATGAAACAACCTCAGTAGACAAAGGACATTTAAGTCAATTTATTTTAAATGGATTAAAAAAATGAAAAAAAAAAAAAAAAAACTCCTCCCAGAGTCCTAGTCATGTCTTTCCTTAACTTGGGAACTATGTTTTTCTTCTTCTCAAGGCATACACTGCCATTGTTAAGATGAATTTCTTATTATTTTTTATGTTTATTATTTACAAAAGTCATTAGTTATGATGACTCTTATTGTTGTTTTATGGGCGTTCCAGGATATCATGTGAGCTAGCCCATCCTATTTGTTAATGATGATTAGTCATTAATTTATTGGGAGATGAGATACAGATTTAATTTCTACTCAATTTATTCTTTCTATTCTGCAACAAATAGCTCATATATATATATATATATATATATATATTTGCAGAGTTTTTTTTAGCAGTAGATTCAGAAATAATTATTAATGCTTGTGTACTGGGCAAGGGGTCCTTTGAAGAACATAATCAATATACTAGTTGTATTAGATTAACCATAACAATTTTTTATTTATTAAAAGATAAGAGCCAAGCCAGAGATCACTTTTACACCTTGCAATCGGATTTTTGATTGGATAAAACTTAAGTGTCGGAAATAAAATTCAAACGGCTTCGCAATTCTATCAGATTTTCTCCTTTCAGTAAGGTTGTTGCATCTAAATAAAATTTAGTTTATTTGCCCTAAAATTTTAATATATAATGCTAAAATACTTATGCATGGAAATAATTATGAAATTGTCATTTTGAAAGATATGTTGCTTCAGTTTTCAGAAGACTATCAATGGCCAAGGAACACATTCAATTCCATCATCTCATATCTTCAATCCAATCAACAATCCACAAATCTGCAAGCAAAAATCCTCAAACCAAGCACATAAGTGAGAGCAAGGTTGTCTACAAGTTGAAACCCAATCTTTAATGTTGGTTTTCTCTATCTTTATCAATCAACAAAGAAGAGTATATATCGTATCAAAGAGAATTCCACATGTAATGATAGTTAGAAGCAACTGTTTTTCTTACTTGAAGAAGTTGCATGGATCAATGTTTCAATGGAATGAAATCCCCTCGCTATCGTCGAAACTCATTAGATGCTCTAATCAAGCAGTAAGGGAGATTTAGAATTCCTACTACATAATTTGCTTTTGATTCTCTTGTTTCTTTGAAGCATATTAACTTATTCAGCCATGACATTTTTCTTTCTGTAAGCTTGTGATGGTAGAACTGCGACTCCAATGTTGCAGGGCATGGTATGATATATGAATGTTAATGTAGAGGTAGCGAATCACAGTTATTTGCTGCATAAATAATTTTCTAACTTCATTTTGAAATTAATCTCTAATTTTAACTTCTATTTTCTTTTGTTTTTATATTTTTTGTCTTTAATTATAATATATATTATTCAATTATCGTACATACATATAAATAAATATAATATTTATAAAATTACTATAAAAGTATAATACTTTAACCTTTTGTTATAGCATAATAACTTTTCATTAAATTAATAATTATACAATATTTTATTATATATTAATTTTTATAATTATTATATTATAAACTATAAAAATTTATATTTTATAAACTGATCAGTTATAGATAAATTCATAAAAATATAAATTATAGTTTTTTACAGTTTATAATAGAATAATTATAATGTTTGTAATATTATTTTATTATTTTTATTATTATAATTTTATAGTAATATTTTAATAATTATATTATGTCAAAGTTGAAAAATTAAACTAGAAATAAAAGCTTGTTTACACACAGAGATATATATAATATTGTAAGGAAACAAAATAATAATAATATAAATTATACATCTGTATATAATAATTATTCTATAATCTATGTATCTAATAATATATTTCTAATACACAGATTTTTTCTTTTTTTTGTAAAAGTATGTATATGCAAAATTATGTTTTTCTAAACACTTTAAACATATTTGAATAATTTAAATATAATTTTTATTTTATATTATAAAATAAAATATTAAAAACTTTTAAAAATTAAATATCATTCTTGATTTTTATACAAATTTATATTATTTATAATAAACAAAAATAATTTTATCAACAATATGAATTTATTTTATATAAAACATAAAGACACACGTGTACTTTAAAATATTATTTTTTAATCTATCCATTAAAAAAGTTAAAATTATTTGTATTTATTTAAGTATAGTTTAAAATAATATTAAGCATTATTTTTAATTAATAATTTTATAATTTATATTATTTATAATAAACAAAAATAATTTTATCAATAATATGAATTGATTTTGTACAAAACATAAAGACGCACGTGTACTTTAAAATATTATTGTTTAATCTGTCTATTTAAAAAGTTAAATTTATTTGTATTTATTTAAGTATTGTTTAAAATAATATTAAGCATTATTTTTAATTAATAATTTTATATAAATTTTAAATATAATAAATAAATTTTTTATATTATTTTTTTCATCTGATTTATTCTGAATCCATACGAGTTGCACACTAAAATATGATAGGTGAGTCTAAATTTTTTAGATATACAAATATTCAAATTTGAAACTTTACTTAAATAAATATAAATATCAAGTGACTTGTAACATTCATTAATAATTTTTATACTGTTTTAGTAATTTAAAAGTTAACAGAAAAATACTATAATAAAACAAATAGATGATAAATTTAAAATTATTAAATATTTATTAAAAATATTTAATTTTATAGTTTATATAAAATTTCATTTATAAATAAATAAATTGAAAGAGTTAGTATCAAATAAAAGTGTATATCCAGAAATGCAGGAAATTCTCAAACTGAGAAAATTGAAAAGGGAACACTTTACTAAAACTTGCTAACATTATAGTATATTATTATTTAGTTTTTCATTTAAATGAAAATTACTTGGTAGTTTTTTATTTATGGCATTGTTCAAAATTTTCCAAACCAAAAATCAAGCCCACAATTTGTATATCCTTTCTTAGCCTATTGACGAATATAATGTAAAACTAATGGGCTTGGATCAATAAATGGGCCTTAGTAGATGCAACAGTGCCCAACTTGAAATACCCACTTATTGAAAAATAAAATGAAAGAAATGTCCATTTTGTTGGTTAGTTAGCTCCTCACAAGCACATGAAACTGTTGACAAAAGAAAAAAAGCACATGAAACTAATAAATTATGGTTTATAATTTTATGATTAAATTTTTTGTTTAAATTGTAAAAAATTATTCGACAAGTACTTAACAAAACTGTATAACTAAACACATTATAATATTTATACAGATTACAAGGATTCAACTTTAGAAATAAGTATAAAAATAATCTAAAAATAACTATTCTATCATTCATTTAAAGAGAAGTAATGGATTTTGAGAAAAATTTTATTATACGTATTTTAATCTTATGAATAAACATTTATATATAAAATATTTTTAAAAAATATAACATTTAATGGTTTATTTTTATATAGTAAGTATTTTTTAAAAATAGCATTTAACATGGCATTTATTCTTGATGACTAATTGAGAAACGAAGGTAGTAAAAATGGACATATATCATCGAATATTAATGAATATACAAAATGCTATTAATAATATGTATAAAAATAATATATTTTTTAATTTTAAAATTATTTTCCTTGATAAGAAATTTATTTTAAATTAAAATTTATAACGTTCAATAGTATAAATACATTCCATTCTGTAATCTTAAATAAAAAATTATTATATACTCATTTTGTTTTTAAAAAATATTTTATGGTTAATTTTTTAAATAATATTTATTTACAATTTCAAAGTAAAACTATTTCTCTTCTAATTTTTATCTCAAAATATATTTTGTATCTCTTTTCTCTATTTAAAAATTATATAGAAGGGCTCTTGAACATTATATATTTCCGACAACAACTTAGTATGTAAATCATGTTTCTGCTCTATTAATTTCACTGTAAAAGGGCTCTAATGTTCGCAACGGCATCGTTGTAACGATGGAATCTGCAAGAAGAGGCATCGCTTAGAAGGAGTTTCACTGACTCGCACATATCTCAAACCAAAACTGGCCTCACTTTATTTGCCAGCTAGAACCAGGGAGATTATGAATACTTATTTATAAACTTACTCAAACTGAATATTAATATACTTTAAAAAAAAATGCTTTAAAAACCATCAAAAGGGTAACAAATATTTTTTTTTCATAAAAAAGATTTTGTTACTTATGATAAAACAATAAATATTTTCAGCTTCTTGACCTTTAACAATTAATAAATTTGAACACAAATTAAATTATTCATTATAAATAACTTTATACCTTTTTAATTTATTATGAATTTTTTTATAAACAATTAAAATTAAATAGATAATCTCAAATAACTTTTTTTTAACACATTTAAATATAAAACATATTTAATATAATAGTAAAAATTATAATATTGATAAATTATAGTATATAATTAATGCTTAAAATGATATTTTATTGAGAATGAATAAAAAAAACCGATATCTTGATGAAAAAAACTTATTAATGTGGTGAATTATGCATTTAATAAAAGAAGAATTGAATAATTATATTGATATATTACTAATATATAGGGAGCGCCCCACAGGAAGTGGAAGCTGGAAAAAGGAAAAATTTGGTGGCTGGCGACATTTTTTTGTTTCTGCGTCTTATTTCTCTCATTCTTAGTGTCTCGACGGATGAACACTTTTCAAATTTACACATCTTAACATAGAGAGAGGGTTCTTCCGAATCACAAGAATACACCAAAAATCAAATGGGAGATAAAAAACGCAAGAGAGGCCGCAAGCCCAAAAGCCCCGCCCCCGAAACCCTAGACTTCTCCGCCAACGTCGCCACCACCGCACCAAACGCCACCGCCACCACCACTGCAATGGACGACGTCTTCTCCGTCGGAAGCGTTGAACTCATCGATAACACCGCCTCTGCGCACCACCATCGCCGCCGTGGCCGCCCCAAGAAGCTCCCCAACCACTCCGACAAGCCTGTCTCTCTCGCCACGGGGCGCCGCCTCGCCCGCTCGGTGGACAACGGGGGCGACTTCCCCGTCCCCGGCGACGGAGGTATCTCCCCCGCCGCGCCCATGGAAGCGGCGGACCCGGTGTGGGAGAGCGTGTCGGCGAGGGTGTTACCGGCGATGGACTCGGTGGTGAAGGTGTTCTGCGTACACACGGAACCGAATTTCTCGCTGCCATGGCAGAGGAAGAGACAATGCAGTTCGAGTAGCAGTGGGTTTGTGATTGGTGGGAGAAGGGTTCTCACCAATGCGCATTCGGTGGAGCACTACACTCAGGTCAAGCTCAAAAAGCGTGGCTCCGATACGAAGTACTTGGCCACTGTGCTTGCCATTGGAACCGAGTGTGACATTGGTAAGTGCTAACCCTTGATGGCTTTCTGTTGTCAATTTTGTTCTATGTATGATTTGTCTTTTGGGTTTATTTTTATGTATATCAAATTTAGTTTTGTAGTCGTGATTCATGGCACTGGGTGGTCTTCTTGTGTGAGAGTATTACATAGTAGTTTTGCGGAACCTAGCATTTAATATCATTTTATTTTTAAGCTTTGATTAGTTATTGAACACAAACTTTCTTCAATTTTATGTGCCTTGATTTGTCTGTGAAGAGTTAATCAACTGTGTACGAGGTGTTCATGGTGCTGAAGGGTTGAACATAGTTAATTCTTTTTGTAATTTATTAGCTTTTAATGTTATGAAACGATGGATACAGGAGTAGAATTGCCGCACAATAATAGCGAGTAATTGAACAAGTGAATTACATACTTGTTATATAGATGAGAATAAAATTATAATATATGCATACAGATATATTTTATCCACATTGACTCATTAAGGATCAATAAATTGGATTTACCTAGTGAATAGGCATAAGTTTTTTCTATATTGGAAGCTATTATATGAAACTAGTTATAGAATCATAAAACAGTAATGGTGAGGATATGAAGGATAAGTTGTGTGGAGTGAAGCCTTCTCATTGTGTGTTTTTGCTTTTATTTACTTATAATGGATAATAGATTAATAGGGAGGAGCAGGGATAGAATTGCTAATTCAAAACCTCCAAAGTATTACAGGTATTTGCCAAACTTTCTAGTATGAGTTCAAATTAATGCATTTGATTTTACTCTTGCAGCCATGCTTACAGTTGATGATGATGAGTTCTGGCAAGGGATGTCATCTGTAGAGTTTGGGGAGTTGCCCACACTTCAAGATGCAGTTACTGTCGTGGGCTACCCAATTGGTGGAGACACTATCTCTGTGACTAGTGGTGTTGTATCGCGCATTGAGATTCTACCTTATGTCCATGGCTCCACAGAACTTCTAGGTTTACAGGTTAGGTTGAAATGATTGGTCTATCACCAATTCACCATTATCATTTAGTTATTATTCATATAAGTATCCTAATATTCCTTCATCAAGGTTGGTTTTGCAGATAGATGCTGCTATAAATTCTGGCAATTCTGGTGGACCTGCATTTAATGATAAAGGAAAGTGTGTGGGGATTGCATTTCAGTCCCTCAAGCATGAAGACGTGGAGAATATAGGTTATGTCATTCCAACACCAGTTATCATACATTTCATCAAGGATTATGAGAAAAATGGAGGATATACTGGTAATATGGTTGCTACAAACTAAGATGTAGATTTCACTTTTATAAGCTGTTACTCAAGCATGGGAAATTCTTTTAGGATTGAAGTTTTACGTACTGAGATCTTTCTTTCTTAATCTGCTGTTAGGGTTCCCTATTCTTGGGGTTGAGTGGCAGAAAATGGAAAATCCTGATCTACGAATGGCAATGGGCATGAGACCTGATCAGAAAGGTGTGCGTATTAGAAGAATTGATCCTACTGCTCTAGAATCTAAGTTTTTGAAGCCATCAGATGTTATCCTTAGCTTTGATGGAGTTGATATTGCCAATGATGGAACTGGTGAGTTGTTCTGCTCAGTTTCTTAATACATTTATGCACATTATTAGCTTATATTTGTTTGCGTGCACTTTGTTCAGCTACTAAGATTTTTTTGAGAGGACCTATCATTTTCTTATTTGATGGCAACTATAATAGAAGAAAGTAGTGTTTAATGTGACCCTTTTCAGACACAATGATAACATTCATTGAACACATCTCAGCTCCATCTTTTAATAAACTATTAGTTTTATGACTAAGGAAGTGCCTTGCAAAAGATCTGAACATCCTCAACCCTGAAGAATTCAACACACAACAACTATTTGAATAGAATTGGCAGAATCTATTCTCTTCAGATCTGTCTTTATCAATGTACTGTTTTCTGTGTGTTTTGTAGGTAGCGATAATGAGACTTTGTGTAATTAATCCTCTCCTGTGGCCAGAATGAGATATATCATTGAATTGAGCTTAACAGTCTTCGTATAATGCTTTATAATCTTGGTTTTTTTCAGTTCCATTTCGTCATGGAGAACGCATTGGTTTCAGTTATCTCATATCCCAGAAATATACTGGAGATAATGCTGCAATAAAAGTAATGCGAAATTCAGATATTTTCAAATTTGACATTAAACTTGATAGTCACAAAAGACTTATTCCAGTACACAGCAAGGGCAGGCCTCCCTCTTATTATATCATTGCAGGATTTGTGTTTACAACTGTTTCAGTTCCATATCTTCGTTCTGAGGTTTGTGGTTAATCCAGCATCCCTATGTTTTAATAATTAAACTATTGGGTGGCATTTGAATGTCTCATACTTTATGTTCTTGCTAAATCAATCTAACCTGACAATTTGAACTTGTGTCATATCTGCCTAAAATGGAAAATTGTTTATTAGTGCTGCATGAAACTGAATGTGGTGATCATTACGAGGAGATTATTAAAATGTTTCGAAGTTTGACATTATTTATGACATTTAACAAGGTTATGCTATAGGGATATAATGTATTATGGTGAAGTTATTACTGAGTTTTAATGCATTAACAATGTGGTTCAGGTTTCATAGCAAATTAGCAATATAAAATTATGTTTGACTATTTGCTGCATTTAGGTAGCTTGTAATGTGTATAAGGGACATGGTTTTGCATAAAAGTTGGAGCTGGTGGTTAAGTTGATTACAATAGAAATTGGTGTATTTAATCGACTTCAGTATGTATCTCGATGTGTTAACTATTAAGTGTAATCTAAGTCTAGTCTGTCTATTGACATGCAAGGGTTTGAAATTGTACTTGTAAGGTTGGCTCCATGACTCCAAAAAGACATGGAACAAGTACTGTATGTTGCAGCTTGTAGCTTTATCTATACCTTTTTTGGCATTATTTAGTAAGTTCATTTATTCAATGTTCACTTGCTAAGCTTTATCGTGGGACCATTTTTTTCCAACCGTTTTATCAATGTATGAACAGTATGGAAAAGATTACGAGTATGAAGCTCCAGTCAAGCTTTTGGATAAACTGCTGCATTCAATGCCACAATCACCAGATGAACAGCTTGTTGTGGTCTCTCAGGTATGCTCACTTTGTCAACCTTTCTTTCTGGCATTCCTCTTGAAGATTTTATCAAATCTTATTATCTCTTTGACACATGAAAGGTTCTGGTGGCCGATATCAACATTGGATACGAAGATATTGTTAACACCCAGGTTGATAATGATTATGTTTTTCTCCCCACTTGCTGACAGCTATATTGGCTTAATCTCTCAATTGTTTACTGCTTTTTGTTTTGTATATTTGTGAAGGTTCTTGCTTTCAATGGTAAACCTGTGAAAAATCTTAAGAGCTTGGCCACTATGGTGGAGGACTGCAATGATGAATATCTAAAATTTGAACTAGATTATGATCAGGTGCCCATCCTTCCCCGTTTTATGTGCTTCTGTGAAACTGGCAGTAGCTCTTCTATTTTTATTAACTAATCATACTCTATGCAGATAGTGGTTCTTCGGATGAAGACTGCAAAAGCAGCTACCCTCGATATTCTTGCAACACATTGCATTCCATCAGCAATGTCTGATGATCTGAAGTCATGATCTGGATCGCAGTGTATGTAGATTCTGCATCTAGGTCGTTTCATGCAAAGTATCTGGTAAAAAAGATGCAGATATGTAGGCTTGACTTAACTTTTGTAGTTAGATTGTTTCCTTCATGGTATCTGGAGTTATTGATGGTTTTATTTAAGTGCTAAAGCATCTTGGGATACTCGTGGTTCCGCATTTTTAAAGGGATGGTAGATAGGTTTGCAGGATTTACATTACAGTGAATTATCTTAGGTTACATTGTCCTTTTGAAATTTTGAGGGAACTGAGCAATGTAAAGGGTTGCCATTACTTTTACCAATTTGATATCTATTAGACTTACTCAAATGCAGGCAATACAAAACAGAACTATAGATTGGCAAAACTCTCCTTATAAATAAAAAATTCTTTCACCACAACGGTGTCTGCTGACTTGAATAAATTGACGATGATGAACTAGTTAGACACTGGTAAATGTTTATGCTTAGTCATTGCTTTCACGGGACTCTAGCAGGGGACTTGCTTGGGTAGACAGGGATGGGAGTCTATCAACTTCGAAACCTTCCTTGTTTCTCTCTTTGGATTGTGCCCACAATACTGCGTACAATCCGATGGCGATTACTAGGGCACCAATGACACTAAATAAATGGAAACATACAAAACAGTCAATATTTATGTGATCCGTTAGATGTGGTTGGTTACATAGATAACACTGTTAAAAATTAAAATTTCAGAAATATCATTTATAAGAAATATAAATGAATGATTTTTTTTTTCAATGTATGTTTAACAGTATACAATTAGAATCTGTGGACAGATTTTTTTTAGATATTATAAAATATAAAATTTATATATTGATAATATTAAATGTTATAATTTTAATTAAAAAATATTATTATTATATTTATTTGTCTTTAGACATATATTAAAAATAATTAAAAGCCTTTATATAATAAAAGCATGTTGACTATTAAGTGCCTTTGCTAGTTTAGCGAACGATCCAAGTTAAAAATATTATGAGAAAAATTTTGGTCAGGCTAAAATTTCAGACACCACAGAATCGGGATCAGTGGGAGCCATGGTTGGAATGAACAAAAAGAGTGCTAACGTAGTTTTGTAGTCTTTTCTGAGCAGTTACTTAACGTTACATGTGTGTTTAAATTTATGTTTAAATGCTCATGAATTCATGTTTAGTTTAATAATACTATTTGTAATATTTTTTGCTCATTCAGCATATTTTTAACAAACTTGGATGTTCTGTAACAAGTCTTGTAGTCCGGGTAAACAACATAGCAAAGAAATTTTTCAGAAATAAGATAGTTACCTGCCAACATGGAGTGTCTCACCGAGGAAGATAACGCTCATAAAGGCAGCAATGGCAATCCCTACAGGCTTGAACATGGTAACAAATACAGGTCCTTTCCTTTTTATGCACCAAGTCAGTACAGAAAATGTCACCACACTTCCGAAAATAGCCTGCAATTTTTCCACAGAAGAATGAGCTTTGCAATAAAGCCCCCATGATTTATATCATATATTTATGTGCTTGCTTGCTTAGTTTTTTTGGTTGCTATAGCACATGCTTACTGAATACAATATGGCGATGAGCTCTATGTCAGGCCTTAGATTCCAAGCATTTGGATCTCCGACTACAATCAGAGAAAATGTTGCACATTGAATGGTTCCAAACAGGCAATAGAAAGCTACTATTGTCAACTGAGATGAATATCCTTTAAGAACTGTTGCCTGCAAATAAGCTCAACTAAATTAACTTCATATCCTCATATATCATCACTAAAATTGAAGACCTTCGCACCTATTTAACTAAGTGGTCTAAATGTCTAATCAAACTAGGCGTCATGCTGCCATGTATGTTTGGATTCACGTTTGGAAGATCTATAAATGTGGATTTAATGCAGAAATTATAACTAGTATCATTGAAGTAAACGTGTAACTAAAGGCATTAAAATGTTAATCCAAACATACTATCACCTGAAGAATATTCCAGCCTGCAAGAGATAGCGAGGCAGCGGCAAGAAAGAGACCCCCAATGGCCCAATTACTGGTTTTAACCAACAAAGATGGGAGTGGTTTTAATGGAGAGGGTTGAATTTGAAAGGTGATAATGGGACTGCCCTTGTAAAGAGTCACGAGCAATGCTCCAGAGATCGACAGTACTGTGCCCATGACTTTGATCTGGCTTATTGAGCTTCCAATATTCAACTTCTCCATCCTGAAATGATTTCAAAATAATCCAACTGTTATGCATATCCAATATGCTGGTTTCACTATTGTCTTCAGAACCTCCATAATGTATTTTAGTTGCAGTTCTAATGCAGCATGTAACAATTTTGTGAAATGCCCAATATAAACAATGCCTTGCAACGTGTTTTGAAAAGGAAAATTACTTATCTTCTGTAGTGCATATTGTTTGTACATAAGTAAAAGGGAATAAGGTAAATTACCTGAGGATGACTGCTAGTAGAAAAGTGACAGCAGGAGTCAAATTGCTCATAGCAGATCCAAGAGTGGGAGAACTGTAGTTAATTCCAGTGAAAACACAATTCTGCATGACAGTTATGCTGCAAATCTCCAACCAACAAAATTCTTACAATTTTTGTTCTTTATTGATATTGTCTTAATTATTATTATTATTATTATCATAAAGGAAGAAGAAAAATAGATATAGTGAAATCAACATGTGATACATACATACCCAAGGAAGCCAAGGAGGAAGAATTTGCAGAGAAGCGAGAAACAAAGGGGTGGTGGTGTTCTACAAAACAAAACAAGAGGTAGTCGATAATGTTGGTGAAGTTAAACAGTGAGTGTAAGAGGTACAGAAACCTCTTAGGCTCTTACCTGTTGATGATGAAGGAGGAAGGGAGGAGGATCAAAGTGGCAAGAGCATTGGAATATACAACAAAGACGAAGTGGTTCATTCCTCTTGACATAGCAGCTTTACTCAACGTGCTTAACCCCACGTCGAGGCACTCCACAATGACCATAGCTATGAATGGACTCCATTCCAACAAATAGCGTCTCAGTTCCATTACGTGATTGTATGCTATGAGATTCCAACTGAAATTGTAAGCAAAACGATGAATGAGTACTTAAGAGTGATTAAATCTTGAATGGTTGGTTTCAGTTGTTGTAGCTACAGTTGCAGCGATCGTCTGAGATGTGAGATGTCCACTCCAACATTATTGCCATTGCCATCTACTTTCGTACCAAAACTATTTTCTCTCTAATTTTTGTTTAAATAAAAAATAAATAAATTTAAGTTCATTGTCAAACTATAGCTGCATGGAAAACGGGTCGAAAGTAATCACCAATGATGGGCCAAAAACAGCGATGAAATGTCATAAGAAGATAACTCAAGCTACGCCTATTTTCTTTTAACAAGTCTCTTAACCACAGCTTTTGATGTTGATGAAGTTAACTACCACGGATTTTATTTTATTTTATTGTCTTTTAACGCTGACTATAAAGTTTTAATTAAAAAATACTTTTTATATTTTAGTTATAAAAGTCTAATAAATATTTAGTTTTTTTAATATTATTATTTATTTAAATTCAATCATAAGAGTTAAGTTTCAACCGTAGACAAAAAATAAGAGTTAAGTTTAATTTTTCTTATTTTCTTAAAAAATGCTAATTAATAGTAAAATTTTGGAAAAAAATTTATGATGTTTTTTCGGTGTTGTAAATGATGTTTATTAATTAAAATTTTATTTTAATAAAATATTTATATTTTATGTAAGCAGAAATAAAACTCTAATTTTAATTAATAAATAACACTAACAAAATTTAAAAAGTTATATTTAAGTTTGTCCTAAAACATTTTATTGAAATGTGTAATGATGTACTCTTCTCATAATTTTTAATGAATTGTTAGCATAATTTTTAATAATAAAAAAATTATTTGTTGATTTTTTAACAAGTACCTTTAAGGTAGAGTTGACAAAATGGACTATTCTACTCATTCGAATTGACTTAGTGCAAGCAACAAATCCTAAACTTTAATGTGCTAGGAAAAAATTTCTAATTTAAACTTAAAAAAATATTCTTCGATGAAGCTGCATCAAATTTATTAAATGAAGCTAAAATTACTAAAATTTAATTTAGATTTAAAATTTAAAGTTCATACCTTATATTTTTCATAAATTTTAGTCAAACTTATAAGTCAAACTCATTTTACCAACTCTACTTTCAGTATTAATTAGCAAAGTTATTCTTTTGTAAATATTTTTATATAAATTTATTTAAAGAGATAAATTACACTCACATTTGTTGAGATTTTTAAAATACTATTTATAATTTTTTATAACTTTACACTAATCTGTCTTAATTTAAATGTCAACATAATAATATTGTAGATCTTTTTTCATTACACAAACTACTTTTAATTTTTATATAAATTAATAAAAATAAAGTAATGCAAAAGAAAGGACAGTAAGATTTTTTTTAACATTAAATGGAGAAAATTTAATTTATCCCTTTTAAAAATATAGTTGAAAACCTTTTTAATTTTCTGTTTACGTTGAATTATAAAAGGTTTAGTTGTGAATATTTTTTCATATTAAACTTAACGTAATAAATAGAATATAAAATGGTAGACTGTAAGAGTTAAATATAAACATAATAGAACAAGGGTGAGATAAACTCTTATACTTCCGAAAAAAATAAAATTATACTAAAAAAATGAATAAGATATAAACAGTATACCTTACCTTATTTCCTTTTTATATCTATTAAATGATCCTAAAACGTGAAGGTGGAGGTATGAAATTTTTTTACTCTTGAAAAAAAATGTTAAACGATATATTACTCATTAGTCATTACTATTATTGTATAACCAAATTATTTATTTTATTTTTAACATTATTTTACATTAAAAAAAGACTCAAATAAAAATGAGTTTGTAAAGTGAAAAGTTAAAATGAAGTTTGTGAAATTAGAAAACTATAAAGTGGGGGTTTTATTTCCTAACCATTATGCTATACGATTTGGAATAGCATCGTCGAAGCATACACACACATCGGGGGAAGCCACAAGCAGAAGCATAACACGTCTCCATATATCTTGATTTTGTAGTTATAACTCTCTTCTGGTTCCCTTCTTCAATTAGGGTTCAATTTCGCTTTTCTGCGTCAAGATGGGTAGTTCGGAACCCCGATTCGAAGATTTTCTTGAGGAGAAGAAGCGCGTCCGGAACCCTTTAGTTCCCATTGGTAATAAAACCTTTTTCCTTCCTCTCGAATTCCGCGAATTCAATTTCAGTTTTTTACATCTTTCTTTGGTTGTATTCCTGTACCCTTCTTCATATTTTAATTTAATTCCGGGTTTTGATTTGCAATTTTTAACTGATAAGAGAAGAGAAGAGGATGTGATGGAGAATTTGTTGAGAAGGTTTATAATTAGGGAAAAACGTTGGTGTGAGAGAGTAAGGAATTGCTATAATGTGACTTAGGAGTGGCCTATTTTTCATGTTGCTAAATAAAGGTGGTGCGGTAGGGTTGTTGGGGGATTTTAAATTGCTATAGGAAAGGAGGGTAAAGATAATTTGTGCCACTGAAATTGTGCAATGAGAAAGAAAACGAAAAAAATATATATATATAGTTTGGAACTGTTCCTGTTTAATAGAGTTGAGTAGAAAAATTATGCTGTATCATCGGTACGTTTCATAACTTGAAAAGCTAAGATTTACCAGTTTCAGTTGGCTTCTTGATGTACTGAAGCTGCTTGTATGACTATGGGTGCGTTTGAGTAATAACATAATTAAGCGTTTAGATCATAAATTAGACCCAGAAACTTATTGACATAAGTTGAAAATTGATTATTTTGATAAGCTATATGAAGAAGCTTATTGGAGTAAGCTGAAAAGAGTTTATGAGAGTTATAAGTTATTTTTATTAGCTCTGTATAAGGTCTTGCAAATTCACCCTATGCGATTGGGTTTTATTACCTGACCATTGCTCTCGAAGGTGAGCTATTGGTGCAATAATTTTACTGAGTTTGCTGAATTTTATAGTTTATACATAAAGCTTGAATTTACTAACTTTTTATGTGATCTATCAAGTCACTTGATTGCTGATGCTGATCATTGTACGCTAATGGGTTTGGGAATCCCATTTTCACTTCTAGGGTAGGAACAAATAGTCTGTTCAGTTTTTCAGGATTGATTAAATGTGAATGACAGAGAGTGTAACAGTAGCCTTCTGGTAGGGGTTTATCTTTCTAATGACGCTCTTTCACCCTGCATGCAAATATGTGGACAAAATTGCCTCTGTTTGCATTTACAAAAGAGGAGACAAGGAATTTGATTATTTCAAATATAAGTTGTAATGTGCAATGGAGTAGGAATTGGCATTGAGCACCGTTTTCACATTGCTTTGTGATTGGAGGTGGTTCTTCTTTATGATTTTCTTGTCTTGTCATTGAACTTTTGTTGGTTAGTGTCCTTGGGCTAACTTTGCTGTGTTAATTTCAGGTGCACTTATTACTGCTGGTGTGCTAACGGCTGGCTTAATCAGTTTTAGACAAGGTAATTCAAACTTAGGCCAGAAGTTAATGAGGGCTCGTGTAGTTGTCCAAGGTGCTACAGTGGCGCTCATGGTTGGAACTGCCTATTATTATGGAGAGAATCCTTGGCAATCGAGTTAAACTTTGAATGGCCTAAAAACAAGTTAAACTTTGTAATTGCTTGGCTTATTGGTATATGTGATGTGGAATTTGGTCATTCTAGGACCAAATTCTTTGCCAACATATTACTTTTGAAACTATTGAATTATTCTGAATGTACTTTTTATACACAGTTCTTCAATAAAATAAAAGACTCCCAATTGAGTGGTGGCATCCGGAGAAGCAGAATGAAAATAGGGCTTACATGGCTACAAAATCATCTTCATTATGGAGGCCAGATTCCCAAACCAGTAATGTCATTCTTACACTTGAAATTTGCTACTCTATTTTTTTTGGGGAGAGTTTCATCTTGAGCCTTTCAAAATTGAAGGGAGAAAAGAAATGAAGGATGAGAAAAAGGCAATAGAACGCGTTGTGTGGGATCAAATTTACACGTTCACAATCCGTGTTTCATAATTAAATCATCTTAGCTGAGTTGAGAGGATTATGCTTTAACATCTATATACAACGAATTAGATTGAAAATGTAAGCGATGGTTTTCCTCTCTCCTTTCCTTTCACCAAAAAAGTTTGAACCGAATATGATAAAAGGTATTAAAAAATACTTCTAATTTTTTTTATTAATTTAAATGTTGTATTTTTATTTATTCATTTACATGCACCCATCCTTAATATTATAGCGATTAAGTTGTGTAGAGTATTTTAAAATTACTACATTGTGTGTATTTAGATAATAAGAATTTTTTTTAAAATATTGTAGAATTTTAACAAAATAGTTTTTATGTTAAATAGAAGAAATTTTAAATGATTTATCTTTAGAAATAATTTAAAAATATCGCTATTATACTTAATTTTTTGTATTTATTTTATAACTTCTCTTATATTTACTTTCATTTTAAGCATCTCTCATCATTGATTTTATATTTTTAATAATTTTATAATTTTCTATTTAAACACAACTTTATTGAATTGGAAGAGAGATATTTCAAAACAATTGGAAGTAACCAATTTAACCCATATTTTAAAGTAAAAAAATATCTTGATCTTGAAATTTAATTTAATTTTTTGAATTGAAGTTAATAAAATTATGTAGAATTAATATTTTTTTTTCTATGATTATACAACTAAATAAAAAAGTACGAGTCAAAAAACTAGTTGAATCACTGGTAATCCACATGGACTTAGCTTTGACTAAATTTATCAATTAGAAGTTTCAGTCTAGTGTAGGTGGTTCACATTTAGTATAATTACTAGTTGGCTAGCACAAATAAACTGATGTTGCCTAAATTGGCATCCGTAATAAGTAATGATTGAGGTATATATTGATAATACCATCCAAATCAACTTATATTTTGGTATTAGTAGATGTGAGTGACTTTTGAAATTCACTTCATAAAAGTAAAGACGCTTGTCGAAGCAATCAATTTTACTCGTATTTTAAAGTATAATATATCTTGATCTTGAAATTTAATTTAGTTTTTTGAATTAAAGTTAATAAAATTACCTAGAATTATTATTGTTTTGCCATGATTATTCAACTAAATAGAAAAAAAAAAATACAAGTTAACAAACTAATTGAATCACTAGTACTCCACGTGGACTAGCTCTGATTAAATTTATCGATTCAAAGTTTAGACTATACTTGGTCCAATGTAAGTGACTTACATTTAGCATATTTGCTAGTTGGCCAGCAGAAATAAACTGATCTTACCTAAATTAACATCCATAATAGGTAGTAATTAAGGTATCTATTGACATACCATCCGAATCAACTTATGTTTTAGTATTATTAGACGTGAGTAACTTATGAAGTTCACTCCATAAAAATAAAGATGCTTGTGGGAACCAAAATTATTAAACCAAATATATTTTCAAAGAATTTTTAATTTTAAAAATTAAGTGCATGGTACTTTGTTACAATCAATTCTGACATTTTTTATTTTGTAAAAGCTACCATGAGCTATTAAATTGTAAATCTTGTAATGTGAGAACTAGATAAGTTTTTAATTGAATATAGATAGTGGTCATGGGTTTGTTTTTTCTGTAGACCTTTTTTAAAAAGTAAAGCATACCAAATTTTGATAAATATACTGTAATTTTAAGGAAATTTTTTTATATGAAAATATTTATTTTTATCTTATTTGTACTATATAATAAAATATAATTATAATATATCAAACTCTACATTATGTTAAAATTTTATCAAGACCTTATATAATTAAATTTTATATTATAAGCCCTTGTCATATCTTACACGTCAAACAATGGTCGTAAAAAAAAAAATTGTATTACAAAATAGGTTATACTAGTTAGGACTTGTTTGTTTTATGCTTTTAAAAACAAATTTCTCTTTTTAAAAGTTTTTTTAAAAAAAGACCTGTTTGTTAAGATGAGTTTTATAATTTTTTTTAAAAATAATTTTTAATTTATAAAATTTAAAAACAAAACAGTTTTAAGGTATTCTGATTTTTTTATTTTATCATCTTAAAAATAATTTTGAAAATTAAACTAACAAATAAGTTTTTTTTTTCATTTTCTTCCTAAAATAGTTTTTAAAATTATTTTAAAATATAATTTTTAAAATTTAAAAATTAAAAAAAATACAAACATACTCTAATATCTTTAATTAGTATTCTTAAAATAATGATTAAAAATTTAAAATCATGTTAAGGGTGCCTTGAAAATTATAGAAAGAGTATATCACGACCCTTTCTAATATAAGTTTTTATTTTCATCTCTTAAACGATGATTTCGCCTTACAAAATATCTCAAAAATATTATTTAAAAATATTTAATACATCATGTTAGATGCTTAAAATTAACTAAAATAAATAAGATATATATTAATTATTATTTTAAGAATATTAATTAAAATTTATTTATTTTTATCAAAATCATTATTATTACACTTTTCATCAATATTTTTATTGTATTTCAATGCTATTTTTTATCTTTAAATTTTATCTTAAGACTCTAATTACAAAACAGACTTTATTATATTCTTCTATTTTTTTTAATAATCTTTCTATATAAAAAGTACATATTAAATAAAACATGTATTCATTTAGTATATATAAAAATTTATTTAAGACTTTCTTTATTTAATAATTAAAAAATTATAAACATAAAAAGTAAAAAAGATTTATAATTATTTTAGCAAAATTTATAAAGAATATAAATTTGAATGACAATAGTAATTACAAAATAGCACACGCCATAATAAATTTGAATGTCAATCGTAATTATGAAATAGCACACGCCAGAAAAATGGTGAAACAGGAATGCCACGTTGCCGTAACTTTTTGAGAACACGTGGCATGTCGGACGTCGACATTCTATCTCTCACCCCCACTTCCTCCCTATATATCTGTTCCTCCTCTCTTCCCTTCGTTTCCTTTCTCTCTCTCTCTCTCTCTCCCATCGCCAAACGCCATCAGGGTTTCAGGCAAGCCCCCATTTCCCCCCCAAATTTAGTTCTCACTTGTCACATACCAATCCACCTTTCCTCTTTTCTCTTCTCTGCCTTTTCATTCTGCACTAATTGAAGCATACTCAACATTGCACGATTCTTTCTTTCTTTCTTTCTTTTTTTCGTTCAATGGGTCCACCATAGATCTTTGCGTCAGAATCTATATGATTTTTTTTTTGTAACATTCTTTATTGGTATTGTTCTTAATTCTTAATTAATTAGTTAGTTAATGCAAATATGTTTATCTCCTCGTTTTGCCTCTCATTGTCGCATTGGGTGCTGAGAAGTTGATCGAAGTAAAATGAATGATTCTGGGCATTTTTTTGTGTTTGCAAAGATTTTAGCTTTAATGTATTTGCACTTCGTTCCAAATGAAGCGTGCAGTTTTGCCATATTGTGTATCACACACTTTGTGTAGCTCTTTTTTGCGGCATATTTTGATAACTTCCGAGTCCCGTTCATTATTTACTGTTGCTCAGTGTTCACCTTTTAAGCTTTTAACTCTGCGTTTCAAAACTTTGAAAAATAAAAATGTTTGTCCAATTTTTGTTCACTTAGGTGCTTGTCTCATTGTAATGGATTTTTTTTTCACCATTTGATGCATTCTTCAGTACTAAGTTCATCTTTTTATTGGAATTTAGTTTAAGTTTGCTCATAAACTTCTACGAGTATGCAGTGCGATGAGCATCAGAACAATTTAGTATATATCTCAAAAGTTGGTCTATCTTTCTGTCAAGTTTGTAATGTAATGTGTTGGTTATTACACGTAGTAATCTACTAGTACCACAAGAAAGCAGAAATTTAACCATTGCTATAGTGTTATTTGTTTCCTTACATCTGATGCAAATGTCCAGTGGATGATGCCTTCATTTTGAGAATTAGTTGTACCTTCCATATTCTGGTTCATAACTTTCTGTGTTCTTTCTTTTCTGTATTGGTGACTTTGAGTGTCACATTGATCTTTTATTGTGCTGAGCATATTACTGAATGGTTCAGTTTGCCTTGTTCACTTTGTCCTTTTCGGTTCGTTCATGAGTAAGTGAAAATTATTGGGGTTTGTTTAATTCAAGTTGTTGTCCTTCACATATGTGTTTTGCATATTGTTTGGGTCTACATTATAGAATGGAAATGTTTAATTTGTTTTGTGATTTGTCCTTCATTGTATCTCAATTATAAATTTTGCATCCAATCCATTAGTCTTTTCTGTTTCCCAGTGATGATGTAAAGCTTATTTCTTTGACTTTACTTTCTACTATTTTCATATGATATATGGCATATATCTTTACCAACATGGCCTCTTTTTATGGATCAATAGGGATATATCTGTTGATCCTGGCTTTCTAATCAAAACAATTTCAAGGTTTCTTACACTTGGGTTCCTGCTTCTCTATATCATTTATCAACATCTTGGGAATCGTTTTGGGGAAAATTATGTGTTTGTTTTAAATGCATAATACAACAAATATTTCAAAATTCGAAATATATCAAAGTTATTTGTTGATATATTACAAGTTCCTCATCCTATTTTAAATTTAATGGGAATGTATTGAGCTTATATAGGCTTCACACTGGAAGTGACTTTTCTTTTTAAACCTCTTGTTGTGGTCAAGATGGAAACAAATATGTACATGGAAAAAGCTAAATCTCCTTAATTGTCCTTGTAGCAGGTTGAAATAACTGATTTGTTATAATCAAAATGTCATCTCCCAGCAAGAGAAGAGAAATGGATGTAATGAAATTGTAAGTAGATTATTTTACTCTATCTTGATGGTTTAAGTTATTTTACACTGTTGTTCAATTAATGTTGTAGCCTTTCTTCTATAAGTTGGTGGAAATCAATATTCTTAATTTTGGGGTTGGGTGTGACTCAACTCAAAAATTAACTTATTAAGGAGAAGATTATCTTAACCTTTATAAACTTTACTTTAGCAATATAAGATCTCAACACATCTTCTAATGCTCAAGATTGAATATCTAGTGCATAAAAATTATAGAACTGAATTTTTTTTTCAATTACCAGGGACTAGGTAGACTATATTAGAAAAGTTGTGAGGTGAAGTTAATTGTATTGAAAAACTTTATAAGGTTTTTTTTTTTATTATTATTATACTTATAGATGACTTAATATTAGATTTATAATAGACTCTAATGCTACCTTAAATTTGAGTTAAGCCTAACTTAACTCTAAAAGCTAGCTCATAAAGAGAAGATTGCCTAAGCCTTTATAAGCTCTACTTTTGGTCATATCTGTAATTGATGTGGAATTTAAATAAGCATATTATCAAATTAATTGAAATATATTATAGTTGTAATTGTTTTGATAAGAGAAAGAAGCACATTTGGCACAGTGATATGGTTATTTTGTTGGGATATCATTTGATCTTGAACCCAAGTTTATATTAAGGTTGGGCTTGCAAGTTTGGTAATTTTATTTGAAGGGAAGAATTTGTAGTATTTTAACATGTGGAGATTCATTTATGGTTTGGGCCTATTTAAAATCTAAACTTCAATATGATGGAAGCACCTAGACTGCTGTTTTTAAAGTGAGACTGCAAATTATACTAAAAAAATGTAATATTTATAAAGGTTTAAGATGCATTTAACTACCTTGAAGTATATACCTTCCCTGACTTACTTTGCCTTGAAGATTTTTCAAGTCACTTGAAAACATATTTACTTATACTTAACCATATAGAAGCTAAACTATAGACATTGAAAATCAAACTTCAAGGTAATGAAGCGATAAATAAGAAAATTGAGGGGATTAAATGATAAAGTGAAACTTCATTTTTAATAATGGTGAGTTCACACGTATGTGCCTTGTTTCATTTGATCTAATGGTAAAATGGGCTAATTCAAAACATGGACTAATAATACACTTGACAGAAGGCAAGATCATGACCTGGCGGTTCACATATAAAATTGCCTTGGAAGTTAGGTTTTCTAACAAGTTAAATTCATCACATCAGGATATGTGAAACACAGATTTCAACAGTAAAAAACAAACTTAGTATTTTAACTCCATCACATCACATTTCTGCATAATCTGATTTTTAGTCATAACATGGATGTCACCCTTCTTTGTTGGAATAGGAATCTACAGATTACTACGAACAATTGAGGGGGGTAAAACTTGAACTACTAAAAATTACCTTGCTTAGTCATAGTGTGTTGGTGATAAGAATGTAAACGAGTCCAGGCAAACTGAATACTTGAAACTTGCTCAATTTGTGAATAAAAAGATATGCTGCACTTTTCTTATTTATTTAAGCAAGTTAAACATGAATATGAGCTTGGTTCACTAACTTCTCATGACTCTTTTTTATTAATTGATAATTTAATAGATACTTTCATTTTACACTGTAAAGTAAAATAATAATAAAATATCATTTTATATACGTAAAAATGATTTATTATTTTATATATATACATATATATATATACATACATACGAGCTATTTGCAAGTTATTAGTGTTAAATTTATAGAACTTGAGTTTGAGATATTTAAATTATTGAGTCAGACTTTTTAAGCTTGAATTTGTTTGTTTGGTTAAATAACAAGTTTGAATGAGTATTTAGTGAACCAAAGTCAAATAATTTACAAATAGCTCAATTCATTTACATTCTTGATAGTTTGTGAGAATATCAGTGTGAAAGTAACCTTCGGTGTCTTCCCTCCTTCAAAATATAGCTGCATCAATTTTGGGTAATCTTCTCATTTAGTTGTGTGTGTAAAGTGTGCATTGTTTTATTTTATCAAGATGCTGCCTGGCTGAAGCCTGAAGGCAAATGCCATGGTGCGTAAGTGCTTTGCCCTTCTGTTCAACACCACCATGGTACCTTTTCTGGTATAATATTATCTTATTTCCAAGAGACAGGGTGAAAACTCTGCTTTTTTTTTTCTTTTAATTTTCCAGTGCAACTTCTTTTTTTTTTAAGCTGAAAGATTGAATTTAAACTGAAACTATGTAATAACTTGTCAAAGTACATTTTCACTATAGAACAATCTCCTTCCCTCCACTTCCCTTTTCTTCCAAAAATAAGCCAGTCTTAATCACATAATCTCATCTAGTGTTCTCCATCAAAGACTTAATTTGTAATCCATTTTTTATTTTCAGTTGTGATATACTTTTCCCTTTACAGTGGTGATTTTGACATGTGCTATTAGTGCAACTTTGTCAGTCCTGCGATGGGCCAGTATAGGTTGTAGACTAGGTGGTGGTGACATGTTGGTCTCTCAATGGCTATATTATCATTTATACATGTTCTTGCTACCTATATAAAGGTTGTTATGGGGAAAGATACAGTATTGGTTCTATATGGTGCTTATAGGTATGGTATCATAATGGAACAACAGGTGTTATTGACACTAGATTGGAGTGCAGACAAAGTTTGAATTAGTTTCTAAATTTATGGTAAGAATAGCTTGGTTGAAATTGATAAAGTGATTGATGATGAAAAGCATCTTGGATCAACTTAATTTAGTTATATGTACCCAGAACAAAAATATGAAGTAACTATTGCTTGCTTCAAATGCATTGCTAAAATGATGAGCCTTATGAAGTATGTGTATGTGCAGTTCAACTAGGACCCCAAAAGTAATTGACAAAGGCTTGGACTTTTGAGGGACTTGGCATTGCTCAAACTATCCTAATAATGATACCATCATCAGTCTAGAGTTAGAAAGCACATGCAAGTACTAATTTGTTGATGCATGCTCATGATAGTTCCCTGTTATGTCTGTTAGATGAACTGAGACTACCACTCTTAGCAAAATATTTACTTTGTTGAGAAAGAAGAACGAGAAACATGGGATGAGTCTGTATATTTTGACTATACAGCAGAACATATATTTATAATAGAGATCATAAATACAGAATATATAGTTACATAGTTACCGTAATTACAAAGATACTAACTTTCCTATTTATAGTTACTATAATTACTTAATTCCAACATACATCATCCTCAGTTCTTATTTTTGTATGCTATAGCAAAAGTTATTGGTAGTCATATGTCTTAAATATTCATTCCTTTTTTTGCAGGATGATGAGTGATTATACAGTGGAGACGATAAATGATGGACTCAATGAATTCAATGTGGAGTTTCATGGTCCAAAAGAAAGTACTGTCAGAATTCTATGGCTAACTTAAGTCTCACGTTTGATGAAACTGTACATATATGAAGAATTACTTAGTAATCAAATGCTTGCTCTATGAAGATTTTCCTTTTTATTTTTATCTTTCTCAAGGACAAGAAAAGGAAGGATAAACAACTTTAATAAGTTCCTTTACCTTTATTTGCATAAATTTCCATCTAATATTTGCATGTTTTATGTCATCTTTGAGCTTGACATTGGTTTTCTTATCTTTGAAAGGGTCATGAATGCATGACTACAAACTCATCTTTAACCTGTTTGGTTGTTCCTTGATTTGTTACATTTTTATGATTTTTGCAGGTCTTTATGAAGGTGGAGTCTGGAAAATTCGTGTCGAGCTTCCTGATGCTTATCCATATAAATCCCCTTCCATTGGCTTTGTAAACAAAATATTCCATCCAAATGTTGATGAGTTGTGAGCACTTCACATGCTATTTATCAATTTTGTATTTTCTTGTTTGGTGAAGATTTCTTCTGTACAATGTAGTTTGTGCAGTCGTACGGTTTGGCAACAGATTTAATACTTTAGATTTGGGTTCCATGATATGCGTGATTTTAACTGCTTTATTTATCTAGTATACAAATTGCTTTTCTATTGGTTTTCTTGCCATTGTTTTGGGATTTTGTACAAGAGGGAAATGGAATTTCTTAAAAGTATCTAGTCATAGAAACAACTTACTATGGGCTGGAGTTTGTGAACACATGGATTATGGCTGATTCTGCTTTCGTCAACTGCAGATCTGGCTCTGTGTGCTTGGATGTCATTAACCAATCTTGGAGTCCAATGTTTGGTAATTCAGTTATTACTGTAGGCTTTTCATAGTGAACGTTTGAAGTGTTTTGTCATATTCTTTTGCATGTATGCACATATGTAGGTACATAATTATCTGTATGAAGTTATGAACTTCAGTAGGAATATGGAATGTCTACTGGGCCCTTGTTACGAGTCTCATGTTGAGTAGAACTTGAAGTTCAATGTGATACTTAAATCATAGAACTCTCTCATCTAATAGTCTTCTAGGTTTTTAGGTTGAACTCTCTTTATGTACTCAAGTCATAATAATTAGTGCTCTTGTTGAGAGCTAGGTTATGAAAAGGGCTACTTAAAGGGTAGATCAGGGCACAATATTTCAAATACTGATAGGCGAGTGAAGCTGTCATAGGATAAATAACTACCATTGAGTCATTGTTGATAGAGTGAGGCTGCCATAAACACTGGTGCAAAATTATGAATCTTACATAGAGTAGAATAAGGAACTCTCTAGTTTTTAAATCATGGGACTGGTATTTTGGATTGACCTCTTCTTGTGTGTTTAGGTCATAGTTAGAAATTAAGAATATAAATGGAAAAGAAAAGAAAGATTTCCTTAAAGGGGGTGGCAAAATTATGAATCTTACATAGAGTAGAATAAGAAACTCTCTAGTTTTTAAATCATGGGACTGGTATTTTGGATTGACCTCTTCTTATGTGTTTAGGTCATAGTTAGAAATTAAGAATATAAATGGAAAAGAAAAGAAAGATTTTATTAAATTGAATGGAAAGAACAGCAAATAGGAGAGAATGAGAGATCTCTCTCCTCCAAGGGTTTTTTCTTCTTTAGGATTTCTCTTGTCGTAAAGAATAAAAGCGCAATTTTTAAATGATACAAGAATAAATGAGGCATTTTTTTTCTTAATTTTATCATTTATTTATCATACTGACTCCCTAACTAACCAACTAGCTGAATATTATCATAACTATCCTAACTCATAACACCCCTCTCCTTTACGTTCTAATCTGTTTTGCTTGTTTTTATTTCTTATAGATGATCAAGGTTTCTGTTTCTGCAGATCTTCTCAATGTCTTTGAAGTTTTTCTTCCCCAACTCTTGCTTTACCCAAATGCTTCAGATCCTCTAAATGGTGATGCTGCATCGTTGATGATGAAGGATAAAAAGCTCTATGAACAGAAAGTTAAAGGTGAGCATATTATTTGTTACGGCTTACCTTTTCTGATAATTTAAGACCAAATCTTATAACGGTATTCCTATCAGAGTTCATGATCCCGCTGCCGTGCCTATGATCTATTATAGTAATCATGATATGAATCTCATAGATTATTTGGTTTCTGATTGAATAGCTTAACCTCTTGAGCCCAAACTCATCTAGATTTTGATATCCTAACACCTGCGAAGTTGTATCAAACGATGGTTTTAGTGCTAACATGTTTTTAGCAAACCCTGTAAACTATTCAAAAGTGATTATAGTGTTTGTACTCGAGATGATTCATATATTTCTCAATATTTGGATTTTATTTTTCTTTTAAATCATGTTCGTTTGGTGAATGGGGGCAAAAGATATGTAAAAAAATTGTACTGCTATTTGTGGGGACAGAGTATTGTGAGCGGTATGCTAAGAAGGAAAACATTACCAACTCTACAGCTGGTGAGGAGAGTGGAGATGAGGAAGACATCAGTGAAGAAGAAAGTGAATCTAGTGATGATGACATTCCTGGTCATGCTGATCCTTAAATGGGTTTAGTGGTCTTCCATTTTTACCTTTTAAGGGCCATGTAATACCAATCAAAGCATTATTACACGATAATTACCTGTTCAATTGTAAGACGTAGGATTATAAATGCTATTTTTTCTGCCTGTAAAAATACAATTCTCATTCGTGAGTAAAGTCGTGAATAGCTATAATATAATATATAGTTAGTGTTTTAGTTGTATTTTGCATTGTCTTTCATTATTTTAAAAGCAAACAAGAAATGTCGGGAGATACCTGTTGAAAATAACTTGTTTGTGAACATCAATTCTTAGTATTGGTTGTAAGCAATTATAAATAAAAAATGTTTTAAAAAATTATTATATTAGAAACAAGAAAAATAGTTCAGATCTTTTTAGTTTCATAAAGTCAATTTTAAAGGATGACACAATTCAACATAAAAATACAATTTCTTCATAGAAAATTGGGTAACAACTCTTGGTGGATTCTCTATACCAATGTATTGCACTGATCAGTGAAGTTTCACCAAGGAGAAAATCGGTCGTCAACTTCATTTCAACCTTTTGCTATTCTTGAATAATCGAAGGCTGTAAAAACATCAATGAATAGTTAGCATAAGATGTTTTAGCTCCTTTTCTGCGCTTCTTGTCTAACACTGTTTGTTTCGGTGTAATTAATGGAAAGGAAATTTAATAAATATGAAAATGGAAGGATAAAACATTAACTTTCTGCGTTTGAATGCATAGTAAAGATGAAGTATATTTTGTACAAAGTGAGAAGGCAAACATGAATTATATATCCAAATTGAACTTTTAATTTTATTACACCTCAAGTAATTCTTGTGACCCGGAAATGATAACCATAAATAAAAAAAGGATTATCTGTCAAGGGTAAATAAAATTTTTTACATTATATTTAGTTTTTCCTTTCTATTTTACACTTCATCCAAACTAGTGAAAGTAAATTTTTAAATTTCTTTCCTATCTATTTTCACTTATTTAATTACATCTAAACAATACTAATATTTCTCTGCTCTCTAGTTCCTCCACATCCAAACAAAGTGTAAATGTCATTTTCTTACAATAACTGCTTCTTACAACTACTATAAACATGGTAATAACTTTCAACTGCCCCTGCTGTTGGTTTACAATGCATCAGAAGGGGATTTTATACTTACTGTTGGATTCGGCCCACGTCTTGATATTAATATGGTATTGACATTTTATCTAAATGAAAAAACTTAAAAATCTACTTTCTGTCCATACTCTTGGATTGGAGAAAACAATATGTATATAATTTTTACACATATTCAAATTTGAGTGCTTGAAATCACATGGCCTGAACTATACAATAATTTCTAGTTGGATTAGGTTAATGTTTAAAATTTTAATGTTGTATTGAAGATGAATAAACAAAAATTAGGAAGTTCAAAAAAAGTGAAAGGCCCAAAATAAAAAACTCAAGCCAAAATAAAAAATAAAGTGCAAAAATAAAAATAAAAATTAGAAGTAGCATTAAAAAAAAAACGAGTATAAGTTAGGGTAATAAAAAGAAAAACAAGATCAGAGGAAGAAACCTAATTTAAAACACAAGTTTAAGCTAAAAAAGAAAAGATAGTTAAAATGTAAGTCAAAAATAGGCTGAAACTAGTCGAATTTGAGAGCTAGTTTTAGATAATAAAGAATCACACATTTATAAATTAATAATAATTTTTAGATAATTATAAGTCTAAATTATGAAAAGTTTTAGACAAATAAATTACTTAAACTTATAATTTTTTTCTCTCATTCTAAGATCTAGCCTACACTCAAAATCATAATATTTAAATCAAATTTAAAATATTTAATATTTATAAGTGGTTTGCTTGTTCTGTCTTAAACTTTTAAACCTTGTTTATTATAACAAAAAATATGCATGAAAAATTATAAAAAATAAAATTTAAGTTAAAATAAAAAAAAATGTAATTGTAAAGAAGATATGTATAATTAATTTTAAAAAATTTAAATTAAAAATAAAGAGTAACATTGCGCCATTCTTTAAAAGTGAATGCTAAAAGACCGATTAGTTTGCTCTAAAGATATTGTATTCTAATCTAATTATATTATAATAGTATAATGAGAGCAAATTAGTGTTAATGGAATTCAATGTTTTGATTATTATTATTATTATTATTATTATTATTATTATTATTATTATTATTATTATTGATACAGTTTTAAAAAAGATTATTTAATATACTAAATTATTCAGAAATAATAATTTTATTTTAACTCTTACTATAGTATTTTAATAAAGAATTAAAATATGTATTTTTAACTATTTTGAATATACAAGTACTACTCATTAATATTATTATACATTTACGTACAGACTGTCATATTTATTTATTTATAAATTATAATTACCTAATGAACCTGCTAGTGGACTATATTTTTTAAGAGAAAATATGTTAGTAAACTATAAAATGTAGTTACATATTTCTCTTAAAATAAATAAGTGTTCCTTAGTTATATATTTCAATGGGTTCAAATTTCACTAATTACGTGCTTAAAAAAATTGATATTTGAGTGTTTTCAATTGAAATTGAATAAATTTTAAAACTTACGTTTGTACCATACTGATAAATTGTAACTTTTGCGTTAAATTAAAAAAAATTATACTAAATTTTACTATCAAATTACTTTTAGAAGATAAGTTTCCAAACATAATTTACTTACTTCAAATTCACAATTAAGATGAAAAGCATCCATTAAAATTATAATTCTGATATATTTTTGTTACCTTTCTTGTTATAAATATCTCTTTATTGTAATTATAATTAACACAATGTAATGCAACACATCGTTATGTTTTCATTCTGTTTCAAGATACATATGATATTCTTCATGTATGATGAGATGGTTGATCCATAACTGCAGTTTTAACAAACTAACATGTTGTAAAATATTATATTTTTTCAAATGCAGATTCTTTTAAACTTAACGAAGACAACTATCTCCCCAAACTTTAGCTACACAATGTTCAACCTATGCCAATACATCATTAATAAAGACTACCCATGTAATACAAAATTGGAAGAAAAGGAAAAAGGCAAAAGTTGATCCATAGAAGAAAAGAAAGAAAATCTCTCACAATGAAAACAAGATCACTCAATGACCGAGTGGTAATTACTCAACATCCTAACCCTCACTTTTAAACAAAATTAATTCTGCATGATAAAGTTTATTCTAGCTCAATTTTAAAAACACACACCAGAAATCCTCCAAATGTAACTGTAATTTAAACACAAGGTGGACAACAGTACATAAAAATTGTTGCTCTGTCACCCAATTGGCAATGTAATGTAAATGGCCGATGTGACCAATGACCACATGACAGTTAAAATAGAAGTATTCAGCGAATTTCACTATTTTGATTGTTCAAATTCCAAAACCAGTGCAAACTAGGAAACCAAAAATATAGAGCCACTTCCGAGGAAAAGGAACCCAAGAGTTTGCTTCAGATCCTTTCCTTGCACTGTCAATGGGGAATGTGCCTCCAACTTAGATGCCACTTCTCTTTGCATGCCAAAGCCTCTTCAAACTTTGGTCTTAATGCATGCTTGGATAAACTTATTTTAAAAAATAATCGCTTATTTTTCACAGTTTTGTGAAAAAACCTATAAAAAAAGATTATTTTGCTGAATATAATCTCATCCATTTACAATTTACATGGATTGATACCGGTGGATAAAGTGACAACAACTTATCTGGTGATCTTCCAATGGCGAGCAATAACTTTTGTGGAGAGCTTTCTATATGATCCTTTCTTGCTGAACACAACAAATTCACTGGGCAGATTTCTGACTTTAACTTCTCCCTACTTTTGGAGTTTAATGTCTCCAGCAACAATTATTAGAGGGTTCAATTCCTCATGTTAGAGGAGAATTCCATGCAAACAGCTTTTGTCACAAAAGACATTTCGCGTAGTTTGTTAATTCGAAGTTCTCTAACTTTTTTCAATAACAACTTGTCCAAGTTGATAAACGAAGTCGGGAAACAACTAAACTGTATGATTTTGTCAAAAAGAAGAAATAAAATGAAATAAATAAATAAATAAAACATCTTTGCACTATAATACAAGCATTTTATAGGCAATTAGTGATTCAATCGCAATTACAAACTTAATGGTTGCAGAAAAGGCTAACACTCTATACCTAGGCCAATAAAAGAACGCATTTGCTGATCGATCTAAACCAAAATGTTGTTCCATAATTAATAGTACCAAATTTAATGTCCTAAAGTTTTTGATGACTTGATTGTAAGCACTAAATCCAACATAATTCGCTTTAGTATATAGAATGACAAGGAGAAGAAAAGTGAATACAATAAAAGGCATGAACTAAACAACGTTGAAAGGAACCAAATGAGTTAACGTTTTCAGTTCTACAAGTTGTATCATTTCATATGAATATTTGATCTTAAAGAAGGAAAAAGTGTTAGAAATTAAGAGAGAGAGGAGACAAGAATAAGGACAGCTAACAGGTATTTTAGAAATCTCGGTCGGGCAGGATCTACAAATGAGCATTACCTTAATTGTATTTCTCTGAAAGGTGCCAGAAATGACGAAATTAATACTTAATGCTACTACTCTCTTTTATCCTGATCAAGTGGTGATGCTTTTTTAACAAGAGAAGTTGTACAACACAACGCAACAGATAAGAAAAATATATCTATAAAATAAGATAGTCGATGGAATACAGAAATTTTTTTATAAAAAATTTTATGTATGAATGATATCATACTTAAATAAATAGTTTTAAGGAATATGAGGTGGTGTTTTCTTTTTTTCATGTTTTACAATACGAAATTTGTCTTTTTTTTGTCTATACAATGCTTTGGTTTAACCTAGAAGATGATTGCTTTAGAGAACACGATCCACCACTGTTTTGAGTAAAGGGTTTGTCAAATTCATCTTATGGAATAATAATCCTATCTTAAATGGACTAAATATAGAATTTATTTATACAAACTTAAATAAAAACTTATATAATATATTAGTAATATATTGTCTTAACTTTATTAGTTTACTTAAGGTGAAATTATTATTTTGTGAAATAATTTAGACAAACCTTTAAGTAATACGAGCTGATAGCTCAAACATCCCATCCTTTTGACTTATTGCTGGTTGGTCTGGGTGCTCAACTCCATTTTAGTTGCATTACACACATACTTTGGACAGACAGAATCATAGGTTTAATTAGTTGCCATGCGTGCAAAAATAGAGACCCTACCATTAGCTTTTGTCTTTCAGAATCTCTATAGTCTCCACCATTTCCAAACATGTGAAAGATTGACAACAGGGTGGCTCGTGAACTCCTCACCCTATAGCTATTATGATTTATTAGCAACATTAATCATTTCAGTTTTCAAAACATGACCCTAAATGCTAGTATGATCGATGTATCAAAACACGCCTAAGATAATATATAACCCGGGAAAGAAAATAAGAACAAAATTTAAAAGACATATCGATTTACACTTTAATTTCGGAGATGGAAAGTGCAAATGAATTATACCAAAAAAGAAAATATCAACTTCAACTTTCAAGGCTAAAAGTTTAGTACACGAAAACAACCCAAAATTTGCAACAGAAACACTTAAAAAGTTAAAACTTACGGGTCCATTTAAACTCAATATTAGATAACATCAAGGTATGAAAAAAAATCAACTTTTTTTTCTCCCTTTTCATTTTTTCTCTGCCATGAGCCATGAATAGTTCTTTAGCAGCGATCATGCCAAGATTGGCGTGGAATGGTCATTATTATCTGCAATGATTTTGATTGCGATCTATACTCGAAAAAAGACGCCACCCTACAAATAGACAGCTTTGGAATATAGACTCATCAAATTGTGTTGTATATATAGGTCAACTTCTTAATCATTTGACTTTTTCTCTTCTTTCTTTTTCTGTTTTTAGCTTTATAACTTTCTTGTTATGCATACAAGTCAAAATGAAATATTTGCATAAATGATAAAACCAATTTACCATCCAGAGCAGAGGCAAAAATTTGTAAACAACATATTTATTTCAATATTCCACAACAAAAATAAATAAATTTCAATGTCTTGGACCTCATGCAGATGAGCTTAAGTCTTAACCCGCAAACACCTATGTTGAATGTTTCAATTGGATTTTGGTTGTCTGCAGTTATTTTATAAATGCAACGTATCCCAACAGTGAAAATTATTTTTGTTAATTATAAATGTAATTGTAAAAACTGAAAAATGTTGGATTGTTAAATAGGAAATGACAAACCTAAAAGAACAGTTTCCTTTCTATACTCACTCCTACCTCCTCTATTATGATTTATGATTGTTATCATGATTTTGATACATTCAATCTTTAAAATTAAATCAAATATTTAAAAATATTAATTTTAATAAAAACGTATTTATTTATATTTATATCTTCAATATAATGAATAATATTTTCAATATAAATTTATTAAATTTAAATGCTTGCCAAAACTATTATTATTATTGTTGATTTCGAAAATTGCTTGATCACTTTAATTCCGACATAAAAAAGATTAGCGCAAAAAAAAAATTGAAAGAAGTAATTTTGATATAATGAAATGTAAATAATTATATTACTAAAAAAAGATATCCAAATTTTTTAACAATATTCTCCACGCACTTGAGCATCTATATATTTATATTACAGCTTTACAGGCAAATAAATTTACATTTATAATATCACTTCCGTTTATAATTATTAACAAATAAATATTTAATTCATTAAGATTTAATATCAATAAAATATATTAATATATCATAAATTTAAATTTTATTTCAAAAATATTTATAATATTAAATGATTAAACTAATGTATTATATATTAAATAAATAAATATATTTATTTATATGTGTAAAGATGAATAGTTTGTTAATAAAAAATTTATATTAAATAAAATATAAAAATAATTTAATAATTTTAAAAAATAATTATTTTTAAAATTAGAAAAAGATTAATAATCATTTTTTATAAATAATAAAATATTATTAAACAAATGATAATTTTATGTAAAGTTTAAGATATTAAATATTTTTAGTAGTATAAATATTGTTCACTTAAAAATTACTTCTTATACAAGATACAGTACAGAGAGTTAAAAAAATAAAGAAAAAGTAAAAGAGACATTGTGCGAAGTTCTGGGGCAAAAGTAAAGTCTGACAACTTTCGATCGTCACCAACCACTGCACAGACAATTGGACTATGTTTGTGGTCTCTGTGAAAAAGTGACATACACTCTTCCATCTATCACGTCTTCTTTCATTTCCTTATATGCCCTCCAAATCCATTTCTCTTTCATCTTCCCATATTAGTGAACATCCTAGCAAGACAAAAAAAGGAAACAAATTTCCTTACTACAAAGTCTGCATAAAGGACCATAACATTTTCTGGTGCTTCTCTTCTCATAACACTGTCACTCAGTTGCACTCCAAATATGAATTAATCTTCCTTATAGTACTTTCTATTATAGCCACAAAATCTTTGTTCCCTTCTCAACCTCAATGCTAGAAAATGCGTAGCATTCAAGTTGAAGCCAAGCAAAAACATGGTGTTGAATATTTCAAGTACTCATCTTCTCAACCTCCTTTCTCTTCATTCCAAACTCCTAGTGATGGTAACATCAGTAACGAGAACGAAGCAACAACAACATCATCATCATCACCATCATCTCTTAGCAGAATAAGTCCACTTATTTTGCTGGTTATAATAGTTCTAGCAGTTATCTTCTTTGTCTATGGACTTGTCCATTTGGTTCTGTGGTTTCTGATGAAAAGGCCAACCCCTCAGTCTCTCTACAATTCAAATAATTTCACAGAAGCCACAAGAACGCGTGCTCTTCAAAGACAGCTTCAACAGCTCTTTCGTTTGCATGATTCAGGTTTAGACCAAGCTCTCATAGATGCTCTACCTGTTTTCTATTACCACGATTTATTGGGTTTGAAGGAACCCTTTGATTGTGCTGTGTGTCTCTGTGAATTTTCCGACCAAGACAAGCTAAGATTGCTTCCTATGTGCAGCCATGCCTTTCACATGAATTGTCTTGACACGTGGCTACTGTCAAATTCCACGTGTCCTCTTTGTAGGGCATGTCTCTCCAACTCTGGTTTCTACGTGGAGAATCCAATATTTAATATTGATAATTCTTTGGTGATGCCTAATAGGCTCATGGATGAGGAAGAAAATGGGTGTTCAGATAGTCAAAGATCAGTAACTGGTGAAGCACAAATAAGTGGGAAAAGGGTGTTTTCTGTCAGACTTGGAAAATTTAGAAATAATGGGTTGGAGGGTGGAGTGGTAGGAGGAGTAATAGGGGATAGTAGTAGTTGTAGTTTGGATGAGAGGAGATGCTACTCCATGGGTTCATATCAGTATGTAGTTCGTGATTCAAATTTGCAAATTGTGTTATCTCAATCTCATGATGTTTTAGAGCATGGAAATGTCGAGGGAAAAAGGATAGGCAACTCAACACAAGGTGAGAGCTTCTCTGTTTCCAAGATCTGGCTTTGGTCCAAGAAGACCAAGTTTCATAGTTCTAATGCTGCTTTCCCTTGATTTCTTACTGTAAGGACTAAGAAGGTTAAATATTTATATAAACAAAGATGTCTTATTGTTTTCGATGTTATACCATGAACACACATATATTAATGCTAGCTGATATTTGGTTGTGCTTCTTTTCCTCTCTTTTAACTTATCTCTCTGTTGACCTACCATTCGAATTACATTGATATAGGTTTGAAAAGAAGGGTTGCATTGTTTATGGTGTAGGAGGATTACTATTCTAGATCATTGAAATCAGAAAGAAGTATTTGTAGCAAATTCTATCAAGAGATATATTGAATGAGTAAAATGAATCCTTGTTTGAGATCCAATGTATATACTAATAGTTGAGGGTGACAAGTTGTAACTGAATGAATGAATTACTAAGTTAATTTATTCAACTAATTCTGGGATGAGTTAAAGTTGGTTTATACCTGGGAAATAAGGTGCCCAACTTGGATTATAATGGTCTGAATTTCACTGTTGGGAGTGGCTTTGTGAGAAGTCAGCTAGTTGATGCTGAGTCATAACATGGATCAAATTGAAAAATTCTAAATTGACACGGTCCCTTATGAAGCTAGTGCCAGTTTATATCCATATGTTTAGATCATATATTCATAATGGGCAGATTTTAAAGATAAACAAATGGCTAATTGACTGTTACAAAACACTATGGTTGAAGTAATTTGTATCACGAAGTTGGTGAAAAATAAGGACACTACAGCTAGTGCTCTATATTCTGCTTGTGCAATTGAATAAGACACTTTAGGTTGCTTTAGACTACCAAAAAATTAAGAAATTTCCGAAGAACACACAAGAGTTGGCGGTGATCTTCTACTGTTAGTACAGCTACCCTAATCAACATAAGCAAAACCTGTGAGAAGTAGTGCGGAGTCCGTGAGAAAGATAAGGCCTTGACTTGTACCACTCTTGAGATAGCGCCACAAATGGTAAACTGCCTGTAGATGTGGAATCCTCAGGTATGATATGAATTGACTTGCTACCCGTTTTATTTAAGTCATATAAAATTCATTTTGATGAATCATTAAATGTGATTGAGATAAATATATAATTTTTAAAAAAAATTAACGTGTATTTAAGGATATATGTTAAAAAATAAAATTAATAATATTTTTTTATCAACTATTATAGTATTTAATATTATTAATGTATTAAATTATTTGATATTTTGTTATTTTAATAAAAATTATAATATATAAATTTTATTGTACACTTTTAAATATAACATGAAGCATCCTACTAATCTTCCGTTCTATATAAAGAACGGTCATCGAATACCGTTTCCATCAAATTCCATTGAGCTAAATTGTAGGATCCATGGGCAGAGACAAAGGTTTTGCACCAACAAAGTAAAAAAATTATTGATTTCTGCAACAGGTTTTAAAAATTTAGTTCATAATTAATGTTAATTTGGTTTTAAAAAATTGAATGTACGTTAAACTAATTTTTTAATTTATTATATTTGTATAACTGATTTAATATTTTAAATTTTTTATATTCATTTAAATATAGACGTGTGTATGGAAGCAGAACTTCATGTATTAATTTATCAGACCTCTATGATATATCTATTTACAAAAACATTTTACGATTATATTTTACGACTAATATTTTTGTATTAACCTTAGATTTTATGATTAATATTAAATATTTAAACAAATTAAAATATAATTATTATATTAAAGAGATAAAAATATTTTTAATTAACTACTATTATTTTTTATATTTAAATTTATTTTTTAATTTTTTAAAATATTATAACATAATATTTTTATTATTATTTAATATTATAAATATTTATTTTTTATAATTTTTAATTTAAACTTTCATTATTGACTCTATTTATTAAAAAATAAGTTAAAAATATTGATAAATATTTTATAAAAACTTCTATAAAGTATAATATAATTAACAAATATTACTATTTTTTTTCAAAATACACTAATTTAATGTAACCGTGTAATACAATAAATTAATTTTATCTTACAAATTAAATTTATAAATATACTAAAACTTAGTTTTGTCTTAAAATTTTAATTTAAAATTTAATTTAAAACTAATTCAATATAAAATTAGATGTAAAACTAACTTGATGTGAAACATCAAATTTAAAACTAGTTTTAAACAAAATTCAGATTTTAAAATTAGTTTTAAAAAATAAAATAGATTAGTTTAAAATTTTAATTTGTATAATTAGTCTGTGTGATGAATAAATAATACAAAATAGAATATATGAAAATATTTATTAGTTTAATATAATATTAATATAAAAATGATATTATTAATAAATTAAAATATATAAATATAATTTTATATTAATTATTATAATTATTAACTTTTTAATATAATAATTTAATTATGATATAAAAATATTTATAGTATATTTTATCAAATTTAATATTTATTTTAAATTAAATATAAATTTTAAAACTAGTTTTAAACTAATTTTAAAAAATATTTTCCAGCATATTTTGAATTTGATATATTTTTGCCTTGTATGGATCAACCAGTATTATATCTTCCTCTTACTACAACAAAATAAATCTTAGAGGATAAGTTTGTAAAAAAGAAAAAGATAAAGGATCAAACTAATATTTTAACTAAATATATAAGATGAAAAGCATGTTTTGGCCAGTAAAATAAAACTCTAAATATTAATTTAAATATTTTCTTTTAACCAAGGAATGTTCAAAATCGGATTAATAGCACGGAATAAGGACATTTAGGTAAAAGTGGAAATAAGACATGTTAAATTAAATAATTGCTTGTTAAATTATTTTATACTTGTTTGCATGATTACTTATTTAATGAAGTTATTTTTAAATGATGATTTATGTTTTAAATTTAATAATAAAATTTATTAATTAAGTTAAAATAATTTATTTTAATAAATTATACTAAAATAAATATTTTTATAAATTATTCATATATTCCTTTGAACAGGCATTTTATCTAAGATAAATTTAGTCTATTTTTTAAATTTAAACTCTAAATTTGTCCTGTTTATTTATTTAAGTATTTTTTTAAGGCATGGGTAATTTTTTAAAAAGTTAGTACGAATTTTATTATTTTTTCTTTCATCTATTATCTATTATAAGTGATTATCTTATAAGAAATGTATTTTTTTTAACTATTTGAGAAGATTGTTTAAAATAAATTTTTATTTAAAATGTATTTTTAATATTATATATATAATTAAAAAATTATTTATAATATCGCATATGGTATATAATTTTAATTATTTAAATAACAAAAAAGTTATATTAAAAAGTCACTTTTATCTGCTCTCGAAAGAAAAAAAATGAATATATTTTTATAGTATTTTTTAATCTTATAGGATTTTAGCTAAATTATTCATTTTTTATTTTTATTTACGTAAAATAATATGAAACTAACGTATTTTTACTAAATAGGGTTTAGGTAATTCAAGTCTACCATGGACTAAACCATAAATTATTAATCAACCATGTAACACTTCTTCATCCCTACATAGAAGGGTTCAATATTCATCTTTGTTTCTTTAGAAACATTTTTAAATATAGAGGGGTGCGTATATTAAAAATTAGAATACTCATTGAGTACGCGTTAAATAAATTACATTCACAGAAAATCAAGCACAAAGATTTTTAAACTATATTAACAATACAATTATTGATCCGTACAAAACAATATATAATAAAATTAATTAAAATATATAATTTAACATTAGTAAATAATATTTTTTAAATAAAAATATAATTTTTATTAATTTCCATTATATATTTTTTTTTGCACAGGATAAAAAAACAATAATTCCATACCTAAAAAGTAATTTTGAAAAATAACCATATTTAATTTTGTTTCTTAATAAGAAATTATAAAAAAAGTTTTAACTAATGCTAAAAAATATTAATTAAAGAATCAATAAATAATAATTTTCATTGAGATACATTAAAATTCAAAGTACTAAAATTTCAAGGACCAGTTAGTACCAATATTTTCTAAAGAAAGGAAAACAAAAACCAATGGAAACCGTTTATTTTATACAACCGTTTATTTTTGCATTGACCCCTTTTCTACAAAACACACACTCTATTGTCACTCCGTCTAACACACACAGATACACACACTCTCTCTCTCTCTCTCTCTCACAGAGTGACCCTGACTAGCATGGGGACACTCGACGGCGATTCCGCTACACCCACACTTCGCCTCTTCAACATTCCTCACTCAGCCACCGCCAAAGACCTCCTTCAATTCCTTGAATCCGCGGTGGGTCCCTCCTCCGTCTTCGCCCTCGAAATCTTCACCGACAACAACAACTGGAAGTCTCGCGGCCATGGTCGTGTCCAGTTCGAAACCTTCGACGCCAAGTCACGCGCCCTCTCTCTCTCTCTCCAACAACAACTCCTCTTCCACTCCCACTTCCTCCGATTCTCCGAATCTTCCCAAGACATCATCTTCCGACCCACTCTTCCCCATCACCGCCTCCAAAATGGTATCCTCTATGCCGGTTTTATGGCCGTCGATCACCGCATGAGGGTTCTCGAGACTTGGGAGGGTGTTAGGGGTTGGGTAATGCCACAAAGCCAGAGACTTGAGTTGTGGGTATGGCAGAGTGGTGAGTGTTACAAACTCGAGATTTTGTTTGAGGATATATTGGAGTCTCATGGCTATTGCTCGGGTGAAGATAACAAACTCAATGCTCTTCTCTTGAAGGTTTTCATTTGCATTCCCGTTTGTTCAATTTTAATGTCAAATATTTATGTGGGTCAATGTGAGTAAGTGATTTTTGTGTATGATTGATTTGTATTTTTTATATCTCTTTGGACTGTCTCAGCTGAAATATGGACCGAGGATTTATCAGAAGAAAGCTGGGGCAGGTGTGGCAGCCAAGTTTAAGGCTGACAGGTACCGATTTTGTAAGGATGATTTTGAGTTTCTTTGGGTGCGCACTACTGATTTCTCAGCTATAAAGTCAATTGGGCATTCTACCTCGTTTTGTTGGGACATTGAGGAAGAACATTTTGCTTCCCAAGTTTTTAAATGTTTCCCATTCTACAAGGAAAATTTGAGAGATCTGTCTCTGGAAGATGGGGTGGAATTCTGTTCTTCCACTGAAGCAGTTCCGCTTTTGAAGTGTGGTTCAGATTCTAAGTTACCTTATGAGGTCATTTTCCAATTGAATTCCCTTGTTCATACCCAGAAAATTAGTCTTGCTGCGGTGGATGATGATTTGATGAACTATTTAGGGGATTTGGATGAAGAAACTAGAGCCGCGATATTTCAGAAATTGCACAAGATGAGCTCCACTTGCTATGAGCCTCTCAATTTTGTGAAGACTCAATCGCGTGCGCTGAGTAGCAACGGTGGAAGTCTTCACCAATCGTCGCATAAAAGGTTGACGGATAATAACATAATGAGTTGTCATAGAGCCTTGATTACCCCGACGAAGATTTATTGCCTCGGTCCTGAGCTTGAAACCTCAAATCATGTGGTAAAGCATTTTGCACCGTATGCTTCGGACTTCATAAGGATTACTTTTGTTGAAGAGAATTGGAGTAAGCTTCCAACAAATGCAGTGTCAACTAGTGTGCAAAAGGGAATCTTTTCAAAGCCTTTTAAAACTGATATATACAATCGAATATTGACTATTCTTCGAGATGGGATTGTAATTGGATCCAAAAGGTTTGAGTTCCTGGCCTTCTCTGCTAGTCAGCTGCGATCAAATTCTGTTTGGTTGTTTGCTTCTAATGACAGAGTGAAAGCATCAGATATCAGGGAATGGATGGGATGCTTCAACAATATTCGCAGTGTTTCTAAGTGTGCAGCGAGGATGGGTCAGTTATTCAGTTCTTCCATGCAAACTTTTGAAGTGCCCCCTCAAGACACAGAGATAATTCCAGATGTGGAAGTTACCACTGATGGTGTAAGCTATTGTTTCTCAGATGGTATTGGAAAAATTTCCCAATCTTTTGCAAGGCAAGTTGCTCAAAAGCTAAAACTGGATCATAGTCCATCAGCATTTCAAATTCGGTATGGTGGATATAAAGGTGTTATTGCTGTTGATCGCCATTCCTTTAGGAAGCTATCATTGCGTAGTAGTATGCTTAAGTTTGAATCTAAAAACAGGATGCTTTGTGTGACTAAATGGAGTGAGTCAATGCCTTGCTTTCTCAATCGAGAGATTATATCCCTGCTGTCTACCTTAGGAGTAAAAGATGAGGTGTTTTTGGCAATGCAACAAGAGCAATTGCGTTTGTTAGGAAGGATGCTGACTGATAGTGAGGCAGCTCTGGATGTTTTGGAAAGTTTAAATGGAGCTGATTCAAAAAGCATTTTAGTGAAGATGTTGCATGCATTTAATGAGCCAAATAGTGAGCCTTACCTATTAATGATGCTAAAGGCTTATTATGCATACCAATTATCCGATTTGAGAAGTCGATGCCGAATATTTGTTCCCAAGGGTCGGGTCTTAATAGGTTGCTTAGATGAAACTGGTCTTTTGAATTATGGCCAAGTATTTGTCCGCATAACTGTGACAAAAACTACGGGAAAAAATGGGGATGAAAACTTAAGGAAAGTTGATGGTGATGATGGCACACGTATAATAGTAGGAAAGGTGGTGGTCACAAAAAATCCTTGTCTTCACCCCGGAGACATCAGAGTCCTTGATGCCATAAACAATGAAGAATTAGAGGAAAAGGGTTTGAGGGATTGCCTTGTATTCCCACAAAAAGGGCATAGGTAATGTATATGATGGACTACATTCACAACACCACCACATTTGATTGAAATGATTTGTTTTAATCAACTTAAAATTAGTAGATCTTTAACATTTATCCTTGGTCCTATGTGGTGTTATTAACTACACTGTCTCACTAATCATGTGCCAACAAAGGAGATATTAATTGGGGGGAGGAGAGAGATAAAAGGGGAAAGGGTAGTTGTAGCTAGGCAAGCATTTTTCATTTAGAACATGCAGCATCGACTACTGCATGCTTACATTTACTTTTGCAAAATCAAACATTATTCCTACTGTAGTGTCCTTGAGTCATGATCAGTTTGTTATCATTTAATGGTGCCAATTGGTTCTAGTTTGATAGAGTTTTGCTTTCCCTTGTCCATAAAAACGGTTCCTTATATTCATTGGGTGATGATGGGCACTTGGTAGTTATATTAACATTTCTGTTGCTCTGTCTAGTTAGATATAAAATTAATAAGCCGTTAAGCATTCATCTAACAACCTTTAGGAGAGTTGGTACGATTCTTTTTCTTCAAGGGATAGGTAGTTTTATCATCTAACAATTTAAGCCCTTAAGAGAGTATATAATTTTTTTTTTTATGTAATTAAACAATGTACTTGCGAGTTTAGCTTCATTTTTATTCCAAAGTTCAATTTCAAACCAGCACTAAAATTTTTGAAGACAGGTTGTGCATGGTCCATTTAGCCTATTTCGGTTCTACATCAAAAAGTCATTACTATCACTGATGTTTATGTTTAAAATAATTTTCATATGATTGATATTTTCAAAATATTTTCAAAAATCATTATTATCATTGATGTTTATTTTTAAAAGATTTTTCTTATCTTTTTTGTTAATACTTGTTGCTTGGCCTCCAGGCCTCATCCGAATGAATGCTCAGGAGGTGATCTTGATGGAGATTTATTTTTCATAAGCTGGGACAAAGATCTGATCCCATGTCAAACTGAGGCTCCAATGGGCTACACTGGAAGTAGGCCTCGTATAATGGACCATAAGGTGACCCTAGAGGTAATTTTCAACAAAGCTAAATTTGTTTTGGAAAAAACATTATTAAATGTGAAATTGTTCCTTATTTGTTGTTTCTTGTGTGGGTAGGAAATCCAACAATTTTTCGTTGATTACATGATTAATGATACCTTGGGTGCTATCTCTACCGCACATCTAGTTCACGCAGACCGTGAACCAGACAAGGCCAAGAGTAGAAAATGTCTGGAGTTGGCAGACCTTCATTCCATGGCTGTTGACTTTGCAAAGACCGGTGCGCCTGCTGCAATGCCTAGAGTTTTGAAACCAAGAGAGTTTCCAGATTTCATGGAGAGGATGGACAAGCCTGTGTACATCTCCAAAGGGGTTCTAGGAAAACTTTATCGTGCCATAATTGAGTCAAAATTGCAAGTTAGATCCAGCTTTGAGTGGTCAGAGAAGCTTGCCGAAGAAGCATATGATCATAGCCTTGAAGTGAATGGTTTTGAGGCCTTCCTTGAGATTGCGTCGAGTCACAGAGAAATGTATGCACAGAAGATGACCACTTTAATGAACTTCTATGGTGCAGAGACCGAAGACGAAATGCTACTTGGTAACTTGCAAAACCGTGCTTCTTATTTGCAGCGTGATAACAGAAGATATGGAGATATGAAGGATCGGATTCTGCTCTCAGTAAAGAATCTTCAGCGTGAAGCTAAAGAATGGTTTGAAACTAGTTGCCAACCCCGCGACTACCAGCCTATGGCATCTGCATGGTATCATGTGACCTATCACCCAAGCTATTACCAAGAAAACTCCTGTTTTTTAAGCTTTCCATGGATAGTTGGTGACATTGTATTGCATATTAAGTCTCTAAACAGTAGAGTTCACAGATGAAGACTTCTAATGCCGTGAGCATCTTATAGTTCCCAGATGACATGTCTATGTACATGATGATTATAGGTACGATGTTGTCTGAGGGATTTTCTTTGTGCAAATATTATTTTAATATCTGGTATGATATATATTTACAACTAAATATGCGATGCTGATGCCAGTTGATTCATGTATTTCCAATTTTTTTAGGGTTATGTTTATGAGTTAATCTAGTTCAACCCATCAAAATAGTGGGTTGGATTACTCCAAAATTAACTGAACAAAACCAAGGGTATATTAGGCTTTGGCTTACGTTAGTGGTGGATTATTTAGGTTTGAGTCGAGTGTAAAGCAAAGCTTATCCATATATTGGAAACCAAAAAAACAAAAAAGGAAAGAGGGGTTCCGCGGTCGCTATCTCAGAAACCATCGTCACCTAAATTTAAGGGTGAGGCCGTGACGTTACAAACCTTCTCAAGTTTCTAACGACTAATGCTAACCCACCGCTCATGAAGAAGACACCACCAATTTAAGTTGAGTAATACCATATATTTTTGTTAGAGCAAAAAAATATTTCTTTCCATCTAATTTATAAGAAATTATTATTATTATTATTATTTGTTCAAAATATAAAAACAAATATTTATTTTTAAATAAACTGTTCAATTTTTGTTATACTCTTATTTATTATAAGATTTATATTATTAAGACACTTTCATTATTCATATAAGTAAATATATTTATTCATTTACTGTATTAATTATTATTTTAATAATTTATTACTATGAATATTTTAAATACATTATAAATTTATAATATATATTTACTTTTTAATTGATTTTAACAATTTATTTATTTATTTTCATAAAAAGGAGTATAATTTTTATCAACTTTGACTATTGCAGTGAATCCAGGTAAGTCTTTGCGTGATAAAAATTGTTTTTCTCTTCAATATAACAAAATTACATTATTTATCGATAGGAGAGGACTTGATTCATCTAATGCCCAATCTGCAGGTGAACTCCGATGAGTCAAGTTTGCTCAATTTAACCGTTCTAATTTTACAGCCAAATAGATCCAATTATTGTAGTTCTTTTTTACTTCGCAACTACTGATAAGTGTCATTACGTGGACTTAGCCTTGAACAGTTTAAATTAGGCACACGCATCAATTATATCAAAATAAAAGTGAAAATGTTTTTAAAAGGAGTTTCATTCATAAAACATACAAACTTATTATTTTTAAGTAATTAAAAATATTTAATTATGTGTATTAAATATTTCAATTAATTGTTTCTTTAATGTGAATTGTGTAACTTACTCATTTTGATTTCTAAGTTTTTCCATACTAATTAAGTTTCTTTATTTATAAAATTAAAGAAATGGTCAAATAATTTGAAGGTTTAAAGTAAAAAAAAGCATTGATCAAGTATCCAAATTTAATTAATTTAAGAAACAAAGACTTAATATAACATTAACAGTTAAAATTCTAAAAAGGGCGTGTTGGAAGTGAGAAACATTTCCTACATGTATCAAATTACTTGGACAAATTTAATATGTATTTAAAAGAGCTTGTAACTTTATTTTTGGAGTTTATAAAAATAGCTTAGCGACTTTTATAAAGTCTTTCTAATGTCTAATTTATCTCAACAAGTTTTATTGTCATGTTTATAACATGAAGTCTCATGTAAAACTTATTTGTTAATTAAACAGTTTATCCAAATAAACCCTTAATTTACCCATGACAGCTTGAAAAACTAAAATTACACACAATTTAAACTAAAAATACAATTAAATCTAAATATTTCTCAACTAAGACGTTTTAGACATCCGTTAACAATTCCTTGATTATCATAATATCCTTACATATCTCAAGTCCAACTTTCATAGTATTGAGTTCAAGCCTAATCCTTAGGTCAAATAAGGAAATTAATTTACTTAAATATACGAAGACCGATTTAAAAGGTATCGTAAAAATGATTTAAGAAATTTGTTAATATAATTATTGATTGAATAATGTCTAGACATAATGTAGTCTAAAAGAAAAATATCTCTACCCAAGGATAAGAACACTTTATCCTACTCTCCATATCGCCCAATGCTCACTCATACACTACACAACAGAAACGCAAATAGTCAATTTTAGTGGAACAAGTTCCTAGAAATAGGCTATGAATTTACCCGACCGTCTCCCCCAAGACGTTCCACTATGATCCCACGACACTATCATTCATGACATGAAAATGACAAGTTGTAAAGGTGAAGAAGAAGTTACTCCAAACAAAGGCGATTCATTTCGTGGAAGGCTCATTTATTGATTGCAAATTGCCAATTCGAAAAGCAAGCCCCACCAGCCCAGGCCCATCCATAAACATTATTACCCATTATGAATAAAAAAAGAAAATCGGGAAATGCAAGCGAAGCCATCTTATTCCCCACCGCACCAACCATGGCAAAACCATGAATTAATTATGATACCATGACAGTGAATCAAAAACTGTATATACAAAATAATAACCATTCCGATCCATATCCACGTATGTACTATTATACTATATCAAAAGAAAAAAAAATTAAAATTTGCGGGTAGGAAAAGGATAGAATGGGAAATGAAAGTGCGAAAGAAACCAAAAAGTGAGAGGCACCACCCACTGAGCCACCAAGCAAACCGCGCGTAAAGGCAGGCACATGCCCACTCACACCAAAACGGCGACGTCGCTGTCAACCGCCTTGGGGGAAACCGACTTGGCGTTCACGACAGCGTAGCGCGTGGAGAAATTGCGAATGGGGGAGTCGTCGTGGAAATCCCCATTCTGCCCATCGTCGAAATTGAGGGCGTAACTGGAGGGGTCATACTGGTACTTGGCCATGCCCATGCGCTTTGAGTTGCGGTTGCGATTGAACCTCCGAATGAAGGTCTTCCACCTGGGACCCGCCACGATCTCCGACCACTCGCGGAGCTTCATAAGCGCCCTCAGCCCACGCGACCACCATCGGTCGCCGTTCGGAGCTGGCTGAGAGTGGGACCAGGAAGTGGAGCGAACGCGCTCCCACCATGAGGAACGACGTCGTTGGCCGAAGCAGCAAGGTAAAAACAAGGCGCAAGGAGTTTGTTGGGCTTGGGCAGTTGGTGTGGAGATGGATTCAGATTCAAGCTCGATGGACATTTCAGGAACTGAGATGATTGATTGATTGTTGAGGGAAAGAAGGCAGAACACAAGGGGAGTCTTCAGGTATAAATAAATAAACGGGGTAATACATGTGGGTGGGCTGGGCTGGGCTGGGCTACCTTAATTAATTCCAAATGTAACCTTTATCAATTCACTTGTCTCTTCAGCTTCACTACTCAGTGTCCACTCAGCCCAGTTGCGCTGATATGAAAATATCATTTGTTTTTATTTTTGTTATTAATTATCTCTATCAGTTGTTTATGTAAGACCACTAATGTCAACAACGACGCAATGAGCACCCACAGAAAAAAGAACGGTACACGTCACACGCATGCACGGGTATCTCATTATCCAATACTAATTGAGTCGCAGGTCCCAATTGCGTTGCGCCCACTGCTTGGTCCCGCACACACACATAACCCTGATCATTTTGTTAACCCAAAAAAACTGCATTATTTTCCCTGTTAAATGATACTTTACCAAAATTTATAAACACTTGTCACCTAAAAGTCAGCACTTTTCCTTTAAGATCACAAGTTCAGCACCTCCTATTTCATTTGTCCTATGCAAGGTTCTAATCTCTCATTTCTTGACTTCAAAATTATGCTTAAGAATAAATAAGTCCTATTCAAAGTAAAACTAAAAAAAATAAAATAAATTCACTTAATAAAAAACAAACAGTGGTGACGTCACAACAAGGTCACACACTCATCACTGCTCGATTTCAAAGGAAGCAACGGGACTTTATTATTCCATTGTAGAGCAAGAAGGTGGCATTAATGTAGATGGGGAAAAAACTAACGATTTAGATTTATTCTACAGTTTAAATTAAATTATAAATAAATTGTTACCTGATCATCTCAATCTAGAAAAATAAAAACTTCAGAACAATTTCATTCAATATGAAAAATACTAACCACACTAATGCCTCAAAGTAGAACATTTTTCTCCCACAACAAAATTTGGCTAATCTAAATTTTTTTCATTTTCGGGGCTCACAGAATTGAATATTATGCAATGACGAATGAATACGTGGCGAACACACGAGACTGTGTTGACTCTATTGACTCTCTTTATTTCACTACTGCAAAATTTCAAATTATTCGGACCGAGAGTCTGTCAAGACATGGACAATAGACAGAACAAACTAAGATAATGACACAACTCACACAAGTCTAACACACGTCTGACACAACTCACACAAGTCTAACACACGTCCATTGTGTCTTGGACATCAATACGCCTCTCTCCTAACATATTTCGTATATATTAACAAAATAATAGTTTTATACTTACAACTACATACGAATTTTGTGATTTAAAAATTGCTAACAGTTTCAACACAAAACTTATCTTTCTCTTTTATATTTTAAATATCTTACACATCCATTTATTTTCTCGAACAACTATTACGTGACATCACATCATTATCATACTCATGAATCATATCCACTGAACGTGTTACGATCTGCTATTTCTTCTACACAGCTAGTTTCCACATTTTACCATCTTACCGGTCAACATAATTTCAAGAAGAAATGAAACCATATCAGTAATAACATTACCCATTATAACAATTTCGTCAATTAATTCTGATCTGAGAGCACCGGTTATCATATATTGATATTTAATAACTCACATCCTTCTTAAAGTCATAAGGATAACACACTCCGATTTCTCCCTCCAAACATCCAGGGGAATTTGAAAAAAAAATAAAATCACAGTGCTTATTTTGACTTTATCATATGAACATCTAAACTGAAAATTGGAATGCTTTAGTAAAACTTGAAAAGTAGCTTACGATTCTCCTGTAAGCCATAATTATTTTAATAAAATTCAGAGAGAAGCATATATAGATAAATTTTACTGAATAAAGTGATCGCGACATTTAATTAAGCTATTTATCCAAACACATCCTTACAAAGTTATCATCGAATGATAAAAGGGATAAGTAAAACCAATGGTTCTGCTCTACCTACAGCTAGACTTCAGCTACCAGAAGCCCAATTTACGAACGGTGAACCAAACATCAGCTTCTTCAGTCATGTTTACCAATTGAAAAGTAACATGATACTAGAATTTTTTAGTGAAAATTTTCGCCTACTACAAAAGGACAAGACCTGGTTAAAATATGACTAAATACTTAAATTAGTTCTCCAAACAACTCAAAAAATTTTGAAAAACAATTTGGTCCTTAATAATGTTAAAAAAGCATCAGTTTAAAGACCAAAAAACAGTGGATTCGCATTTTAAACATGAAGAGACGAAATTGGTCTCTAAAATCTTTAGAAGACCAACTTAATGACCCATCAATCTGTAGAGGACAATTTTAATTATTCAGTCTAAAAACAATTGGCCCAACAAAACATAGGACAATGGCTTTAGCTGACCAATTATTCGATTACTAAGTTACATAATAACTAGCACAACAAACAATTGAGAGTAGATAAACAACATCAGAAGTCCATAGCATGAAACCAATATATTAGCAGCAACAAAAACGTGAAAACGAAAAGAGGCTTCATAACTTCATTCAATTAACAAACAAGTAATCATCATACATTGCCATTCAACTGCATCACAACTGGTCTAGTACCAATTACAGTAATTAGATTGACTAAAAAGAAACTACAAACAACTAATTCACAGGTCATTAACAAGCATCTAAAGCACCACAAACAAACACAAGGCAACTGAAAGTTCAACTAACGGTTCAAAAATCTAAGGCAACCCCAAGGTCCCCGGCATGAATAGTCCAGAAAATGTCACCTGCAGCATCGGAGTTGCCAGCATCAATGGCAACAGCACCAAAGATTGCTCGAAACGCGCCGCAAACCACAGCAGGGGCAGAAGAATTGGTCTTAGGCGCAACTCGAACGACCTTGTGCAACCCTAACCGCATTCCATCGACGGCGCAGGAAGAGTCTACGTTGGTGATTTGGGATAATCGACGGTTGAGCTCTTTTGGAGAAACGTCAACGTCTTTGGAAAGCAATCGGAAAGACACCGAAGTTTCAATGACACTGGCACCCAATATGCTAAATGCTTTGTTATTTTCCTCCGAGAAGGAAGCGTGAGTCACAGCGCGGCGAAGAAGAGAAATGCTCTTGAAGGTGTACCTGACGAATGAGGACAAAAACAGCAACAAATAAAAAATAAAAAAAAAACTGAGGAGTAAAGAAAAGGAACAAGAAAAAGGAAAGAGCGTACCCGAGTTGCTTCTGGAGAGTTTCGAGAGCCGATGCAAAGGGTGAGAGTGATTTGAAGTGAAGTTTAGACGGTGTTGGTTGTGCCTGCATAACAGAAAAAGGGAAGATGCAAAATATCATGTGAGAGAATAAAAGAATCGGGTTAATGGAGCAGAGAGTAATAATTAACCTGTATGTGGGGCACGATCGCGACGAGCAAGACGGCGAAGACGGTGAAGACGGTGAAGCTGCGAATAGGAAAGGATCGCATTTTGGAATCAAGCTATGGAGATCGTTCCTTGCTGTATGTTCTTGTACTCACTCCGAGTGCCTTCTTTTGACTTGAGTGTTTACTTTGTTGCGAAGGAACTGCTTTTCCTCCCTAACTCGTTAAACGACTGCGTTTATCTAAATTAAATATTCAATTTTTTTTTTTTTGTATTAAACAGAACTGAAAGGTAAAAAAAAATTAACTAATCATCTAGAGAAGCTGACACCGAAACTAGGGGAGTGGGGTAAATATTCAATTTCATCTCATGTTCTGTTTATCTTTACTTCTCAGAGTTTTATTTTGCATAATTTATTTTTAAATTTATTAAATTATTCACATTTTTATCTTCTCTTTATAAAAAAGTAAACAAAATAAAAGATATATATATATATATATATATAATGAAAAGTGATATATTCAAAAATTTAATTATACATGATTCATTTTGAGATTATTGTTTCTTATTGACCAACATGTGAAAAATTAATGCCTTTAATGACTGGATTATACAACACGGAACTTTAAAATAAATAAATAAAATATCACTTTTAAAACCAAATTATATATTATTTAATTTTATATTCTTTTCATTGCAAAAAAAAATCTTTTATTAGAAATAAACTTTTTTTGAGATAATCATATATAAGTTTAAAAATATATAACATAATAAAACTAACTCTCTTAACAAATATCATCTATATGAAAAAATCGATCTTAAAAATTTGTTTAAGGGAAATTAAACATATAATGCTTTTTTTAACAGAAAAATATATATTACCTCACCTGATCACGTGCCCCGTTCTATGTATTTTTTTTAGAATAATGTTACTTTTACACATTTGTACATGTTACTCTATATCTGCATACTTTTTAAAATCATACCATAATTTATTTCACATTTTTGTGCATTTAAAAACCTAATATTGTCATTATATTACAATACAATATTAAGTGTGTCTTAAAACGGTTCAATAAATAATTATTTTAAGAGTACCATTTCTTATAGTATTTATTTAAGTTGCTTCAATTTACATTTTGTGAGTCACATCAAGACATTATATAACTTCAATAATTTTCTTCTCTAGTAACATGACCTTAAAAGTTTATTAAATGAATTTTACAAGCTATCCTACATCTGTAATTCTTATTTTTTAGCTAATTTTTATTTTTAAATAATAAAAACAAAAATACATATAATATTATTATAAATGCAATAAATATAGTTCTATTAATATTTTATAAAACAATTTGTCTGAGACATAATTTATTCTTCATTTTTATTCTTGTTCTCCCTCATTTTTGGATTCCTAATTCAAGGTAATAATATATTTTTTAATTTGCTGCTGTTTGGGTGTACAATGCCTGCCAATGTTCTGTGGTTTGGAACGTTACTTGTAAAAAGAATAATTGTAACCACTTGTACAATTCTAGTTATGAGATATGAGGATTGGGTGCTTATTTAAAAGAAGTGCTCTTCTAAACGTTTGGAGTGAGGAATAAACGCTTAAAGAATGCTAGAAGAATATCCCAGAAAAATGAGAATGCAGAGGATCAATTGACTTAGAAGCTTGCAAGTGGACCTTACTCCTAAAATATTTCTGGCCCTTAGAATAGAGGAAGGTGCAACTCGTTCAAGGTGTGTTTCTAAGGGAATATCTTTTAGTCCGTGAAATCACATATCCCAATGAAGAGTAGTAGACTTCGTAGCAAAAAACCCATTTCTCTTTTATATATCTCTTAAAAAGCCCATTATCCCAGGATTTATCACCCACACGTCATTCGAGAAGCTCAAAACCCAAATAGCTTACGACTTTAAGAAGGATGAAGGGTCTGAGCATCTGGAGTAGGAATTTGTGTTTTGTTATTTTATAAGGACTAAGAAGGATGTTGTGTTTGTTTATTAGGACTAGGAAGTATGTTCTGTTATTTTATTAGGACGAGGAAGGGGTCTAATAAGAGAATCTAACAGAGGCTCAGACAAATTCATCTTCCACTGATTGACAACTTTATCCACAAAAAAGTTAACCAAATCCCGTTAAGCATGCTCTTACGTAAAAGACATTTATGGTTAATTTTTAAAATGGAATTTCTAAATATTTTATCATAATATGTTATTTATAAAATAAATATAAGTATATAACAGATAATATATGCTGACTTTTTTAATAGCTTATTATACAACTATTTTCTTTCTTTCTAACCAAATAATTAAAGATATTAAACAATTTAACTTAAAATCTTTAATTTTTCACCTCTTCCACAATCTCATTTTAGTTTACAAGTTTGGTAGGTAACGTCTCGAATGTAGCAGCCGCCACAGTTAACCGTGTCAGCCTACAAGAAGACTGCAAATCTGCAATTGGGCAATTCACGAACTACAAGAATTTCATATTAATTACAGGCATCCAATAAAAGAGTGGTTTATGAAAACACGGACGAAATCACTTACAATTCTTGATCTCATGGAAATTCCTCAAAGAAGCAGATATATGTCCCTCAGACCAATTTAATGAAAATTGAGCAAGTGATGATGGCAGATGAGACTGAATTGATGAGCAAGATACGGGCATGGTATATTTTGGTCATGATATAATTTCATTAACAAGATGTTTCTATTTATGGTAGAAATTAAAACTAAAAAGTCATTTTTTTACCTTACGTGAAACTAGGGCTACATACTTATATAGGTGGGTAACTAAGACTCGTAACTGCAGTGGATCATAACTAACAAAGTTGGATTAGATTTGCAGCATCTATTCAGACGGCTAGTTAGTAGTTACCCCACTTTGTGGAACAGGCAAAACCTGTGTAGAATTCTCTTGTTCTGGGGTGCTTGGCTTCAGTATAGATTGGTGGAAGTGAAAGTAGATTAGAGGGAATGCCAGGCCCTGGTCCTCACCTGATGTATGGCATGGGTTCAGGCTTGGCTCTGAGCAGTATCACCAACGGAAGGTTCAGTCCCCACCACACGCTCACCTACACAGTCAACGCCTTCTTTGGACCAGATATTGGTTCTTTCTCAGAGTGGCTTGGTTCGGTCCTTGGTGGCCCAGCTGATACTTTAGGATCTGCTGTTGCCGATCTCATTCATCATCCCTTCTATTACATCCTTATTTTGGGACTTCCTTTGTGTTTTCTCTACTCTCGGATATCCTCCTATCTTGTTCAAGCACACCTCCTTGATTCTGTCTCCAGGGTCAGTCTTTATTCTTGCTCAAAGTTCATTTAATTTAGGTTTAACCTTATCCATGATATCATTAGCTTCATATTGCAGGTGCCACTTTCAAGGATGCAATGCTTTTTCTTGATTTCAGCTGGCTCTTTCACCCACTTCTTTCTAGATCATCTGTTTGAGGTAATATGTGAACACCTTTCAAGGAAATGTGTTACCAGCCATTTCCTGTTTGCTTCTACAAATTTGTAGCTTTATCTTGATTAATGCTAAATGAAGGAAAATAAATTAGTGAAATCAACCCAATTGCTTTAGCGGTCTTTATGCAGACTGCTCACTTAGGAATGCTGGTAACACATTATTTTGAGCACACCTCATATAATTCATCAGTTTTTTAAAAAACAAAGTAATTTTCAAATGTAATTAATCTACGAGGTAAGTAGTTTGACATTTTTAAAAACTGATCAATTACGAGGAGTGTGTTGAAGAGCATGTAGCATTTCTCGTTGTGCGTAAGTATTATGCATCTTATGAATCCTACACATCCTAATACAAAAGCATATTTTGGTTGTCCTATGTGAAAAGGAATTATTGTCTCGAGCATTTTGTCTTTCCTTCATTATATAAATTGGTGAAGCATGATAGTTTGCTTGCTTTTGGCCTGATTGGTTGCTATCATGAGAACCATCCATTTACTTTTGATTCATGTGTTCCTATTTTTGTGTTTTTAGATTGCATCAGTCATTCTTTGGGATGAGATGGGTTGATGGAATTGAATTGCATATATATGTATGCTTAAGGTGCACCAAAAGCATTTCAGATGTGAATCATGTCCCGAATTATATCAAGTAACAAATCGTACTATAACAAGTTGTCCCTGCAACCTTGATGGTGAACCAACTTTTACATTAGGTCAACAAGTGGATGTTCGATTGATTGCAGTTGTATTTTACTCTTAAATGTTAGGTGTTACATGTATTCTCGCCAAGCTTTATCTTCCTAATAATCCTTTTATTACTTTATAAAGAAGGTATTACATAAAAAGTGCATGTATTTATTATTTTGAAAACATAAAAATACATTGAATACTTTCTTTATTTAGTAATTTGGAGGATTTTTAGGAATAAAGGGTAAGGGAATTTAGAATTATCCGTTCTCGCCTTAAAAACTTTAAATTGGCTTCCTTAAAGTTGTTTTCTGTTCAATAGATTCAGTAATATTCTATTATTCATATTCAGGTCAACTTTTAGTCAAGTCATTAACATTCGATCAATCCAATTAAATGACGAATAGATGTTTGGGGTTTCAATCCTTTTCGTATTAAATTTTTTGTAAGGGCATATTACTGTCCAAAAGTAGAATTTTGGTTGCAAAAAGGGTATTAATCTTATTGACAATCTTTATGTGTGATAACATTAATATGTGAGTGAAAATGATGATCAAATCTAAGCAGTCAGGGCTTTGAGAATATTTAAGCATTCTCGTAAGTCAAATAATTCAAGTGAACTAGCAAGGCTTGACATATATATGAAAAGAAAAAAAAAAAAACACTTTATTACAAGAGACTGAACTTACTGTGATGATCTCTCTGTTTTGAAAGATTAGTCTTAACTATTAGTTAGAAGGGTATTTGAAAAAAGCTTTATCAAAAGAGATTGAACTTGCTTTGATGATCTCTTTGCCTTGAAAGATTAGTCTCTAGCTATTAGTTGGAAGATACCCTTGGTGCATTAACAAATATCAACTGAAAAGATGGAAACGCGAGGAATATGTTGAAATCTCTTTTGAATTATATGGATGGCTTATTTGTCTTGAAAATTTACTCCTATACAACTGACTTATCGACACCTATTATCTTGAATATCTGCAAAATCATATAGGAGAATGGAAAAACTACCACGTACACTTGGATTTTGAGCACTGGTTGGTGGCAAAGTAGAGCACCAGTTAACCCAGATTCTGTTGTTGTAGTGGGCTTCTTATGTGCTTGCTTAATTGGCGGCTTTTTTTACCTCAACAGGTGTTTGTTTTTGCAAATTTTCCTGTTAACTATCAAGCTATATTATAGACAGCATGGTTTTGACATATTTTCTCTCCTTATGTTCCATACAGAGCAAGTGCCTCGAACTCCATAAAGAAAAAGTCATATCAGTCAATGCTGCTAATGGTGTCCATAGCTTCCTTGTACTGCTTTTGGTGTGCAATCCAGATATACTGGATTAATCCACGTCGTCCAGCAGTTGGTGAAGAGGCTGACCTTGGTGTTCTCGTGTTTTTGGCTATATATTTCTTTCTACCTTACGGTTTGTGTATAATGTCCATGTACCCAAAAGATCTTGATACAAATCAAATTCCATTTTAACAGTGTTTACTCTGCCAAAGATGTGTTCTGCTTTTGCCGATGCAATTTAGTTGCAAGTGTAGCTAGAATCTTGCCACTAGCAACTTATATCATCACTCACCAACCATATGTGAAGTTAAGCATCCATTTGATGTTGGAACTGGATTCCTTTTTTTGTTTGGTCTAGACCACACATATACATCATGAAGACAATTTATTTGAGATGAGAATGCCTATAGCATGGTAGGACTAGCTCTTCTAGAGATTTTTTTTTTTTTTTCCACACACAAAGTGTCCATTGATTTGGAACGGGATTCTTTTGACCTTTCGGGTTATTACAAGTTCTCATTTAAATATACAACGTTGTCTATATATTGTTGCAAAGTGATTGAACGTTGAAGTTTGATATTTGATTCTTGTCATAATGGACCCTGCAGTTGTTCGAATCAAGCTTCTTGTAAGTGTTGATAACATTACATATGTCTGAATAATTCTGAATTCTAGCAATATACTTGACTAACAATCTTTTGGGGTCTACCTTAACCAATATAATTTTTTTTTATAATGGGTGAATTTTGGTTGTTCTGGCTGTAGATTCACTCCCATGGACCTTATTTTCCTATCCTTGATTCTTACGTGAATTTTCCAGCATCCTTTTAGCATAATACTTGCTGCACATAGGCAGACTCGCGTCTCTTCCCACTAGAGTTACTGGTGAGCAGAAGTTTTGGTGGGAGTTGAAATGGTGGAAAAACTGCAGATGCAGATCTAAGTTAAAGTATGTGCAAGTGTATGTGAGTAGCATGGTTCACCCTTTATATGTTTAGTGATTGGAATGAGAGTAATAACTAAGAAATCTTTATTAGGATATCAAATTCTCATTGTTGCTATAAACATACAAAAGTCTTGCATGTACAGACTTTAACTGATAAATATGAGGGAACTGATACAGTATAAAGGGTAACAACAATTCCTTAATCCTATTGAGTTCTTTATCAATATCTTTATGGATCAATAACCTTGTCCACAAAAGAAGGAAGACAAAATGAAGCAGCATGGGTCGAAGAGCCTTTGCTACTGATACTAAGAAGCAGTTATCTGCAAGAACTTCTGCATTAAGTCCTGCATGACAACGAATTTACTTATGTATCTGAACAACCTTTTCTGTCTCCCTTTAAGGCAAAAACATGCACGTTCTTTTCTCGTTGATATTTGACAGAAAGAAATATTATTTACCCATTTGTTGGAAAGCATACAATATAATGGCATCGTAAGTGCCCTCGGATAGAATTTATGAATGGAATTCCTGTATGTGTTTGTAAAAAATTATGGTATACACAAACTCCTGATTCCTTTATATATCATGTTTGTTTTGTAAGTTAAAAACAAGTAGTTTAACTTTTTACCATCGCCGATGTGAACATGCACAGGGGGATCCTCGTAACCAACAGCTGTATCTGGAAAAAACTTATAAACCTGTATCCTCAAACACATTAAGAAACTCTCGTCGTTCTAAGAATATATTCTTGTAAGCAATGCACATGCATGCAGAAAAATTGAGAGAGGTTCTTTTTATTTGTTATACATTTCTGTCAAAGAGGAACTAAGGAACGTTAAAGACTCACATCAATCACCAATTTGTCTATTTTTCACATATATCAATATGCTCAACCGAAGAATGACGTGATATTTCCCTAAGAATTCCACAATCTCCTCCTCCAATCAGCACCAGCACCTGTAATGTTCATCAACCCCTTTTAAACAAATTTGGTAGGGTCTTTCTTTGTTAAATAAACTTAAATGTCAGTTGAATTATTTTAATTCAGCAGTTTTTTTAAAATAAAAGGTTAAGAGTTAGCAATTATTTTTTGATAAATGGTTATAATGAGTTTTAATTGTGGTTTATGGCTATTAATAGAATTCAAGTTTTTCATCTTATAAATAGATCATTGTATTGTTTGATAAAAAAGTGCGAAATATAGAAACAGTTTTTCTCCTCTATCGATTTTCAATTCTACAATTTGGTATCAAAAGCCTATGGTGAGTGTGACCAATAATGTGTCATTGCCTCAACTAACGAAGGCGAACTACGAGAATTGGAGCATCCAAATGAAAGAAGCTCTTCTTGGGTCTCAAGATGGTTGGGAGGTGGTCGAAAAAAGTTTCAAAGAACTGGAAACTACTACGAGATATTCGGCGGCTCAACACAAGGTGTTGAAAGAGACGTGATCAAAAGATAAAGCAGCTTTGTACATGTTGTTTCGAGCTGTTGACGAGTTGGGCTTTGAGAGGATTGCGAATACGACAACTTTAACGGAAGCATGGGACATTTTGACGAATGTGTACAAAGGAGATGACCGGGTTAAACAAGTCTACCTTCAAACTCTTTGTGGCGAGTTGGAAAGCATGAAGATGAAGGAGTCGGAAGGAGTCTCCGACTACATCATTCGTGTTCAAATCATGGTGAACCAACTCAACTGAAATAAAGAAGCTTTAAATGATATACGAGTTGTGGAGAAGATTTTGATGTTGTTAACCGACAGTTTCGAAAATGTCGTATGTGCTATAGAAGAGTCAAAGGACCTAACAACACTCACGATCGACGAGCTCGCCAGTTCTTTCGAGACACACGAACAATGTAAGAAGAAGAAGGAGGAGGAGATACTTGAGCAAGCACTTCAAACCAAGGTGTCAATCAAAGATGAAAAGGCACTCTATTCTCAAAACATTTGAGGTAGAGGGCGTGGTCGTGAAAGTCGAGGAAATGGTCGTGATGGTAGAGGTCGCGGTTAAGAAGGATATTATGAAGAGAAAAAATATTCAAACCAGCAAAATTGGCGTGAAAGAGGATGTGGTCGTTAGAGAGGCAATTGAATTATTCCAACATAGAGTGCTACAAGTGTGGCAAATATGGTCACTATGCGAAGGATTGCAACTTCGATAAGTGTTACAATTGTGGCAAGGTGGGACATTTTGCGAAAGAATGTTGAGTTGAGAAAAAGGTGGAAGAGACAACCAATTTAGTTATGGAAGATGAGAAAGCAAAAGGAGTTTTTCTCTTGATGGCACACAATGAAGTCAACACCAACAACAACACGGTGTGGTACCTTGACACAGGTGCAAGCAATCATATGTGTGGGCACAAACACCTATTCAAAAAGATGCAAAAGGTTGAAACTGGACATGTGTCGTTTGGAGATGCGTCAAAGGTTGAAGTTAAAGGCCAAGGTACGGTTTGTTATTTACAAAAAGATGGCTTAGTTGGGTTAATCCAAGATGTATATTACATACCAGATCTCAAGAGCAACATTTTGAGTATGGGGCAACTCATAGAGAAAGGTTATTCGGTATTACACTTGAAAGATAAACATGGGCATTTGGTTGCTCGAGTTGAATTGGGGAGAAATCGCATGTATAAGCTGAATTTGATAAGCGTTTGAGAAAAATGTTTGCGAATCAATGAAGAAGATAAGGCATTGCTGAGACATCTCTGTTTTGATCACCTACATCATGGTGATCTAAACAAGTTGGCAAAGAAGAACAGTGCATGGGCTATCGAACATGGACTACGAGAACAAATTTTATGAAGAATGTGTGCTCAGCAAGCATGTGAGAACTTCGTTTCAAAAAAAGGCAGAATGTCGTGCTAAGGAACCTCTCGAATTGATTCATACTGACATATGTAAACCAATCACCCTCGAATCTTTTAACGGTAAGAGGTATTTCATTTCCTTTACACGAGAAACTTGGGTTTTTTTTTTAAAGAAAAATTTGAGGCATTCGAGGTGTTCAAAAAGTTCAAAGTGGTGGTGGAAAAGGCAATCGGTAGACACATCAAATCGAGGTGGCGAGTATACTTCGATAGCTTTCATGGAGTATTGTGAGGTGCAAGGCATAAGGCAATTTCTAACCGCACCATACTCTTCTCAACAAAACGGTGTGGCCGAGAGGAAGAACCGAACTGTTCTTGATATGGTTCGGTCAATGGTCAAGAGCAAGAAGATGCCAAAGGAATTTTGGGCAGAAGTCGTGCAATGCGCTATCTATGTGCAAAATCGATGTCCACATGTGAAGCTGGATGATCAAACACCACAAGAGGCATAGAGCAGACAAAAATCAATAGTTTCTCATCTCAAAGTATTTGGTAGTGTGGCCTATGCACACGTGCCGAATCAGCAAAGAACGAAGCTCGAAAACAAACGCAAAAGGTATATTTTTATTGGGTATGACAACAAAACAAAATGATACAAGCTACTAGACCTAATAAGTAAGGAGGTTGTGGTGAGTTGTGATGTACAAGTTAATGAAGCAAGCGAATGGAATTGGAGTAACTCAACGAAGGTTATCAATGAAGATAGAGAATCATCAACTGCTATATCAATTGGAGTAACCCAGAATGCAAAGTTTGCAAGATTTGTATGATTCGACATATGAGGTACACATTGTATGTCTTCTGACGGATTCCAAGAACATAAGTTTTGAAGAAGCGGTGAGAGACAAGAAGTGGCAAACTGCCATGGACGAGGAGATTAGAGCAATTGACCGCAACAACACATGGGATTTAGCAGAGTTACTGAAAGGAAGTCAGCCCATTGGTGTGAAGTGGGTGTTCAAGAGAAACATGAATGCTCAAGGCGAGATAGAATGGTACAAGGCGTGACTTGTTGCAAAAGGATACAAGCAAAAGGAAGGAATTGACTATGATGAGGTATTTGCTCCCATTACAAGAATGGAGACAATCGGATTGCTCATTTTATAAGTGGCTCAATTCAATTGGCTGATATTTCAAATGGATGTCAAGTCAGCATTCTTGAATGGAGTGCTTGAAGAAGAAATTTACATCAAACAACCACCCGGGTACATGAAAAGTGGAGAATAGATGAAGGTGCTGAAATTGAAGAAGGCATTTTACGAGTTGAAGCAAGCATCGCGGGCACAGAATTCTTGCATTGATACATACTTTAAGGAGAACAGGTTTGAACAATGTCCATATGAACATGCCTTTTATGTGAAGAAGAGTAGAGGTAATATGTTATTTGTTGCTCTTTATGTTGATGACCTCATTTTTATGGAGAACAATGGTGAAATGATACAAGAGTTTAAGAGTACAATGACACGAGAATTCGAGATGACAGATTTTGACTTAATGAAGTTTTTCCTTGGTCTGGAGGTAAGACAAGAAGAGACGGGTATTTTTGTGTCACAGGAGACATATGCAAAGGAGATTTTGAAAAAAAATATAAGATGACACATTGCAATCATGTATCAACACCAATGGAACTGGGTGCAAAACTCTCAAAATTCGATGGAGGAGAACGAGTCGACTCGAGCAAATATCAAAGTTTAGTGGGAAGCCTTCACTATCTCACATGCACCAGGTTGGACCTTTCGTTAAGTGTTGGCATTGTAAGTAAGTTCATGGAGGAGGCGGTTTATTCACATTGGAAGGCGTTGAAGCGAATTCAAAGGTATATCCAAGGAACAATATCACTCAGGTTATTCTATTCGAAAGTGGAAGATTATAAGTTAATTGGGTACTCCAACAGCGACTAGTGCGGAGACTTAGATGATCAGAAAAGTACATCAAGATATGTGTTCTTTATGAATAACACGACTTTTACATGACTTTCAAAGAAGCACCAATCGTGACGCTCTTGACATGTGAAGCTGAATATGTAGCAACATCTGGGTGTATATGTCATGCAATATGGCTTAGAAATCTGTTGGACAAATTGGAGCAACAACAAATCAGTGCGACTGTGATACGAGTTGACAATAAATCATAAATTGAATTGGCAAAGAACCCAGTGAATCATGAGAGAAGCAAACACATTGACATTTGCTTTCATTTCATCCGAGATTATGTGAAGGAAGGAAATGTGGAATTAGTGCACGTGACAAGTCGAGATCAAGTTGTAAATATTTTCACAAAACACTACCGACGATACTTTTTGATAACTACAAGAAATTGATCAGCACAAAGAATGGCAAAAGCATTTGAGTTTACAGGAGAGTTTTGTTGAATAAAATTAAATATCAATTTTAATGATTTTAATTCAACAATTTTTTTTAAAATAAAAAATAAAAGGTCAAGAGGTAGCAATTATATTTTAATAAATGACTATAATAAGTTTTGATTGTAGTTTATGGCTATTAATAAAATTTAAATCTTTTATCCTATAAATAGATCATTGTATTGTTTGACAAAAAAGTGAGAAATATAAAAACAATTTTTCTCCTCTTTCAGTTTTCAATTTTACATTCTTTATGTGTTATTTCAGAAATGTTTCTTTTCCCATTAGGTAGGCTCTTAGTTCATGGGTGTGAGGAATAGAATGTAAAACTGAAAACCTTCTTTGGATTTGGAATGGAACAGAGTGCAAGATGTGTGAGCATCTCTTGATAGGCAAATTCATCATTCTCTGTCAGCTGGACATACGCATCCAGAGTTGCAATCTTGCCATGTCTAGATGACTGCACAAAGCACACCACGCAATGATGCGATCAAAATTTTATTGGGACATAAACTATTTTTGGATGATAATGTTGGGTTTCTGTGCAGAAAATTTTATATGTGTCTCTCCCTTGACATGACAGTGTTTCGAGCTCCTGAAGAAGAGATAAATAATAAAAATCTCTCATCCGAATCCAAGATTTGGCGGCATTAGTGTTGAAGACTTATTGTACTATTTGCAAATGTTTTATATACTAATAAAAGACCACCAACAATAATTGAGCTCACATATTTTTAACTTACACGTGAAATGTGCGAGTAAAAGAAACAAGAGTTAAGAAGATTATGAGAATTTAAGTAGCGAAGGAGGAAAAACAGAGAATAGAAATTATGTGCAAAATGACATGTTGAAAGAAAACCAATTACAGAAAGAAGGCTGGAATGGAGCTGATTTAACTGATTTGCAAGAAAGAAGATCAAAACAGAACTAATATGTAAAAAGAAGTGGAATGAAAACAACAACCAACAAAAAGGTGCTTGGAACTAAATATTCAAAATGAAGAAAAGAAAAAAACTATACTACAGTGAATACCATGAGTTGGATATGCATGCTCAAATTATGAGGACTTAAGTATGAGGGAATATTTTTCTATTTTTATTATTTTTTTAATATGCATTAATGTGATCTAATATGACATGTATGGTTAGATATAAGAAATTGTACCGATATAATTTCGAAGACTATACAAACTAAATGAGGGAATAAAGAACTAAAAGAAGTTACAATTAAATTAAATAATAATAAAAATATAATAAACGATTCAAATAATAATAGAAGTATGGAAATATGATAACCAAGAGCAAGTACCACAAATACAAGCTCTTGGATTTCTGATTTCCCTTGGAATATGATCTTTTCCATTTTATATACGTGTGCTTCTTCTATACAATTTCGGTATAATAATAATAATAAAAATATTTTTTATTATTATTATTATTATTATTATTATAGTGATGTAAATTTTTTATATCATTCTTTCTTTCTACAATAAAATGAGAATGAGTAATTTTCACTCTAAACTTAGATAAAATAACTGTTTTTAGTGATTAAAAATAAAATAAGAGTTTGTTAATCTTAGTCTTAACTTTTAGCATTTATAAATAATTTTTTTTATAAAAAATATATAATTATTGTATTAAAGTTATAAAAATATAATAAATACTTCTTTTTTTCATAAAATTTTATTATTATTAACTGCTTATCTTTATATCTAAAAGTTGAGGTTAACAAAACTCAAAAAATAAAGCATTTTTCATGATGACCGTTAAAGATTATATTAGTATTCAGATATTAAAAAAAATAATTTTACAGTAACAACCATCTCACTAGAGATATTTATGATTCTGTTTGAATTGATTTAAAAAATTCAAATTAATTATAAATAAAACTTGTAATTTAATTTAAATTAGTTTAAAAATAATATTAAAATCAACCTAATCTCATTATTTGTGTTTATTAGTTTAAAAAATATACATGAATCGCTTAAACCAAATATCCGTTGCAAAGTGATTGAAGGTAGAAGTTCCATACTTGATTCTTGTCATAATGGACCTTCAGCTGTTCGAATAAAGCTTCTTGTAAGTGTTAACAGCATCAAATTTATCTGAATATTCTGACAATCTATTTAACCTTGACTAACAATATTTCGGGGTTTACGTTACCCAGCACAAACAAAATTTATAATGGGTGCATCTTGGTTGTTTTGGCTGTAGATTCACTCTCTTTACATTATTTTCTTAACCTTGATTCTTACGTGAGTTTATAGCATCCCTTTAGAATAAAACTTGCAATACATTGGCAGACTCACATTTCTCCCCTTTAGAGTGACAAGAGGGCAAAAGTTTTGGATTTCGAAATGGTGGAAAAACTATGTAGATGCAAAACTAAGATGAAGTACGTGCAAATGCATGAGTAGCATTATTCACCCTTTATATGTATAATGATTGGAAACTAAAGTAATAATTAAGAAATCATTTAGTAGGTTATCAACTTCTCATTGTTATTAATTATAAACTTAAAATAGTTTTGAATGTGCAGGTTTTCACCCACAAATATAAAGAACTAACATAGTACAAAATGTGACAAACATTTCCATAATTCTATTGAGTTTGTCAATATCTTTATGGATCAATAACCTTGCCCACAAAAGAAGGTAGGCAAAATGCTGCAGCATGGATCTGTATTAACAAAAATAAAAGGTAAGAGAGGAACAAATCATTTAGTTGAGAGGAGAATAAAACAAGTAGGTTAGTCCTTGAAGCGTGAATTGAACTACCGTTTCAACATATTACCTCTTGGTTATAAAACTTTGGAGGTCCCTTTGCAACCCCATTTTGCTTTGGATTCAATGGATTTGTTGAGTGTTTGAAGTTGACTGGAGGGCCCTCCGTGGAGCAAAGCATGAATCCAATCACTCCACTGGTAAACCGAAACAAAGAAACATTTTTTACCCATAACTTCTCTTAATACCCCAATGACAAGGGAGGGCTAGAATTCAGAATGCAAATAAGTTAAATACGGAATACCTTGCATATGTAGGCACTGTTGTCCAAGCATAGTTAACTGAGCCTTTGAATATCTTCTTGCAATTTGCTATGGTTTCTGCAATGACAAAGTTCTTATGCCACAAGCTGTCTGCTGGAGCAGACAACACTCCACCGGGTCGAAGAGCCTTTGCTACTGATTCTAAGAAGCAGTTATCCGCAAGCACATCTGCTATAGGTCCTGCATGATGTTCAATTTCCTCATGTCTTTCTACGCCCCTTTTTTATTTCTTTTTAAGGCAAAAATGTGCATGCTCGTTTCTCACTATAGATACAATTTTAAGAAAGCCTTTTTACCCATTGGTTGGAAAGCATCCAATATAATTGCATCGTAAGTGCCCTCAGCAACAGTTTTGATGAACGCAATTCCTGCACATGTTTGTAAAAAAATTTGGTATATACAACCTTGTGATTCACATATTTATTTTGTATGTAAAAAACATATGATTTAACTTTTACCATCCCTGATATGAACGTGCACTCGGGGATCCTCGTAACCAATTGCTATATCTGGAAAAAACTTCTTATAAACCTGTGTACCCTCAGACAATTAAGAAACTCGTATGGTTCTAACTTCTAAGTATATTCTTAGAAGAAAGAAGAAAAATTGAGAAGGATCCTTCTTATTTGGAACTAAGCAATCTTAAAGACTCACATCAATCACCATTATGTCTATTTCACATATATCAATATGCTCAACAGAAGAATGACGTGATATTTCCCTAAGAATTCCACCATCTCCCCCTCCAACCAGCAGCACCTGTAATGTTCATCAACCACTTATAAACAAATTTGGCACTTTAGTCTTTCTTTGTGTTATTTCAGAAATGTTTCTGTTTCCATGAGGTAGGCTCTTAGTTCATGGCTGTGAAGAATAGAATGTAAAACTGAGAACCTTCTTTGGATTTGGAATCGAACAGAGTGCAAGATGTGTGAGCATCTCTTGGTAGGCAAATTCATCATTCTCTGTCAGCTGGATATACCCATCCAGAATTGCAACCTTGCCATGTCCAAATGACTGCACAAAGCACACACCACACAAGGATGTCATCAAAATTCTATCGGTTTTTGTTATTAGGTATCCAAAATTAAAAAATATATATACTAAAAAAAATACTTTCATTATATTAAAATTCTATCGGTTTTTGTTTGATAATGTTGGGTTTCTGTACTGAAAGTTTTATGTGTGTCTCTCTTAAATGACAGGGTTTCGAGTTTTTGAAAAAATAAATAATAAAAGGAAAATGTCAAGTGATAATTTTATACATATAATAAAAATGATAAATTTTATTGAAAATATAATTATTTATCTCATAAAAATATTAAATTATAATACATTATTTTTTAAAATAAAAATTTCCTATTCTATATACTTATAATCAGTATTAAGTCCAAGGTCAGCCAACATCAATGTAAAAGACTTGATAAATTTCGTCTGTTTTGCAATTGAATTCTTGTATTTTTTTTTAAATGAACAACACATGTTGCAATAAAAAGACGTGATTTAGATTCATTTACACATATATCTCATTTCTATCTAATCAAATGCACTAATGACATTACTTACAATTGTCTTATTTATTAATAAAAGCTACCGCTAATAATTGAGCTCAACAAACGTAACACGCGTATTTTATGGATTTTTGCAACTAAATAAAGAAATAGGGAATATCAAATAATAAAGGAAATATGATAATTTAACAATAAAAATAATCTTGAAAATATGTAAATATGCTAACATTTCCCTCCCAAACGTAAATTGGAGTAGAGCGAATGAGCTTGAGTTAATTTGAAAAATTAAAGTTGTGTTTAGAGCAGATATGGTGAAGGAGAAAAGAAGAGTGTTGTTGGATGGCCAAACAAAAATGAAGTGTGGGTCCTTAAAAAAAAATAGTAATGTTATAACAAGTTTTATGTTGATAAGGATACGGTTGAGAGGTACTACAAGACAGTGCTAAGAAGGTTACACCAGCTAGAAGAGTGCAATAATGTAGCTGACTTCATTTTATGGGAACCTAAACTGAATGTCAAAGTCATTACCATAAGTGATGATATGTTTCTGTTCGGATCGAAGGGTACGGAAGATTTGGAGAAAGTTATAGCTAGGTATTAAGATGGCTTGTCTAAGTTATTTTATACCATTAATTAATGACATCCTCGTATGATAGCTATAAATAGGAGACGGTGGGTTTGTTTGTATGGCGTGCTATATTATGCTTAGTCAGAGGCATTCTTTCGGATGATGGTGTCACCATTGGGATATTATATGTACATGGACGATGATATGACTTTCGAAGATGTATGGATTTTGCAAGAGTTCACCTACGAACTCAAACACATGTGCTGATTAATAAAGATCTAAGGATTTATGTTAATGATCTCGTGTTCTCAATCCGAATGATCAAGAAACATGGGGGATAATTTTTTTAAGGAAAGTTATGATGATGTTGTATTGAATGTGGATGCTTTGGAGGATGAAAGTTTAGATGATAGTGAGAAGGGTCGTGATCTAACAACAGGAAGTACAACAAAAAATAGTGACCACAGATGGTGTGGAAGCAAGGAGGAGGAGGGAAACAGGGGTGGATAATCGGGACAAAATTTACATAATTTTGTGCTAAACATTGCACAATATCAGAAGTTGGAGAGTACATAATCAAATTAAAAGGAGAACATAGCAGATGCACGGATGAAAGAGAATTCAAATTATGAGGTGAATATCAATAATGACTTGATTTGCATTCATAATGTTGATGTTGTGTGATTGGGTGAGAATGCGTCTGGAAAAAAAAAGGAGGCTAACTGATCTGGGCTTTTATTGGTCAAAACACTAGTACAAAAAACACTTTTTAGAACAAGATTTTACATCAGTTTTTTGTGAAACGAGGTAGAAAAAAATGCGATGACATTTTTAAAATTTTTGCAAACTTTTCTACATCGATTGTTAAAAGAACTAATGTGAAAAGTACTTTCTACATCGGTTGTAAAAATAATCAATGTAAAAAAAATACAGTGGCATTTTTTAAATTTATGCAAACTTTTCTACATTGGTTATTTTTACAACTGATGCAAAATGTATATTCTACATCAGTTGTTTCTAGAAATCGATGTAGAATCAATTCAAATTTCAAATTTTCAGATACACACCAGCGAAATAGTATAAATTGCAGACTCGAACACATATTTTTCTTAAGTTTCTGAAACTTCTGTTATGTTAACTAGATGGACAACAAACATGCAAAAGTTTTCCAAGTACATCAATTATTTTAATTTCTTTCATTCTTTTGTTGTTTCACTTTTTGTTATTTTTTCTTCCTTATTAAACGATTTGATGAATATTGCATCTTATTTATGTTTCAGATTCAAACAAAGATGAACAATAATGAAACACGATGAACACAATAAACACGACAAACACAACAAACACGATGAACATAATCAACATAACAAACACGACGAACATGAAGAACACAACGAATACCATAAATACTGACGTTTATGGATTTTAATTTAACTTAAGAAAATATATTGATAATATTGACGCGAATGTTAAAACTCCCAGAAAAGATAAATACTGACGCCATTGATAAAGATGAACATTAAAAACATTTTTTTACATCGGTTATTATAAACAATCGATGTAGAAAGTGACACTTTTTACATCGATTTTTAACAACAGGTATAAAATGTCTTTTTTCCACTAGTGAAACTTATAGGGAAGAGAATTGGTGGGACATAAGAGCTAATAAAGGATTATGGAAATTGGGTATTATTAATAAGAGACCAACAGTAGGTAAGGATGTGGCACAAAAAAGGTTTATTAATGAATTTGTTGACCTAATTATTGAAATCTTTTCATGGATTAAACGAGGTTAATCACTTTTTGAGTCAAAGACTAGATTCTCTTTAATCCAATATTGTTATTGAGGCAGTGGTGCAGGAAAGAATTAATGTTAGAAGTACACTTTTCAAGACGAGAAAAAAGAAGTATGACTCTAAGCTTCGGGCTCAATCTAAATTTATGAAAAATAATTATGTGAAAGGATTAAAGCTTGAGTCAAATGTTTAGGATATGTATGGCCTTTGGAAAAATTGATTATATATGTAAATTGAATTCTCTTGACATGTATTGTTAATTCTATCTAGAATTGTAATGGGTTAGAATATCTTTGTACTTTATATGTTCTTAATAAAATGTTAATATTTAAAAAAATATATAAAAGAAATTATGCCTATTGTACATACTAAATGAGGAAATAAAAAATTAAAAAAAGTTAATTATAATTAAATTAAATAATAATAACAAAAGTATAAAAACAAATCAAATAAAATTAAAAGTGTGGAAATGTGCTGACAAAGAACAAATACCTCAAATACAAGAAGCTCTTGGAATTCTGACTTCCCTTGGAATATGATCTTTTTCATTTTATATATGTGTGCTTCTCCTGTAAAATAATAATAATAATAATAATAATAATATATTATTATTATTATTATTATTATTATTATTATTATGTTGTTGTTGTAGTAGTTTTACTTTTTATATACTTTTTTTTCTATAATAAAACAAAAACCGTACGTATTTCAACACCTTGTGTTTTAATTATATTAATTATGAAATTAATAAATAAAAAATTATTTTTAAAAAAAGCACAACAATAGTGCTATTCTGTTGGCCAGTTAAGCAACACCGAATAAATGAGAATTTTTTTTTATAGGACAGTGTTTTCAAAGTACTTCTCATAATTGTTTAGCAACAATTGCTACACTGGCCAAACAGCATAGCACTAATCTTTCTAAAAGCTGCATTTACTGTACATAAATATATATTTTTTATAACAACTGCATCTACTAAATAATTTTAGAATTTTGCTAACTATAAGGATAAACAACTAATAATAATAAAATTTTATTAAAAAATATGAATTATAATTTTATAATTTTAATATAATAATTGTATAATTTTTTATAAAAAAATTTTATTTGTAAATGGTTAAATTCAGACTGAGATTAATAAAACTTTTTTAAAAATATATGTACAAAAATTTTAAATCATGATTTTGAAACAGAAGAATTTTAGCAGAAAGGAGTGGAAATTAGTGGTGCGTTGTTGGGCAGTGTAGCAACAACGAAAAAATAAGAAAAATAATTTACCCGAGTTTTTTTTAGCATTACCTTAAGAAGTAATGAATAATAAATAATGGGGTTGTTTCAGCCTGTGAAGGCACTAATTCGGACATAATGATAGATCCAATCAAAATTCAGCAATAGATTGGATTCTTCTCACTTGTTAGGAAAATTTATCGCCAATTTGTATACCAAGTCAACCTTCGTATAATGATATAATGCTTATCTAACTCCTTTCTGTTGCGACAGATAATAATAACAATTTTTAATTTAGGATGCTTTTAAAAAATATAATGGGTTTCTCACACCTTGTTTTCAAGAAATTGGAGCATTTGACGATTAAACATTTTAAGCTCCATACGGTTATTTAGAATAAAATTTCCTTTTATTTATTTATCTTTTTTCTCATTATTTTTCGTCTGACTCAAACCAAGGGTTATGGTTATAGTACAAGAATAAGTTATCACTCTAAACTTAGATTAAAAAAATGTTTACAGTGATTAAAAATGTCTTTTCCACGGTGACTATTATAGATTAGTTTAGTATTAAAAAATATTATTTCATTTTTTAATTTTTTAGTTTTACTAAATAATGTTTTAATTAATAATACTGATTACACAATTAATTTTTTATTAAAATAACATTGTAACACATTAAAAATTATAAAAAAAATAATCAATATTATTTTAATAAAAAATCACTTTTAATTTATTAATCAGTATAGGGTATTGTTTAACATTGTCTTTGTTTTTCTCATACTCTTACCTTTTATTCTTGTTTTTTAAAAGGTTTTATTAATTAACCTAACCTTATAAAACTGAGTTTAAATACTAAAAAATAATAAGTTTTTATTGAACAAAATTTATTTATTACATGAATATAATAAATATTTTTAATAAAATTTTATTATTATGAATTACTCAAATTCAACTCTAAAAACTAATATTAATGTTTTATTTTAAAAAAAAAGAAAAAACTAGCACTCATGGGACAAGCAATAAGGTTTCAAGTGCAAAAAGTTCCACTAAAAACTCAAAAGATAACTACCAAAATAGAATCTAAGGTAAACTAGATGTCAAATCATATTTATCAGTCAAGTAATTGAATTGATAAAAGAAAATCAAATAATTGAACCCTCCTTAGTGTTAGAGAGAGTTGGAAAAAAATAGTACCCGGCCAGGATACATCAGTATACCACCCGGGAAATGCAGGAGATGCGTCTTTAGCTGCTCCAATACTCTCCTTCCTTCCATTATCAGCGACTGATATTACAACCTTTTCATCATCAAAATATTCATCTTTTACTTGCCATTTCTTGGGATGCTCGCAAACAACACTAATGGTCTCTTTGGCCATGGGACTTGATGCTTTAATTTCTAAACTTAGCTTCTCCTAAGTGTTTGGTTTTCAATTTATGTTTCTCTCCTTACAAAAGTAATTGAATTTGGCAATACCCAATTTGCACTTATAAAATGACCCCCCCCCCCCCCCCCTTTCTTATTTGTACAATTTCCTAGTGCCCGCCATACTTTGTGCAATGTTTGGTAGAGAAAACTAAGAAGGAAAGAGAGTAAATGCACCAATGCATATCGATCTTGACCCAATATAATGATAATATATAGTATACTTCATTAAAATTTAAGGGGTGGTGTTGAATCCTTTTTTGCAATTTTTTTTTCTCAGCCTGTCCAAACCAACATGAACTTACGGGTTAGGTGAGATTAGATAGTTGAGTTAACTATCATTATACAAAAATACACACGCACACGTAGCATTTGTCATAGAAAATCAAAATATGCTTTAGGGTTTTCAGTTTTTGCTGAAAAGATAAATTTAAGTAGCACACAAATTAAAAAGGTTATAGTTAAAGAATACGTGCAACATAAAAATTTAACTCTACAAAAGTGTGAAGAGGAAAGACTTTATTGATTAAAATATAAATAAAAAATTTATAGTTTGATTGTCTGAAAGAATGGTATTAACGCGAGACATAGATCTTCTCTCATTTTAACACGAACTAGATAGTTTAATTAAAAAAAAAATTGCATTTTTGCTTTAAGCTAAAATTTTTAACTTAAACAAAAATACAAAATTAACTTACTGAACATCCAGTTCACGAGAAAAGATCTAAATCCATTTACATGGGTAAAGATAATGAATGTTACTAACGGGTCACAACCCCTGTCTTCTTCCATCCTTGTTTCCATTTCTTTTGTCTTCAAGTAAATTTTTTTTCTATTTTTTAGATTTTCACAAATTTGTGGGGTTTAGCAACATTGAAATAATAATATAAATAAATAAATATATTTAATAATTTTAAATTATAAAAATTAATATACTAAATTTATTAAAAAGAAAATTAAAAAATCACACACATGTATTAAGGATAATTTCATTAATTCTTAATATTTGGAGGTCCCACCTAACATGGAATATGATCTCCATCTCTCTCAAATCTATTTTGAAAAAAATTGATAAAAAAATTGTTAAAAATATAATGAAGATTAATTTTCTATTAACATTAACATTTTAAATATTAAAAAATAACAAATATGTTTAGGCCTATCACAAAGCACATGAATTAACAAAAATTTATTCTCGAATTTGAATTTTAGTAAATATATTGTATAATTTATTTTTTTTCTAAAAGGACATCTCCCTTTTCCCAATTTTTTCCGACATTCTCACACAATTAGACCCTAATACTACTTCTATCACTTGTATATTTTAAAAATAGCACATAGATTAAAAGATATATATATATATATAATATTTATTTATATTAAAATTATTTTACTTTTAATATGATATTTATTTTTTCATATTTATATTAAGTCTCTGTAATATTTAAAAATAAAATAAAATTAATTTCAAAATATTGATTGCTATTATCTTAAATTTTAACAAAATTATGAAAAATTATTCTTTTAAAATGAGATTTTAGTTTTAATGTATTATAAGTGCAAAAATCTTTACACTATTAATTAGTTAAAATATATTGCGAATGTTATTTTTATATTAATTATCATAACTGACGTTAAAATTTATGATTGTATAGCAACATTAAATTTTTTTTAAAAAAAATATCATCTGAAGAGGTAAGATATGAGAATAAACATATAATAAGATAACTCAATGAGATAAATTATTATATCTTATTATTTAATAAATATAAAAAATAAAATTAAATAGAATAAATTATTATATCTCTTACTACTAAACTTATCCTAAGGATATTTGTTTATAAACTAACCAAAAACAATTAAAAATTAAATTGACATTGCATTAAAATAATAAAAATGAGTAATATTATGCATTTTAATAAAAAAATTATAAATCAATATCGTTAGTATTTGTCACTTTGAGAGATTAGGATCCACATTCTTGGCTATTTTAAATCTAATAATGTACCATTATTAAAAGGGATATACCTAAAAACTAATGACTGCACGTATTTATGATATGATATTGAAACAAACAGGCACACGTTCGTTATAAAATTTGGTACGAAATATTCAATGAGTATAAATTGCAATGGAAGAGAAAATTATGCAGTAATTTTTCGGTCAACCTAATTTCACTCAAAACACAAAGCCCAAAATCAGGCTCAAGGAAATATAGCAAGTGGGGGTATTTGTAATTAACAGAAAGAGTTTAGATGGAAAAAAAAAAAAAGGAAATCAGCAGAAAGAGAGAAAATTCAGTTGGTATCCATACTTTAAGGCATTTAAAGGAATTAATATTTTCAATTGGAATTGTGAAGGACTGTTAGAGGTTAGTGTACCAACCATATACATTAAATATGAACTAGCATGTGATTCGTATTCATATATTCGAATCAGCCAAGCACATTTGAATCAGACTACTGGTGGGTTTTTCTAATAATGCCTATACAGTCTTTGTTTTTAACATTAAAAGCAAAAGGGAGAATGCAAGTGGATGTGATGGCTCATACTTACAGTTTTTCAATTAACTTTAATTGTTTTTTTAGGAAATAAATTGCAAAATATTATTTTGATTGGTTTCACAATCTATTTTATCTTGAAACACAAATTTCCCAAGACAACCAATCAATCGTTCTATATATCTTCTCTTTTTTTTTTATTAAGTTGAAAGATTCACATCCATCCATTTGTTTCGGTGCAAAATCTGTATGATGCTTTTCTTGTGCAGATAACTATGATTCAAAGTGAAATGTGCATATTGATGTGCATGACATGACATGACCTCCTTCTTTCTTTCATTTTGCTTACACTACTTATTGGCTAAAAACGTTTGAATTTAAAGACATGCTTTGATTCAAATTGGACCTAAGTAATCACCATTGAGATTTCCATTGGCACGTGAATCTTACTGATTAATTTGTCCTCTTCTAATATCATCATTAATCACGAAATGTATCCATTAATCTTTGTTTTGTTTTAAGGCAGAAAGAAGATATCTTGCGGATTCATATTTACCGGTAATATGGAATGAACGGTGTTCATTGCAACTTTGAAAATCGATTGTTTCTTTAGTAAAAGATGTCAAAGTCAGCGGTCAAAAAATGCCACTGCACTGATCAGTTTATTTTTGCTTTCATTAAAAGATGTTTGAACAGAATGAAACTTGCCTTGAAGTTGAAGATTTCATACATCCTTAGAAGATAAAAGTGTGTTTTGGTAAGATAAGTTTATAATTTACTTTTGTTAATTATCTTTTTAAATTTTTTTATATTTAATCTAAGTCTTTCATTTAATTTAAATATAATATTTAGTAAATTAAAAACATAAAATAAATAAAAAATTTAAATTAAATATAAAAGTTTTAAGACTTACACTAATATAAAAAGATAATGTTTTATAAAAAATTATTTTAAATTAACATTTAATTTATGAAAAGATAGTTTTTATAATTTTTTATATTTTTTATTAAATAACTCTAATTTAATAAGCTATTTATAAGTTCTAAACTTTTCAGTAACTATAAACTAAAATTATAAGTTTAACTAATTTTGTGAACAAAGAAAGTGATAAGAATAATTTTGTATAAAAGAATTTTATTTTTTTATTTTTTTTAGGTTTGAATATTTTGTCTTTCTAGGAAGAAAAGATAAAAGTAAGTGAGACCCACAAACAAAATTATAATATTATATAATTTTAAAAACAATATAAAAATAAAAAATAGAAACATTCAGATCTAAGTTATTATATGAAAACTTTTTTTTAATTAAATTTGATTATATATTATTATTACAAATTCATTTATTTTTTTACTCATCTGAACAAGTAAATTTCTCTCTCTCTTTCTACTTATCTAAACAACATAATCTTTCTACTATATTTGATATTTTATTTCTCTATTTTTTATTCTTCTATTTCCTTTTTCTTTATATTTTTTCTTTATTTCATCTGTGATTCAAACATACCATTTAAAAATGTATCTTTCTAGCCGGTTCCTCCCTTCACCCAACCAAAGGGGTAAAGAGAGACAGAAATTAAAAGAAGGAAGAGTCGATTAAATGTTCTTCAAATCGATAATCCCAAAAGTTCAGACACTATCAATGGCTATAGCCCACATTTTAATTTGTAAAGAAGCTTTAAATTGATGAATCGTTTTCCTTCAACTCTAGTTTTCAACTTTTGATACAGCATTTGTAAATAATTAAAAATCACTTTAGTTCTTTTATTAGTGGTTTCCAACTTTTCATACCGCATTTGTTGATGTATGGATCTATAGAAGTGTAAAATATTCAACCTTTAATTAGGAGTTTGTTTTTAGAGTCTATTTAGGACATGTAATTAGAATTGTAATTTAAAATTGTAAGTTTAACTTTATTAAAATTTTATTTTATTCAAAATTATACTCTAATGTACATAAATTTTGAATATAAAATTACATTTTTAAATTAAATTTTCACATCTACTTAAAATATAATAATGAATTAGATTGATATTAAGAACTTTGATTTTAAAGAGTAAATTAGAAATTAAGAAAAATTATTTTAATTATATTATAATTACTTGTAATTATGATTTTAATTTTTAAAAATTATAAATATCATAATTACAATTGTAAAATTTAATCTCAATTTAAAATTTGATGTGTTAAATGGATATTAAATATCAGTTAATTAAGTTAGCTAATTTTGATTTAAAAAAATTGATAACGAAAATCTTATTAAAAGACTTTTAAAAGTAAATTAATTTCTCTCCTATAATTAATCAATACCATAATTACTAATTTTAAATTTAATATAGTTTCAAACGATTGGAATACATCTGATACATTTGTGTTAGAGAAGATACCATAAGCTAATACTCTATTAGAACGTTGTTAATTGTGTTATTAAGAATATTATTGTATTTATAAACGTATCTATATTATACCTCTCTTATACATTAAAATAATGGATAACTCAGAGTGGGTTTAGTTTAAGTTATTTTTTCATTAATTTTCCAAAAATAATTTAAAAATTAAGTGGTTGTTTTCTAAAATTAAGTTCTTCCCAAACAAGCATTTAAATCGGCTGTATCACAGGATTAAACTCGCTTGAGTTTTAAATTTTAATCCGTAAACTTATATATAAATGCTTCCTAATTGTAACCTTAATCATGTTGAATTTTTAATGACAATTGATTTTAATTTTTTTAAATAAAAATATTAAAGTTGTTTAAAGTTAATATCTTTATACACGAATATATAATTCAGAAAATTTAGGAGTTCCTTTTAAAATGGTAATGATATTTTGGACCATCATGAGAATTTACAGATTTTTATTTCTTAACATATTAATATGAGATAATACAGTTAAGATAAATATATTTTTAACAACAAATTTCTTTCTATTTCTCTCCATCATATACACGTCTAAAAAATATTTTAATTTTTTTCTTTTTATCTCTTTTTAATTGATTTGTAAAAAATACAACAAAATTAGCATAAAAATAGTATTGTTCATTGAATTTAAAATTTCACGTTATTATTATTTTTGACTCTTGAAGTTTTTTTGTTAAATAATAGACCAAAAAAACCTAACAACACTTACGATTAAGGATGCTAAATATCAAGATCCATTACAACATGCATAACAAATAACAATAAAAGATTAAGCATACATGCTCAATGTTAAACATAACTTAACAATTCTTTTAAACACAAAACACAATAAAACTAAACACAAATTTCTAACTTTTCTGTCCAACAAACATAAAACATAGGCTTATCTTTTCTTTCTATTTTTCCTTTAAAATTAGTACAAATTTAAAGGTAACTTTTTGAAGTAAAAAAAAATCAAGTACAGAATAAAAATAAAAGAAAGATGAAGATGAGATAAATGATAAGAAGAGAGATGATTGGAAAAAAAAAAAAAAACACTCTAAAACAAAAGACAAAAAAAAAATCCATCATATTTTGATCCTCAATCTGATTTAATTTCAATTTTATCAGATCATACATACCAACTGATGCAGTTCAACGGAGATTTCTCTTTTTTGTCGTCAGCAAAGTTTAATGTTTAATTTAGGGAACTGAACTGAATTTTGTTTTTAGTTCGGACCATTAGGCCTTAAGCTCTGTCCAAGGGGTTGAATTTGAAATGCTTTGTTTCAGTTTGGACCATTATTTCTTGTGATCCTACTGGTCAAGCCCAAATAATGTTTCATGTGACATTTGGGCTTTAATGTATTATACTAACATTTGTATATTAATATATTAATATTTCACACAACTAAAACTTTTTAAGAAATGTCATAAGTGGTATTAGTTAATAAATAATTTTTTATTAAAAGTTACTGTAGAAATACATTAAACATATATAAATATTTTTTTCTCATAAAAATAATTTCTACCTTTAATTATGAATTAATATTCTAGAATAACTGTTAACACTCTAGTTTATCATTTATAAATGATAAATTTAATAACTGACGCATAGTGTAATAAAGATTAATAATGATTATACATATCTAAAGTAATGCTCCAAATTAAATTAAATATATGTATTTTTGTTTGGACGATAAAATAGTTGTAATTTAGAAAAAAGAATAAAAGAAAAAATGTTTGTTTGGACGAGGCCTTGAGAATAAGAAGTGAAGAACCTTTGGTCTAATATAAATCCCAAGGGTGATGATGACACATTGAGTAATATCTGCGATTAGGCCACCGACCAAATTCACATCACAATAAGGACATTAGGCCCATTGTGTTTGTGGTTTCAACAAGATACCCTCCACCCCCTCTGCTTTGACCCTTCTTTTTTCCTTCTAATTAAAGCCTGTCAAACATGTTGAGGTACCCAAAGAAGCAACAATTACCATCTACATGAGAAGACCAGAATCACAATTATTCACCCAACATTTGATATAGAATGCTTTAACCTTCAGTGTGAAGGGTGATGTAGTTCAGGAGTCGGTCCAAGTGATCGATCACGTCAATCTTTTTTATTTCATTTTTTTCAGTTTTAAAATTAAGAAACTATAATTTTGTTCAAATTTATGTCATGCTAGCAAACGTGGCCAATTAATATTAATCTCTAAATTTAAAAGCTTTACGAAGGGTCTTAGTGTGAAATGATAGTGATAAATTAGTCGTTTCTTCTAAATTATTATCCAATTTCGTGTCGTCGTGGCAACCCAAGAAGCTAAGCATGGGTGAAGGTTTAATAATAATGATTTTCAACGCGTATATATAATGCATGAAACGACAATGACAGTGCATATTTATGCGTTAGTGATTTTCCAATTTCCAAGCATGAATGCAATTGCATGTATTGGTGGAGCCGTGCAACTGAATTGAAAGCGGCCAAACAGATTTCTGATCAAACTGCATATAGTGAGCAAATTTCAATTTTGTGTATTCACGTAAACAACTTAAGTAAGTCTTTTAGAACCCACTTCGGATTTTTATCTGTTTAACCTGTCTGTCCAGGGTAGACCTTTTATTACCTAAACTTGAAAATTTTAAAATATTTTTATTTGGTTTTTGTGAAGATGTATCAAAAATAAAATATTAAAATTATAGAATATTTAGATACAGAAAAAATATTTTATTTTATTTTAGTTGAAGTCGTTGTCATTTTCTTGGTGCAAACGTGTGAACCAAAGAGACGATGACTTTCTACTTTATTGATTTATTTTAATTGAGATTTGCGAGGGGCAACATATTTCCTTGTCATATTGTAATTAGATCGTATTATTTTTCCGTTAAAATAATTGTGATCTAGAAAGGAAACGCGTTATATGGGGCATGCTGTGATTGGTCCACGCCAAGTATCATGGTTTTCGTCAATATCATAATTTGATTAGTGAATGATTCAAGAAGCCTTTGCATGGAGTTGTGACCACAAATAAGATCAGCTCTGGGAAAGTAGAGACTTTGCCTTGCATAATTAGATATGCTATGCAAGAGACAACGACCCGTATGGATTAATTCATGTTTGACCATGCCGTAGCCCGTAGAGCTGAAGAAAGCCAGAGACCCCCAACATAAAACCTTTTTTTAAAGCTTAGAATGACTCTCATTAATAAAATAAAAAATAAAAAACCTAAGTTGTGGAACTGGTGAGGTATTGAGCTGAGCCATTCTAGCTGTTGATAGATGGAGATTCCAATGTGGGTAAATAGAAAGAAAGGAAGATATTTGGAAAAAAGCAGGGAAACATTGATCCCATGAACAGAGATATTTAAATTGTGGAAGTGAGGAGCTTCAGGTTTGGTCAGAGCACACGTCGACGATTAATTTCTCTACCTTTCAGGTCGGCTGATGGGACCCACAAGCCATCACTTCAAACTCAATGTCCTTGCGATGCCAACCAAAATCTAAAACCACTTACCCATTTAACTTACAACGGATAAAAATAGAAAATTAACGTCCGAAAAGAACATCAATCTTACAATCCCACGTGTCTCAGTTCATGCTAACCAAGCGAATCTTCTCCCATCCTAGTAATAGTCAATTAATACCAATTCAGTTCTCATATATGCTGCCACGTGTGGAGAAGATTCTCCAGTCAGCACAGAACACCTCCCTCTTCCTATAATAATTGTACTATCACCACCGCTGCCTCTACCCCATCCACTTCAATCTCTAACTCCAAACAACACAATCGCCACTTCAATGACTCACACTTCCGTTCAAAGGGATCGCCGCATCCTATCATTCCCGGCGGTTCACCCTTGCCAAACCATATCCCCCAACACCCTCCTCGCTTCTCTAATCACTCTCTCCAACAACATAACCAATTACCAATCCCAATTCTTCCCCACCCAACGACGAAACGCACGAGAAACAATACGCCAAATCTCCATTCTTTCCATATTCCTCCACGAATTCCGAGAACGTGGATTGTTTATCCCTCACTCCACCATCCTCTGTTTCTCAGAGCTCCACTTCACTTTACAAAAGATTCACTTCTTACTACAAGATTCTTCTCTCCAAGGCGTTCGCCTCTTGATGCTCGCCAAAGCACAACACGTGGCATCGCAGTTCCGCGCTCTCGTTCGCGCTATGGCCACCGCTCTCGACGTTTTACCTATTCATGAATTCCAGGTTTGCCACGAGGTCAAGGAGTTAGTGGAGTTAGTAACCAAGCAAGCCAGGAAAGCAAAATTCGAACTGGACCCCAACGACGCGCGTGCAAGTGAAACGCTTCACTCGGTTCTGCGTCAGTTCGCGAGGGGAACCGAACCGGACCAGACTGCCATGCAGGGAATCCTCGACTACCTCGAAATCAAAAGCTGGACGGATTGTAACAAAGAGATCAAATTCTTAGAAGAAGAGATTGGCTTAGAGTGCGAAGAATGCGAGGAGCGAGGGGTTCCATTTTTTAGTAGCTTGGTAGGGTTCTTAAGTTACTGCAGAGGAGTCATATTCGAAACTATACTACACAGTGACACTAACCAATCCGAATCCGAAGCCAGGTTCAGCACGGAGATGATAACGCTAACGTCCGTTAACCCGGAGGATTTCCGGTGCCCGATTTCCCTCGAGTTGATGATGGACCCGGTAACGGTGTCAACGGGACAAACCTACGACCGAGCCTCCATTCGCAAATGGCTGAAAGCAGGGAACACCAAGTGTCCTAAAACAGGGGAGAATCTAAAAAACACTGAGTTAGTCCCCAACACAACGCTCAAGAGGCTCATCCAACACTTCTGCGCCGACAATGGCATTTCCCTTGCCAAGTCGTTTAACCGTAGCCGTGACATAACGAGAACCATCGTCGCCGGAAGTCCCGCGGCGGCGCACGCCGTGCAATTCCTCTCGTGGTTTCTCACACGGAGGCTCGTGTTCGGAACACAAGAACAGAAACACAGAGCTGCGTACGAGATTCGTGTGCTTGCCAGGTCGAGCATTTTCAACAGAGCGTGTTTGATTGAAGTTGGGACGGTGCCTCCTCTGCTGGAGCTTTTGGCCTCTGAGGATAAATCCACGCAAGAGAACGCGATTTCTGCGCTGTTGAAGCTCGCAAAGCATGCAAATGGCCCCGAGAATATCATGAACAGCGGAGGGCTAAAGCCTGTTCTCTCTGTGCTGAAGAAAGGGCTTAGCCTTGAAGTTCGCCAAACCGCGGCTGCTACGATATTTTATCTTTCTTCGGTGAAAGAGTACAGGAAAACAATTGGTGAGAACCCAGAAGTGATTCCGGCTTTGGTAGAGTTGGTGAAGGAAGGAACAACCTGCGGGAAGAAGAACGCTGTTGTTGCAATTTGTGGGTTACTTTTGCTTCCTAAGAATCACCAAAGGGCGCTGGAAGCGGGTGCTGTTCCTGCATTAGTTGGTGTTTTGGGTTCTTCTAACAAGGATGAGCTTGTGACGGAGGCTTTGGCTGTTCTCGCGGCTCTGGCGGAGAATGTGGATGGAGCACGTGCCATATTACAAGCCTCGGCTTTGCGGTTGATTACTGGGATGTTGCGATCTGCCACGTCACGTGCAGGGAAAGAACACTCTGCATCGATTTTGCTATCGCTGTGTGTGAATGTTGGTGGTGAGGTGGTGGGTGTTCTTGCTAAGGACCCCTCCCTCATGCCTTTGCTTTATTCGCTTCTCACTGATGGCACTTCTCATGCAGCCAAGAAAGCCCGCTTCCTCATTAAAGTTTTACACGATTTTAACGAAACTAGAACTTCCCGATTCAAGGATTCTTCGCCTCCTCAAGAACGATCCCTTCACGTTTGGTGAATGCGCCTTTTTTTTTTTTTTTAATTGGTGTAAATATTGTAACATTGATTAAACATTAGTTTTTGGCCCATTGATTTGTGAAATTAGCTCTAAGCTCTTTTTTATCCCGGCGATCGAGCTAATTTCAATAAGTGAGCTGCATTTAGCTTACAGTGGAAAGTGCAAATTTTTGTCTGTCTCTATCTAGTAATTATGAATTCAAGTGGTGTGAAATTTGATGATGAAATCTGTATATTTGGATTAGTTCTTTTCATTTTCCCAAACATTATTTGGTTCCTCTGTGGATACATTCTGAAACTTTGGATCATTTCTTGATCGTAGAACACGTAGAATTGAGAGAATTCTCTAGGATTGAACGAATAGATTGTATTACTAAGATCAATGAGTAAGCTAACGCTACAATTCTGAGGAAATAGTCATTTATTATTGAGTTTTATTATTTGGACAATTTTTTGAACACTTATACCACATTTTCATATTTTATTACACTTCAACATTTTTTTCTCCATATATCATATCAGAGAGACCCCATATCTCCTATGGTAAACATTTCTGTCTATTATTCGCAATTATTTTTCTGTTGTATGTAATTTTGATTTTCATAGGCTAATTTTGGAACTGGTTTGAGGATAAAAAATTACAGAAGTTGTTCCAAAACTTATCAAGTATAGCGTAGCCAAGCACTATTGTTAAAACAATTTTTGACAGTGACCTCGCTGATGAATCCTTGATAAGAATAGCTAACGTTGCTACTAATCTGCATTGAAGATGTTGGCTTGATTCTGGTTTGGCAATTTTACCAAGAGCATTATCATCACTAATTCAATTAGTTAAGCTTGTGTCCAGGAATAATAATCATGATTTACTAGTATCAATAAAGTTATTGTCTGAGTTTAGAGGGAGAGGGAGGATAAGAAACAATGAAAAAAGAACTAAATATATTGTGGGGGGAACACGCAAACTAACAATTCACATTTGTAACTTAGTCAACTGAACTCATTTGATATAACAAAAACAGGATGGTTTAGCGACTACGAACCAGAAGACGTGTTTGAAATTCATTGTTAAGGCATGGCTTTTAAACATGATATTCAAATGTACGTGTTTACACGGATTTTCCAGCAAATGAATAAATTTAATAGTAATTTAAAATTTAATTTTTGATATCTTAATGAATTCTTATTAATGTGTTTTTAATAAAATTAATAAAAAAAATGAATAACATTTGAATAAAAAAAAAACAATCATAAAAAAAATTCTGGAAACAAATAAAGAAATACAAAAAATAAATTTAATAAAATAAATTACAATAAAAAAATTATCAACTCAATGAAAGATAATATACTTGTTAATATCATTTTACTGGAGACTAATATGTGCATTGAATATTGACAATTTTTAAAATTTAAGATAATATTCTATACTTTTTAAAATGTGACGGTTATAATTATTTAAATTAAATAATATATATATATATATATTCTAAATATATAATTAACTATCATTATCTATCTATATATTTAATATAATATTAATAGTAATAATTGTTTAACACGTATGAAAATATAGAATATTTTCTTAATTCATTGGGTATCATAAAAATTATCTTTTGAAATATAAAGTTTAATTGTTTAACATGAAGTCTCTATTTTAACTATGTATGAAAATAAGTCAAGCCGTTTAATAGAGTCCTACAACTTAATTTTTTTAAAGTCTAAATCAGCCTAGCCTATTTAATTAATATATTTAATTTAAGCTTTTTAAAAAACTTAATTAATTAAATAGGTCAAGTTTGAGCTTAAGAAAAAAACCTATTAAATATATTAGAATTACTTATTTAAAATTTATAATAATATATTAAATCAATTAATTAAATTTTAAAATAATAAAATTTTAAATTAAAAACTCTAATATTTTTCGTTAGAGTTGAAGAATATTTTTATTATATATCCTCTAAGAGAAAGAACTTTGCTTGCTAGAGTTTTTTGCATATCCTATATGGCATAAAACTAATTTTTATTAAGCTGTCTCAATTACCTCTATTGTTAGTTTGTCTTATTTTATTTATCATCTTCTTATAATCTTACGCACTTGTTTATATTATATAATTTTTTTATGACTTTTAAAAGACATATCTATTTAGATGGTTTAATAGTTTATTTATAAGGAAGCTTAATAATATATTGAATGTCTTAATACGAAATAGGCTATTAAAAAGGCTAATAGGTCAAATTAAACTTTTAAAGGGGACAAATTAGACTTAATAAAAAGTCTATGATAGATAATAGGTCAAACTTAGACTTCAAAATTATCAGATAAACCAAATTTATATATACAAAGCCTAGCATAACAGAACTTATTTCCATCCTTAATCTTAAGGTCTAATAACTTGTTTATAGAAAAAAAAAAAAAACACCAAATAACTTCTAAGAGACACATGCTTAATCTTTATTGTATATTTTATATGATTTTGTCACATGTCTCATTATACAATTGCTAATAATCATTTTTAACATATTAACTTATTAACATTTACATATTAAAAACATTTTTTATAGATTTTTCTATCATCTCTAAATCCTTTTCATTTTGATACTTCACCTTGAAAAATAGTTTGAATCAATTTCTAGACAAAAAAATCTTTAATTTATTCTTGATTGCATATGTTGATATGGTGATGATAGTAATGTATTTTGAATATACATTAAAAAAATATTTCCAACAAAATTTGACAATCTATTTCAATACATTGTAACTTTCAACTTGCAAAGCCATCCATATAAATTTACATAAAAACTTGTCAAAATATTACATTCTTTTTGCCATGTTATACAAAAAAAAATAAAAAAATTCAAAATAGCTACTCCAACTATAGATTAAGACCACAAAATTCATTGGCTCAACGTAAAGTTTTTTGGAAAAAAATAGAAAACTTTGATTCTTATAAGTTATTTTTCAACCAAAAAATCGTCTAGATGAACCTTAACCAAAATAAAACCTATTTTAAGCATCTTTATCATATATATAATTTTTTTTTTCCTTTCACCCTCTTTTCAAGCAAAAATAAAACTTTAATAACTTAGAAAATTTTTATTTCTCTCACGCAGCAAGTATTTTTAGTCAGGTTAAAATTCACCTTTTTAGTTGAGTTTTAGATGAATATTTGGTCCGAGAAATACTAAAGGGCGTTTGGAAATTGCGCTTTTTCAGTCAGCCTAAGCTAAAACTGAGGAAGGAGTCTGTAACTTATATTTATGATATGAAAGGATCATAATAAAGTGCTTTCAAGTCTTGAAAGCTTTAGTTTTTCCCCTTCATTCCATTTAATCCAAGGGTATCCGATGCAATAACAAGAAGGGTCTGTTTGGTTACTTCTTAATTGTTAGGTTAATATTTTTTGGCAGTTGAGTCTTAGGACACAATTTATTGTTTGAAATAAGGCGTGCGACTGATGTCGTTTTAAATCTCAATAATTTTTTTGGTTAATTTTGTAAAATATATATAATTAAGATAATATATTAGATATTTTATTATTAAATTTTTATTTTTAATAAAAATAAAATTGTATAATATTTTAAAATTATTCAAATAAATAAAATAAAAATTTAATTTTAATTATGTTTTACTTTTTTTAATCACACACGCACCTAAATGTAATGAATAATTTGAATATAATAAATGAGTTTATCACAAAAGATATTTTTACATACAGACTCAAAATTAAATATTTTATTTCATTCTAACCAACTCATAGTTAAGTCTTACTTTTTTAATAATACAGAAGGTACTCAATGTCATCCATCAACGTCTAAATAGGGTATGCTTCCAGCCTCTCACCTTGACTACTTGGTTTGGATTTTTTTTTCAGCTAAAATATTTTTTGTATAAATATAAATACGCTTAAGAACGGGTTTTACAAGATATTTTTAATTACTTTATATTTTAGTGTGTATTTTCATATAATTATTTTGCATGATTATTTAAAGATAAGAATTTTAAAAAATTAACCTATAATTTTTATAAAGAATAAATTATTTAAAGTAAACAAAATTTTAAAGCATATGATTAAAATCAATCGGCTTAACTTTCTAATTATCTTTTTATTTTGTCTTTATGAGATAATCATTTTAAAGCAAGACAAACTATTACATGTAATTTTTTGTTACTTGTGAATACTAATTTTTTGCCTACAGGATTGCTTTAAAAAAAATTTAAAAATATATAAAAAATAAAAAAATATTTTACAGAAAAATAAAAAATTTCAAAAAAAGAAAGAAAAGCTTATATTACTCATGCTTATATCTCAATGTCAAAACCAGTTCTTAAGCATTAAAAAAGGAAAACTTAAAATTTTTGGTATTTTATCAAAAAAAAAATCTAAACGACTCGTATAAATATACAAATAAAAAAATTTGAGTAGGAAGTTTTTTGGAAGAGGGAGAAAAGATTGGGAAGCAACAAATTTTTTAAAAAATTTGAGAGATCTGATAAAAAAGGAAAACAAATCTTTTTTTAAAGAAAAATTATAGAAGAAAGCAACAAAAAAGAGAAAGAAGAGCAAAATTTATAAGAAGAAGAACTTTGAAGATATGAAAAATAAAGTAAAAGAAGAATATAGAAAAAACTAAAAAACGGAAGAGTGTGCAGCATAAAAAAGACAAGCGTAAAAAAAAAGGGGGAAAATGCAAAAAAAAAAAGTAAAAAAATATATATATATACCATCGATCATTGCTTGAACTAGTCTGTTGGTAAGTTATGTTCTTCTTCCTCCTCCGTTATCTTTGTAAACTCTGACTCAGTGAATGAAAGTTAATACCAAGGTTTTAAATCACTTTTATTTTACTGTTTTGTCTTCTATAGAGTTATTGTGATTCAATATTATTTTATTAGTTTGTTCAACTTTCTTTAAGGATCCGTGAAGTTGCAAGAAATTGTTTGCACCAAAATTACTTTTTTTTAATATAATTATTAGATGTGATTTGATTTGACCATTAAAAAACCTGTGACTCGAGTCTTTATAGTTATGCTGCACCTAAACGTTTTCATACTTTGTTATTATTTCATCTTTTTTTTTTCTTTTTTCGTTAGCATATTTGTTTTCTTTTTTATTTTTTTATTTATTTCAAATAAAATATCTTTTATTTTTAAATTTAATCTTTCTACTTTTATCCATTTTTTTAAGTAATAATAATAATAAAAAAAATGATTCAAACATAATATTTTTATTCATTTATTTATTATATTTAAATTATATTATTATTTATAAAATTTATTTCATTCTAACATTAGCAACAAATTTTCTTTAATTTTTTATATTATTTCTTTATTTATACTTTAATTATTATGTTTGTTATTTATCATTTAAAATTGTCATCTCTTAATTTTTTATTTTTGTATATTTGTAGAATATAGATGAAAATCTAATTTTATATTTATAATTTATCTTTTTTTATATTATGAATTTTTGTTAATCAATAAATGAATGTTAATATAATTGTATCAATTTATAATATAACGTATAGTTTTTTTACCGTCATGTATTATAAATTAATAAAGCTTAAATATACTTACGTTACCTTTACTTTATATAATCTTAATTCATCATATGTTTGTCTTTAATTAATTAACTTATTATTTTAATAATAAGCCAAAATATATTTTCTTTTAATTACTAATATACTAATATACTAATTGATTAATTTAAATTAAATATATTTTTATCAATATAATAATTTATAATAATAAAGTGTAGCAACTCTACTTTTATGTATTATAAATTGTTAAAATCTATGTCTGTCAATGTTAGCTTAAATTTTATATACCATTAATTTATATAAAAATTAATTCAACTTATAAAACTAATCAATTATATTTTTTATTTAATTAAAATGTGTCATCTAATTAAAAATATTAATTTATTTAATTAAATTAAAATATCTTTATTATATTACTGCAACAATTTATGGTGTTAATATGTAGCGTCTCTACCTTTATACACTTTAAATCATAAATACTTTTGTGTACCAGCGTTACCTTATGTTTTATACAATATAAATCTATCAAATAAAATTTTTACTATTTTTTAAAAAAGAATTTTTTTAATCAATTCAAATAAATTTATTTCTTTTATTATATGAAATCAATTTCATATTTTAAAATTTCATGAATCATATTTCTAATTTTGATATATTAAATAACTAATCATTTCTCTATTTTTACTTATTCATACAAATTTCTACAATATTAATGTGTAATTTACATTATCTTCAATTATCTAATAAATTATAGAGAATTTATGTATAACTTATGCTATCTTAAATTATCTTTCAATATAAATCTTCAAATTTAAACTTTTTTCGCATTTATAAGCTATAATATTTTTTCTTTAATTATTAAATTATTATTTATTTAACAATTTGTAATATGGTTGTGTGATATTTTTTCACCTTCCGTATTGCTTCTCATAGGATACATGTATAATCGTGTTATCTTGTATCTTAAGATTATAATTTTAAGAAAATAATTTAATCTCAAAAATAAATTTTTTCTATTAAACTTAATTTTAATCTACCAACTTAATAATTTTTATAATAAAATTACGTGACTTTGAGTTTCCACTCTTACACTTGAAAATATGTAAGAGTGGAAACCAGAACCCGTCAAGTCAAAATAATTTTTGAAAATATTTTCTTAGATACCGAGTTAATATTTCAATAAATAATTTTTTTCTAAAATAAAAATAATTAATGTTTAAGGGTTAAATAAATATTTTTTTTAAATTAAAATGAATTTGCATAATTAATTTAATACAATTATTTTTAAACAGATGCTTTCCCTATACGTAAATAATTCCATAACTCATTTTTTATTTTAAAGATCATGTTGTTTTTAAAAAAAAAAATTAAAATTTTCTTAAAATAAATTTTAGTGATGATTCCTCTGATTTTAAAAAAAATATTTTTATTCTTAAAAAATATTTTTTTAAATATATTTTTGCTGTATTGTTGCGACTATCCGATTGCGACATTATCTTTTTTAAACAATTTAAACTCAGCAAAAATATTACTTAATGCAATTCAAACATATAGATTATTTTAAAATCAATTTCTTTGTAAGCAAGCTTATTGCATTTATTTGTCTAGAGTTTAAGCTTATAGTAGTATTATTTTTCAAATGCCAATGAAGGTAACGTTTGAGTTTATTATGATTTTTTTTCACTTTTATTCTTATTATTTTGACAAATTTTACCTTTTAGCACAGTATATAATATCACTAATTTATTATACAATGTTAAATTATGGTTTATTTTGTTTATTATTTTGGAATGTTGTGATAAAATATAATTAAAAAACAATGAATATTTATTTTAATTTTTATATTTTTTACACTATTTATTTTAATCATTAATAAATAATTGGTTTATTAAATATATTAATAAGAATTTAAAATAAACTCAAAATTATAATTAACTAAAACAGATTTTGTCTATTAATTATGGTTTTTTTTAACTTTTTGTGCCAAAAATAAATTCAATTTATTTTTTCTATTAAATATACATTTTATAAATTTTAAATATTTGCCATCACTATTTCATATTTGATAAAACATTTATGTAGACATGTCATATTATATATTTTATGTTAGATTTATAATTGATGTGATATAATTAATTGTATGTCATTTCAATACTAATCAGTGGCATGCATTGTTTTTAAAATATTTATGAAAAAATTGGAAATCAAAAACAAATTTAACCATATTTTTTAAGAACTAAGAATACATTCTAATTTTTTTTCCCTATTGAAACGAGTATAGAAACCGAGAGTGCATCTTTATGATTATATAGGATTTATTTAATCTTGCACAGAGTTAACTTGGGAATATTCTTACTTTACTAGCCAAAAAGGTGAATCCCTCGTTGTGAGTCGATTTGTTCTCTAATAGAGAAAGAGTGATTCGAAAGCAGCCAACCAAATTAATTTGTTACGTTAAGGCTGCGTTTGAACAAATATTTACTTTTAAAAATAATTTATAGTTTATGAGTTAATTTTTTAATAGTTAATTTTAAAAATTTTAATAAAAAATTTAAATTAACTTAAATTAACAAATTTAAATTATAATAAAAAATTAAAAATTTAGAGCATGTTAAATTTTTATTTTAAAAATTATTTTTTATTTTTAAAAGTAAAATATAATACAAATTTTTATTATATTATATTTTTAAAAATAAAAAATCATTTTTAAAATGAAAATCAAACATACTCTTAAATTTTTCAAAATATTCGTCAAGTATGTTTTATTCTATTTCTTTACATTTTAAGAATTTATATTATATTGTATTTTTAAAAATAAAAAATATTTTTAAAATAATTTTTTAAGAAAAAAATTTCAAGTGTGTTTTATCTTAATCTTTTGCATTTTAGATTTTTTTCTTTTTTTTTCTTTCATTATTTTCTTTCTTGTTAGTTCTCTCATTTGTTCTATTTTGCGTATTTTTTAATATTAAAATTTTATAATTTTATTTATATAGTGTAAAAAAAACTCAATTGTTCCATCTTAATAAAATATTTTAAAACAATAAAAATTTAAGTATTTTAGAATTTTAAATTCTTTAAAAAATTTAATTTTTCTGTCCAAATACAACTTAACAGCATTCCCCTAACTTAAGACGTCCCAAGGGAATGGATATCTTGAGAAAAAGCCAGTGGAAGAAGCCCCCCCGCCCCCTTCAAGACGGAAATTAAAAATAGCAATTACAAGTAAATAGCATCCGATTAATGTTATATACTCAATTATACCTCGTTATAATCATACTTGCTGTGAAATTATTGTGATAGTTTCAAGAATGAGTTTGATATACTATTCAAATGGGGACTGATTTAAAAGAAAATAAAATATAGAAAATTGGGATTTAACTGAGTAATCAAAAGATATTTATATTTTTTAAATAAATTATTAATTACATTATCTATTAATATATAATTAACGGTCTAAATTACTGTAAAAATTATATAAAAAAAAAAATTTTGACATCGAAGCAATGTTTTTGTGATAAATTTTATCTCAGTTGCTTCGGACATCGCTATTTACGAGAAGTGAAAAGGTGCCTTCAAAGGACGTAGTCAAGATTTGTGATTCACATTGGATCGGGTCCGTGTTTTGTTGGGCCGTGTTCTTCGCTCTTTGTTTATTAAACAAGCTAAGACATTATTGGGGTTGACTTTATCCAGAAAATTTTCACCCAAAAAAATAATACTTTATCGAGAAAAAGAAAAACTTAAACTTTAGAGGCAGTAACATAGTTGACCCAAAATCAAATAGAGGCAATATTGAAAATTATTACGGTTATTAGTTTTATTAGTGTTGATCTTTGGCTTAGTATGTCGTTAAGTTAACTAGAAAAAAAAATAGATTATTTTGATAATTGATTATATGTATAATTGTTATTTTTTATGTTTGGATAGGTTAGATAAAAAGTAATTTTAAAAAATTATTACATTGGAATTATATGAAATAATTATTTCTTTAGCTTGAAATAACAACAAAGATTTAAAGTTATGTGCAGTAGTTAGATAATTAATTATTAAAAATAAAATGGAAAAAATTAACTATAAAATAAGCTGATAATTTTTAATCACAAATTTAAAATTTTATTATCTCAAATAAATTATTTCGTTTTAATTTTTTTTTTATCAAACAGACTATAATTTTTTCAACATTATCCAAAATAAATAAATAATATATTTTTAAGTTTTTTTTTTCAAAACAATCATCCAAACACTCACTTATCCTAATAAAATTTTGAGCTTGTTAATAACCAAAATAGAAAATATTAAGGTTATTAGTTTTTTTTATAAAAAAAAAATTGGTCTTGTACGCTTAGACTAGTAACACTTGATCTTGACCTAAAATGTAATATTTATATGCATGCATGCATCATCGTATTTAAGCACTTTCGTACTACTAATACCATAATACATTGTTAGGTGTCATTTATTTTCTTCTTTTCCAATCCTTCAAAATTCACGAGATTTTACATAAGCTTGTGGTTATACGCCCCAATGCTGTCTAATAGATGGTTAGACAGTGAATTACGTAGAGTGAGAACTTACTTGTGGCTTAAAACCAAGTTCACAAATCAGCGCTTCAAGCCAAGTTTCTTGCGGTCAAGGACCAACTCTTCACAACCTAAAATTAGTTGACTGTTGGGATAACTATATATGGCATATTTTTAAGTACAAATAATTAGAAACTTATTAAGTAAACAAAGTTCTCTCACTTTCTTCTTAAATAGTTTTCATGCACCCTCTTTTCTGAGTCTTGCAACCATGGTTAACAGTGAAGTAATTAGAACCGTCGTTGGAATAATTGGTTGGTCAAGGAAAATCTCAGCGCTTTATAACTTTTTTCTTCCACCTTTGTTTTTCCTTCTATCCCATATAAGTTTAACCTATATTTCTTTTTGCAAGGAAAAACCAGGAGTCATTTTAATCTAATAGAACCACGTGAAAAAAAAAACACACGGAACAATTTAATTAATATAAGTCTAAATTCACCATCTAATCTTTTTTTTAAATTTCAAATAAATAGTTTCTAATATATGCATTGCTATTAAATTTGCAGGAAATGTAATCTCTTTTGGTTTATTCATGTCTCCTGTGTAAATCTCTCTCTCTCTCTCTCTCTCTCTCTCTCTCAATTTCCTATACTTAATAATGGATGAATTAAGGGTGATAGTGGCAAATATTTCAAACTTGCAGGCCTACATTTGTAAAAATATGGAAGGCAAAATCAGTGCAAGATTTCAAGCCAGATCCTTATGTTGTGACTATACTCAATTGTGCAATGTGGGCATACTATGGAATGCCCTTCGTAACTAAAAGTAACGTTCTTGTGCTCACAATTAATGCATTCGGCTTCGTGCTTGAGATCGTTTACACTTGTATCTTCTTCGTATTCTCAAACTGGAGCAAGCGTGTGAGTAACAGCTCCAACTAAAGCCTCTTTTTCCTATAATTACTTTGTCCCAATTGCTAGTTGAATTTGATGAATTTAACGAATTTCAGAAAAGGATCCTCCTAGTCCTCCTGGTTGAAGTCATCTTCATTGCTATGGTGGTTTTTGTAACCTTGCACTTTGTTCACACCCTCAAGCGAAGAAAGTTGGTTGTTGGACTTATATGCATAATCTTCAACATCCTCATGTACTGTTCACCCTTGACCGTCATGGTACGTGTAATTCTCTTTCTTAAAATAAATATACATTTGGTATCCAATTTTCTTCTTCAAAATGCTAGCAACACATATTTTAAAATCTTTTTTCAACACATTTTTAGTTACAAGCTAAATTTTATTTAATAATAAGAAAAATATTAAATTTTAAGTATAAATGTGTTAAAAAGACATTGCTAGCAATTTTTTTTTTCAATTTTATGTATATTCAGTTTACGTAATAATTACTTTTACTCCTCATCTGCTTTTTTTTTTCTTTTTAATTTTGATCCCCCAAATAAAAAGAACAGCGACGAGTAATTCGAACAAAGAGCGTGAAGTACATGCCTTTCCTACTTTCACTCGCTAATTTTGCCAATGGAATCGTCTGGACGACCTATGCACTCCTCAAGTGGGATCCATTCATCGTGGTAATGTATTATTAGCCATTACTAAATTTTGGTTATGGTTTATTATATATTAAATTATGTGATATCTTATTATTTATATTAAAAATTTACTATACATATTAAAATTTAGTTTTTTTTTCTCCTCCGATTGAATCAAATACTTGAATATGTTGAGTGAGTTTACGCTAGAAATTTTTTGTGTATTATATACACAAGGACTTAAATTCTGTTGTTTATCATTTGAATCAAACTCCGTTGGTTTAAAAATTTAATTTAACTTTAATGACTGACATCATGTAATTTATGCAGTTGATTTTGTTCAATGAAATAATAATTAGTTATGATTGTCAATGAGGATATATTTAATAAAAAATATTATTATTTATATAAATATTATGATTATAGTGACTGGTATTTAAATGTTTGAAATGGTAGATTCCAAATGGGTTGGGAGCACTTTCGGGGTTGGTGCAGCTGATCCTGTATGGCATTTACTACCGAACAACGAACTGGGAAGAAGAAACCCCTACTCGCCCCAGCGTATGATTGGTGCTTGGAGTCACAGAAAATCAAACGAACATCAAGATTTAGTTAGAGTCTGTTACTTTCTTTTATTCCACCCTCTTTTCAAAAAATAACTTATTTTGTATTGTTGAAATCGTATTATTGATCTCTTCTTGAGATCATGACATCCGTTATTTGTTGTATTGTTGTGGACCTGAATGTTGTATTTGCTCAATTGAGCTCATCAAGATTTAACCCAAAATGATTATCAAGGGTTGGGAGTGACAGCAGAGGAATGTAGCAAAATTGGGATGGCAAAACCGCTGTATTTGTCCAACTTCATTTACTATTGACCCGTTAAAAAATAAGTTAATTGGGTCGAGTAATGAGAATAACTCACTCAATTTAAAGATTGGTTTATACGTTGATGGCTTTATCTACTTAAAAAAAAATTAGTATTAACTTACACACACACACACACAAAAAAAATAAAAATTTAAGTCTTACTTTTTTTTTTTGGTCAACAATTACAGTCTTACTTAAATATGATAAATTCGATTGACAATAATCAAATTAAAAGTTTACAAGTTCGTAAATTTGTATAATTTAAACCCTATTTTTTTTCCTTAATTTTTAGTTACAAAAATGTTAAGGTAAAAAAAAAGTAAATTAACTGGTTTAACTTGTCCTCCCCCATTTAGGACACAAGTTAAGGCAAGTTAGGGGTGTTCTAAAACTCTAACCCGCCTTGTTAAAATGAGTTAGTAGTAGTATGTCTAATCCATTCTGTCATCCTTATAACTCAGTCAAATATTATATATATAATGTTATTTGGTAAAATATTACGAGTGAAATTCTAAACTTAATAAATTAAACTTCTTACCAATATCGTTCGTAGGTGATTAGTTCATATAGTATACGCCAAATTCTTCTTAGACGTAATTTAATTCGAATTTTTTTAAAAAAGGACTCATAAGAGAACAAATAGAAAAATAAAATAGATTAAATTCTTTTCAAAAATTAAAATGAAGTTAGCCATCTTACTTTTTGAAGTTAAAAGAGAGTGTTTTAAAAAATTATAAAGAGTATTAGTTAATTTCAACTTCTCTCATAAACTTGATTATTTTATTTTATTTTTGTTTTTTATTTGTGTAAGTACTTATGAAAAAGTTTAATCAAATTGAGTTGAAGTATTGGATTTGAGCCTTGCATGTTAAGAAAATTGCTAAAAGAATTAATTTTATAATGTTGTGATTGATGATTTTTTTTTTATTTGAACAACACTCGTGATTTTAGAAATAAATAAAACTCAAATATAACAATAAGATTAATGATAATAATTATAGACTATTGTGATCTAATATTTCTTACTTAAAACAAAAACCAATCTTATATGTTATTATTGTTCATTTAAGGGATAAGTTCACTGAAACCTTGTCATTTAAAAACTTAGGACTTCTCCCTCATTCTAGTAAGACAACTATTATTTCCATGAAGAACTCGACACAAGCAATTTCTCGTTCATTCAATGACGCATTTATTGCAACAGTTCTTTAATCTAAACCCACACGGATGACCAAAAGTTTGGCAACGCATCAATGTAAAACATGTAATTGTTGTGGTTGCTTGTTAGGTGTTCTCTGTCTGTGTTAATGTTTTCCCGTTTATGCAAAGAACAACGTTGCAATAAATTGTATCTCACTAATTTTGTACAACTATTTCTATTTTCTTCTCCCTTTCATTCTTCAGTAGAATTAGGCTTCTAGACAACATTCCAATAGTAATTTTACTGTCCTTGAACAAAATTTAAGTACAGAGAATGGTGTAAAACATTGATTCTGATTTTATTCTCTCTCCATTCTATATTGATACTAAGTAGACCACACAAACATCATTGCTTCACCATTACCTTCTGCAAAATATTACATGATTTCAAGTGAGCACACCGATAGAGAATAGAGATTAGAAGACCAAGTAAATGGATCCAACTTAATCGCATCAATTATGATTGCAAGTTTGCAATAGTATAACGAAGATCCTGCAAGTTACAAGTCCAATCCGGCAACATTGCCAAGCTGAAAGTAATACCCATACCCACAAAACCCAAACCAATGTGTGGAAAAAAAGGTAAGAGAAAATGAAAATCAGAGGTACGGCTTTACAAATCCAAGGCATTATTGACATGTCACCAGCTCTTCCTACCTGTACGCCCTAGTGTGTATTTGTTTCATCTAGTATCCAAATCCTGTTTTCTCACTCTAGATACAAATTGATTCTTCAAATAGTGAAAAATCACTGAAACCAAATTGTTTGCTGGACTAAAGAATAAAACCTCAAGGCCCTCTATATTTGCGGAAGCAAAGACAACCCTGCTGCTGATCAAGAGGGATCATACCTCCACCTTTGGATGTGTCAATGGCCTCCAGCATGGAAACAACCTCGTCCATCTCCGGCCGTTTATCAGGAGTGGCATCCCAGCACTTCTTCATTACATGTGCTAGAGAACTTGGGCAACATCTTGGGATTTCTGGTCTTAAATTCTAAAATTCCAATAGAACATGATATAATCATAATGGACTCACAGACACAGAATCAATAGTGATTAACATGCATAGCTCAAGTGAAATAATCAATCAAAGCAGAGAGCAAATATACCTGGCGAACAACAGCTGAAGTAATTTCTGAGAAACTTAGGTCAGGATATGGCATGTCACAACAATATGTCTCCCATAAACAGATGCCAAAACTGTACACATCACATTTCCTGTTATAGGGGTTGCCATTTAAAACCTGTAAGCCACCCCATTGGGAAAATAAAAAATAAATAGTTAATTACAAGGGCCTTCTCTTTGATCAAATAAAAAGCTTTTATCTCATATTTTTCTTTTTTATTCACAGTTGCATACACTAATTTCTGTCACATTAAGGTAATAATTTATCCTCATTGAAGAACTTTTAGGATGACGCTGGAGATTGAAGACATCCATTACCATCACATGAAATATATTTGTACACTGCATGCCTTTGCACTAAGATTTCCACACACTTGCTATTACAATAATCTCTAGTTTGTAAAGGATTTTACCTCAGGAGCCATATAACCAAGAGTACCAGTCTCCCCAGTCATATCATTAGGATTTGATGCCTCAACACGTGCAACCCCAAAATCAGCAATTTTAACTGTGCGTGTCTTATCCAACAACATGTTCTCTGTCTTTACATCTCTATGGACAATCTTCTGAGAGTGAAGATAACTCAGCCTGCAAAACCAAGTGAATTCAAGTTGAGTTATTACATAACATATTACAAGAGTTATTGTTGTTCTCAACCTGCTAATCCACAATTAGATAAATACCCTCTTGCAAGATCAAGTGCCAGCTGGATCACAACCTTAAAAGCTAATTTCCTCCTCCTGTTCTTTATAAGGTATGATTTTAGCGTACCACCAGCAAGATACTCCACAACAACACAACAGACATTGTTTGGCATGCTAATGAGACCTTCATCAGTTTGTATCTGCAATTCTGCAGAGCCCATTGTTGCCCCTATGAACTAAACATGAAAATGTAAATAGCTTTAAAAATCTAGGGAAGAAAAATTCTTGCAGAAAAGTTCATAATTGATAATACCTTTTGAAAACTTAAAAGAGAGGAAAACACTGACTGCAAACTATCACAAGACAGAACATGAAGGATAAAGTGCCATGAAGAAAACGAGCAAAGAAGGCAATAGGGACATAATGATTATACTTGTTCTCTATACCTGCATGTATCCTTCGTCCCAGAGAACAGTATGACAAAGACCAGACCAGGACTCACCAGCATACCAAATAAATGTACTCAAATGTAATGAAGATAAATGATATCTTTTCAGTCAGAAAAATCTCGAAGATCATTTAGAGGAGAACATGGTAATAAATATATCAATCTTTCCAAAGAACAGATTCATCATAAATTATAGAGAGTTGAAGACTAGAAGCTTTAATAATAAGTAAAATTAAAAAAATACTGTAAGGATGGTTTATTCATTTACAAGCTTTGTTTAACAGAAACAGGTGACCCCACCTGGAGAGAAAGCGCTTTGTTGTTGTTGTTCAACAAAAACAGTGATGTTGAACCAAATGGATAAATCTTTAGTCACATCTATTTTCACCCTCCAATGTGAAAGACTAGTTTAGATCACTTTGAAGTTGCAATAAGCAATGCATACAGTGATCATATATCAAAACTGACTCTTTTTCATATGAAAATATCAATATTCATTTAAGTTAACAGAGTTACTAAATATATTAACAAGATAGAAATTAGAGTGCTATATATCTCAAGATTAATTTTTAAAAAATTAAGAAATAAACTCTGAATATGTTAAATTTCATTAACCTCATTGTTATCTAAAAACTCTTAAATTGAAGCACTATATATAGTTAATCAGGTTATTATACGCAGCTAATGCACAAGTTAATGCAATGATTTTACAGTGAAGATTCTCTGCAGGAAAAGTCACATTAATATGTTTCAACTTACATATCACAATAATCCCATTCCATAGGCAAACTAAAAATTAGATTATCCAGAGAGAATTAGAAACAATAAGGGAGAGAAACATATCTAGGAAGTTCATGTCTTGTGAATGAACTTTGATATTATAAGTTTCTATTCTTTTCACTTCCATAAAATACTTGTATTTCTTATATTTTGCAAGTAAAGATTTCTAAAATACCATTACAGCAAGCAACCTGCATATTGCTTGCTTTGAAACAATGTACATGAGAATTTTTAAAATGACAATCATAATAACAATAATTAAACGGCCCTCCACAGCCAGAAAGAGAGAACCCCTATCCGCAACAGCAAGCACATTCAAGTTGAATGTAAGTGAAAGGAGCGCGAAAAAGGGAGGTAAGAAGGTGATGACAGACATAGTTAAGAAGGAAGCCCATGAAATGTGAAATGAACATAACGTGGTATCCTTGAGTATTAAAATAATTATCAAAACACCTAATCACTTGACACCCTTGTAAGACATTATATACAAGTATGAAAAGCCAACTAAAACTAAAAGCAAGGACACACAAACTGATACGAAAATGATACTCAGCTGAAATAATATATGTTCATAGGACCTCAGAAGGCAGGAAGTTCTTGTTTTGATGGATCCCACCATGCAAATAATATCAGCATATGCAACTTTGAAACAACACAAACAAAGTAACATAAATTGAGGTTGAAATACAGAAATTGAAATCAACCTTTGTGACATTGGGATGATCAAGTTTATGCCAAACAGCAACTTCCTGTATAAACGCTGCCCTCAAGGAAGCGACTTCTGCTTCTGTCCTTTGGCCTTCTTCGCCCCAGTCCAACAATTTCACTGAGCATTAAGTAATCGCAATAACTCTGGTTAGTTCAAATACAAAGAGAAAAGGAAACCGCTAATTCTATCTACCAAAAAAAATAACCAACGAAACAATAACTTCGTATTTAATTATATAATTCACCAAACCATAAGAACCCCAACTTGGAATCACATGAATTTTAAGACGCTAAAAACATAATCCAAACTCTTATACTTCCACAAATTCAACCCCAGTCCCGGAAACGACCCATCACAAAATCATTGTAAAAGTCAACTCTTTTCAAGAAAACTCAGATAAGCAGGGAAGTTGATCGGATAAATTCAATTCAAAAATAAATTTTGCTGAAGAAATGAAGAATCTTTACAACTGCATCGCCCTTATATAAATTATACGGCGAACCCACTATTTGAAATTAAAAATTAAAAGTAAAAATTTTATTTTGAAGAAAGATCAAGACAAAAAAAATACACTTTTATACAAACTCCTCCCACTTTAAGCATCTGAATCTCATGAGTAAAACTGATCCCAAAACTAAAATCAAAATTTTTAGAAAAAAAAGAAGAAGAAGATAAAACTAACCAGCAACATCTTGAGAATCATAGACACCCCGATGGACCTTGCCAAAAGTGCCACGAGCTATAACACTCTTGATTATTAGTTTAGAAGGATCAATCTCCCACTCCTGCTTCTGCTTCTTGAACTTAACACTACCAGAAGGTTTGAATTTAACGGCAGTGGGTGAAGCAGTGGCGCTGCTGGCGTGAACACGAACATGATCAACATCTTCCTCTTCCCCTGTTCGCTTTTTCTTCTCTATGGTCAAAACCTTGTTCAGGTGCCTCTCTAGCTGTTCATCTATGCTCTTCAGATCAATCTGATCCGCTCTCACAAACCCATCACTGCTTTCCTTCATCTTCTTCTTTTTTGGTCTATGTATCCCTTAAGCAATTAAAATTACAGGAAAAAAAATTGTGGAAATTTTGGGTCTTGATGTTTCAGTTGATGTTATTGTTGTGCTTGTTCTTCATCTTCTTCCTCCTCTTCCTCTTTTCCTCAGCCATGTGGGCACATGGAATTGCCTGCTCATAACGTGTGCCTCTGACCCACTTAGTTCTCTCCTTCTCTTCCTCTTTCCATATTCTGTTTTTTTATTATTATATTTTGTATGTTTTCTCTATGTTCTATTAAGTAATAATTGACCGTGTATATATGTGTGTTTATAAAAAATCATAAATTACGTAATGGGAGCGTCAGAAGCAAAAAATAAAATAATATATATATATATATATATATATATATATATATTATGTATGTATATTATACAGTCGTTGATAAATAATATAAATTAATATTATTTAAATATAATTTTGACCTTTTTCTTATAACTATGTAGTTAATATTAATTTCTCTCGTAAAAGAAATTAATATTTGATTATATTATATAAAAATAAATTTGAATATCATTAGTATTTAATTTTATTATTGAAAACAGCACTTTATTACGAAAAAATGTTGTCACCCTCTTGAGAGATGTATTATCATTAATTTCCCCATGCTTTCGGAATTTCAGTTCTCACCCTACTTTCGTTGATATATTATCGGCTTCTTTTTTTTTTTTGGGTAAAAAGAGGTACGTGTCGTATTCACCAACGGATGTTATTAAAAAAAAGCTTTTGTAATTTGAATTAATAAATAAGATTAGACTAAATACAATATTATATGTAATTATATTTAACTCTTATTTATGTTTATACATATAGCATCTTAAAAAAAAAAACACTAAAATACATTTCTATAAAAAAAAATAAAGAAAGAAAAGTTCAGATTCGCTTCATCCATGAATTGAAAAATATGAGATTGTTGAAACGGCAAATCAGTTGACTCAATCCTTCGAGGCTAATAAAATTTAGAGTTGCCCCAATTGAGATTGAAATACATGACGATTCCGAATGCAGAATTAATAATTCTACTTGTATTCAATATTTACAGAAATTCTTAAATTTTAAGAGAAACATAAAAATGAGAAAATATCGAATAAAATAAATAATAGATAAAAAAAAGGAAAATATTGTAATATTTTTATAAATATGACAATCATTATGTATATTTTACTCTTCACAACTTCACAAATTTTTGTCACTAATAACAAAAAGTTTTTTACAACAGTTTTTATGTAAGTTAGTAATTAAGTGATTTAATAAAAGCATGATAATATTTTTTAAAATAAAAAAAAAATAACATTGGCTGCAAATAAATTGTAGAAAATAAAAAATAAAAAATAGAAAAAATATTAAAATTAAAAAAAATTAAAAAATAACAACTATACATAAAATAGATATATAATTTATATAAACAAAAATTTTATAATAAAAAATATATACTTTTGAAGTTTACTATTATATCAACCGTTTCTAGGATCAATAGAACAAATACAAGAAATTATAAAATTTTGTACATTAATTATTTTATTAATTGATATAAAAAATACTTTTTACATTATTAATTTTTAAAATAATATAAAATTAATTTAAAATTAAATATTTTAAAGTTGTGCACTAGCAAAATAATATAAATTAAACACAAAGAATATAAATTCTTATTTATATTCTAAAACTTTTGTTAGAATTATTTTGTTATACATTTGATAAATATAAACTGTTAATTATATTTTTAAATTTTTATTAGTGCTATTGGATATGTTACTAATGAACATGAATGATTTTATTTTAATTTATTATGTATTTTTTTTCTCCATTAATACATTGATAATATTATGTATTATATATTTTTCATTTATATTCTTAATAAAAATCAAATATTAAATAAATATTGACAGTAAATACTACATATTTTTTTATAAACTTAATAAATATTAAATTTTGAGTAAATATTAATAAATATTAACCAAAAATATTAATACTATTAATATTAACAGATATTAATACTATTAAAAAATAATTTAACAAGTTGTAAGAGGAATTATGATACCAGTAACAAATATAAACAAAAAAATATTTTTAACGTCAATTAATTAAAAATTTAATATAAAATATGTATATTTTTTATATTAATTAAGTGAACTGATATAAAATTTTTCACTTATTACATTATTTATATCTACATCAATTAATCAACCAGTACTAAAAAATTAAAAATTCTTTTTAATTGACTTAAAAAAAATTATTTTATAGAAGAAGTTAAGATTTAAATTGTCAATATTTCATTTATGACAGTGTCGGATTCTGGTTTAACGTAAGTACTAGAGAATAAGTATAAACTTTTATAGGGTAAATTTTATGGTATTTTTTAAAAAATTTCACAATACTATACATAAAAAAATTTTAACCAATAATATTTAGTCACATATTTAAATAATTAATTTATTTAATAATAAATTATTATATTTGTTATATTTAAATAAGTTAAAAAAATAATTAAATCTTTAAATTAAATTAAAAAATAATTAAAATTAAACGAATTAAAATTTAAAAATAAAATAATAATATTATATTAATAATATTTAATTATTATATTAATATGTTATAATTATTTTTATTTATAATAAATAAAAATTACTCAAATATAAATTATATTTTATTTAAAATTATAAATTATAAAAAATAAAATAAAAAATTTAATATACAATATATATATATATATATAATAATAATAACATGTAGTAAATAATATAAATAATATGATTTTAAACTAATTATATATAATTATATTATTTTAACTTGCTATGTGTCTTTTATTTATTAATATAAATTTTTTGGGTAAGTTATTCATAAAAAAATTTTAGAATATCGTATATAAAATTTTTTAACTAATAATATTTAAATATTTATTTAAATAATAAATTTATTTATTAATAAATTATTATGTTTGTTACTTAAAGAGTATTTAAGTTAAAACTAAATAAATTAAAATTTAAAAATAAAATAATAAAACTATGTTGATATATTTTTTATATTTTTAATTTTTATTATTATTAATATTTAATTATTAAATTTATATATTATTTATAATTTTTTATCTATAAAAAATAGAAATTACTTAAATATAAATTATATTTTATTCAAAACAAAAATTTTATAAAAATAATAAAAAATTTAATATACAATATATATATATATATATATATATATATAAAATAAGATCATATAATAAATAATATAATTTTAAATAAGTTATATATAATAATATTTTTTAACTTATCACTTATCTCTTTTTTATTACATATTTGTAAAAAAAAAAATTAAAACACTACAGCACACACGTTTTATAAAAGCATACTGTTGAAAGTTAACATTTATTCTGCGAACTAATAATAACAATAAAAAGTATGTATACTTTGTTTAAATGACACTAGAAAATTCATGGCTAATGTGTGGGAAAAATTAATTGCGGTAATTGATTAATAGATGCGGGGAAAATGGGGGAAAGTGTTGATAAAAATACGTGAATTAAATTAGTTTATGTACAGATTTTTATATAATTTAAAAATTTATAATTAACCTTTAATTGAATAAGAGCTTAGTGTATGAATTAAATTTCATGTTAAGTTAATTTAATTATTTAGATATTTTGAAGGTTTGTTAGTGGTCAAAATAAATATTTAGTGCATATCAAATAACTCACTAAATAATATTATGTGAATTTATCTTGTGTTTTAAGTTATGAAGATAATGATAGGATATGTTATAAATCATATGCAAATGAAAGATTTGTTTTTCTATTAAAATTACATGTAATTTTTTTAAAATAACTTTTAATATTTTTATTTTTTATATCTAATTTGTTTTAAAATTGTAAAGAGTACATCGTAGTGCTGATAGCAAAGTATCAAGAGACAACAGAGGCCAACAAACAATGACAGTGGTAATGGAGGGTGTTGAGTGGTAGAATTAGAGGATGACAACTTAAGGTATTAGATGATTATAGTTATGGTAATTATGAAGAATGTCAAGGGAAGACAATGGAGGCAATAATTAAGAGAGTAGTGTAGCAAGGATAACAGATGGTGGTAATAGACTGTGATAAACAACAACCGTGATAAAAAGAAAAAGAAAAACGAATAGTGACAGTAGAGACAACTTAGTGATAACCTTAGTTTAGATAAATTTTACATTAAATTTAAAGATGAGATAGTTAACAAAATAAATTCGATTTATCCTGTAAATACTAAATTGAAATAACTTACATATTCAAATCTAAGGTAAGATGAACATTTCGATCCAACTTACATATTCAACATAAGGTTTTGATATCGTTTACTCACAAGTCCACAAATTAATTAATGACGAGTAAATGAGTAATTGTATTTATTTCGTTTAGTCAATCTCGCCACTACTTGCGCAACTGAACTTTAATAATGTAACAATATATTATTAATAGTGTAAAGATGTTTTGGGAAAAAAAAATTCAATAAAATTTCTTAACCTAAATATAATTACATTATTAGTTGTAACAGACTCAAAAAATAGGTGTAGGAAGGATAACAAAAACAATTTTTAATATAGATAATTATATTAGTAAAAAATCTTATCAAATTATATCTTTAATAACTTCTTATGAAAAATAAATTTTAATACATTCATCATTAAACTTAAAGTTCTAACAAAAAAATAATAGATTGAATTTAGAAATTATTTTATAATTTCAAGAGTTATTATACTATATTATTTTAAGTATAAATAAAAATTTATTATTATAATACATATGTATAATGTTAGAATTGTTTAAAAATTAATATACATGTACGATTATCAAGATAATAATCTTTATGATTTTTTATTAGAGATATTTAAATAAATTATATAAATCAATAAAAATAGTTAAAGTTGATTATTTTTTAAAAATACATTAATATACAAATTTTATCCTTATTTAATTAATATCATTGGATTTTAGCCCACCATTAATACATACTTTTTATTGATTTTAATTTATATTTCTACCTACTTTATCTACAGTAGTGATTATGGTAAAAGTTGTACGTTGTAAGTAAATAAATCCAAGAGCAATCTTTGAAACTGAATTTTAAGTTTTCTTAGATTCTTTTAAGTGTGTTATTAAACGTAATGTTCAAATTGATTTTGTAAAGCAAAATATTAAGCGAGAATAGTAAATAACAATTACGTGGAATTGGATTGAATGTAGAAGCTTTACAGAGAAAATC